CTTGAATTACTAATTGGCTAGAGCCAAATATTAATGTTCCCCCAGAGAACTCTGGAGAGAAGAAGCAAAGCTTGACTCCGTGCTTTCGAATGCATCCCAGGAGGTGGACCGTGCTGAGCGCAATCTCTCGCAAATGATGGATAACAACACTAGTCGCGGAACCGCCGCAGTGCGCCGAATCAAGCGCCAGCATAACCTCGAAGGAGTCTACGGTACACTTGCCGAGCTTTTCGATGTCAATGATAGATATCGCACCGCCGTCGAAGTCACTGCTGGCCAGAGTTTATTCCACTATGTTGTTGACACAGATGAAACTGCTACAACTGTTCTTGAGATCCTACAAAAGGAAAAGGCTGGTCGTGTGACATTTATGCCTTTGAACAGACTTCGCTCTAGGCCGATGAACATGCCTCGTGCTAGCGACACAATACCCATGATTGACAAGTTGCAGTACGACCCGGCGTATGAGAGAGCGTTCCAGCACGTGTTCGGCAAGACTATCATTTGTCCCAACCTGCAGGTTGCGTCACAGTACGCACGAAGCCATGGTGTCAATGCCATCACTCCAGAGGGTGATCGATCAGACAAGCGTGGTGCCTTGACTGGTGGATACCACGACTCCCGTCAGTCGCGACTGGACGCTGTAAAGGGTCTAGCAAAGTGGCGAGATGAGTATGAGACCAAGAGAAATCGCGGTACCGAAATCCGAAAAGAGTTGGAGAAACTTGACCAGATGATCACCAAGGCTGTTGGTGAACTGCAAAAACTCGAGCAACAGAGACATCAGGTCCAGAACAGCAGTGGACCTTTACGACACGAATTGAGGGCCAAGCGTGATCTTCTTCAAAACAAGAACGATACTCTTGATGCCAAGCGACGCGCTCTTCGAAATGTTGAGTCTAACCTTGCCGCACTGAACGACCAAGTCAATGCGTTCCAGGCTGAACTAGCGTCGCCTTTCCAGAAAGCTCTCACCAGCGAAGAGGAAGCTAGACTAGACACTTTGAGTAGCACAGTCCAAGATCTGCGCCGTCAATACCAAGAGCTCTCCGGTCAGCGTAGCGAGCTCGAGGCACGCAAGTCGGTGTTGGAGGTTGAGCTTCGAGAGAATCTCAACCCCCGCCTTGACCAATTACTCAACAGAGACATTGACATCGCTGACGAGGAAGTTCAGGGTAACCTGAAAGAGACACAGCGTGAAGTGAAGCGCATTGGCCAGGCGTTGGAGAAGCTCAATGCACGGCTGAAGGAGGTTGACACCTCAATTGAGGAAGGCAATACTCGCGTGATGGATCTGCAACAGCGTAATGCAGAGACCAGACGGGAAATTGAGGACCTCGCTCGATCTATCGAGAAGCACCAGCGCCGTATGGAGAAGAGCATGCAAAAGAAGGCAGCACTCACTAAGCAGGGTGCCGAATGTGCCGCTAACATCCGTTCCCTCGGTGTTCTTCCGGATGAAGCTTTCACCAAGTATCAAAACACCGACTCCAACACTGTTGTCAAGAAGCTCCACAAGACCAACGAGGCCCTTAAGAAATATTCCCATGTCAACAAGAAGGCGTTTGAACAGTATAACAGTTTCACCAAGCAGCGTGAGACTCTTACTACACGTCGTTCGGAGCTGGATGCGTCCCAAAAGTCTATCGATGATCTCATTTCTGTTCTCGATCAACGTAAGGATGAGGCTATTGAACGGACCTTCAAGCAAGTCTCACGCGAATTCCACAACGTCTTCGAGAAGCTCGTCCCCGCCGGTCGTGGTCGTCTTATCATTCAAAGGAAGACAGACCGTGCCACACGACTCGATGACGATGTTGACTCAGATGACGAGGACGCTCGGCAGAGCGTCGAAAACTACGTCGGTGTCGGCATCAGTGTGAGCTTCAATAGCAAGCACGATGATCAGCAGCGTATTCAGCAGCTGAGTGGTGGGCAGAAGAGTAAGCATTTCCAGTCCGAATCTGTATTTTGTTTTGCAGCTGCTAACTAACTTGCCATAGGTCTTTGCGCTCTCGCACTCGTTTTCGCCATCCAGGCTTGTGACCCTGCACCATTCTACCTATTCGACGAGATTGACGCCAACCTGGATGCTCAATACCGGACAGCCGTTGCACAGATGCTCAAGTCTATCTCGGATTCGACCAACGGACAGTTCATCTGCACTACCTTCCGGCCAGAAATGCTGCACGTGGCGGAGAAGTGCTATGGTGTGAGCTTCAGGCAAAAGGCCAGTACTATCGATGTTGTCTCGCGCGAGGAGGCTCTGAAGTTCGTGGAGGAGCAGAAGACATGATTGTCGTATTTCCCAGGTGTGCTCTTTGTATATTGTAATCAACATTTGCTTCGATGGACTAGCTGGCTGGCGTATTCTGATACCGAACTCTTTTATTATGCAACATATTTTCATTCCAATTCTTGCAGCGTAGTTATATGTATATCTCAATGAATTATACACGTCAGCTATTTACCGACATAAAATGACATTGTTATGTGCCATGATATATAGATTCGACAGAGCGGCATTCATTTGTCAACTGTATAATTTGATCCGCTTGGGCAACTTGTACAGCATGCTTTTGCAGTTCAAGCCAGCTCACACTCAATCAAACTCTCCACACCCCTCTGGGCAGTCCAAATCTTGACAATCTTCAGTCCAGCAGACAACAACAACGTATGCCATTGTCGTTCCGTACGCTCACCAGATCCAATCTCCATCATAATCAAGTCCAAACTTGTCGTTTCCCAGTAAGCCCCCGTGTCTGGAATGACATTTTCATTCACCAACACCTTACTATAGCCGGGCCGCATGGCGGCCACAGTGTTAGCCAGAATCTTGCGACAAAGGTCATCGGGCCAGTCGTGGAGAACAGAATGCATATAGTACGCGCGGGCTCCTATATGGATAGAATGTTAGTATATTCCAGCAACTGATGGTCAAACTGCAATCCGCAAGGAAATGGTGAACTCTTCTATTTCCGTACCTTTGACTGGTTGCTCAGTAAAGAAATCATGACCAGTAACATCAATAGAGGGATGCAAATCCTTAACAGAAACCACAACCTCAGGAAGATCCTGAAGGACCAGACGACCGGGGACACCAGGCCATTTTCGACGGAAATCGGACAGATCATGACCGAAGCTACCTCCGACATCAACGAGCAGGACATCATCCTCGCCGATAGTGACCCCATCTATAAGCTGTTCCTGGACCGGATAGAAACCGGGATCCATCCAGCGGACTCGACCTTGTGCGTAGACTGACATGTGGTTATTAAACTGTTTTGCCGTGAGTGGCTCCTGTTGCACGTGTCCAAAGAACCCCATGTCTGTTTCATAACCCATCTGGAATGCTGTATCTGTGGGACTTGTTGGGTTTTGGTAGTTGTTCTTCTTGAGGAAGGCTGGGAGAGCCATAATGCCTTTGGTGAAACGGCGGGTCCTAATCTTGTTAGTCGTGATTCGGGATATGGAGTACTAATTATCAACCTACATGAGCGGGAATGCGTCGCTATATCTCTCAATTGTGAGAACCTTTGAGAACCCAGTGGGACTATACTCATTGAAGCCGGTCTCGGTTATCGTTCCCATTGCAGCGAGATGCTTCATCAATCGTCCTACACGAATTTGTCAGGCATTGGTGTTTGCTGGTGTATGAATATATTACTGACCGAGCAAAATTGTATCCACGCTGGTTGCCTTCGCAAGCTCTGCGACAGTCTTCGGTTTGTCATCTGTGCCGAGAGCAGAGAAGAGGTTTATATCAACGGCGGTCTCTAGGGCTGCATAACTCGTAGACTAAACCAAAAAAAAAAAAAAAAAAGAAATACCTGTCAGTCCGAATAATCTCAACTAGTTTCAAGAACCACGAGATGACATGTGCCAACACACCTCGGACCAGCAGTGTCGAATAATGGCCTCTCGAGGAGTTTCCAATGCATAAGTCAATGATCGGGCCGCTTCTAGCAGCTTAAGCCGTGCTTCGGAATCCTGGGCGAGTAGATCTTTGCCATGGCCCGCAACCGTTTGAAGGAGGTCAGGCACGGTATATGGCAGGTTTGAGATGAGAGCAAGTCCCTCTACATCCGTGGCATTGCCGTTGGCCGAGCCATTCGAATTTCCATTACAATTGGAGGCTGTCATGATCGACTATGCTTGCTGCAATGCATACGCAGGAGAACATGTGGGATTAAAGAAATGACCTCGCGATGACAGAGACTTGTGCGACAGATTCCAGGCGTCAACATGCAACACTAAGTTCACCGAACCCCTGAAAGGACTACTATCCCTGTAAGTTTAGTGTCGTAATTTATTCCTAGCCAAGCGACGGGGATATCAATTGGCTAGTTCGTTAGGTTATTCCAGGGTAAACCCAGCAAGTTATATTAAATACGAACTACCTAGAGCCATTGTAACCGAGTGAATTCTGGAGCCTTTGATAGCTCCACATAGTGCAAGGCGATCGGCCCCACGAAGGATTCACGCGTTGATGACTCCGTAGTTCGTACGAATTCGACTAAAGGTAAGATAATACGCGAGAATTGCTTTCCGGAGTTCCACTTGGCAAGACGGGAGGGATACGGACTACTTTGTTGTGTACATCTGTGGATTACAATTTCGGGTATAGTGAAAACGCACCAAGGCTCTAGTGGCCAAAAGTGAGGTATTGTTTGTTAAGCCACTTGCATGCAATCGTAAGGCCGGTGCTTATTGAAGGGATTGGTCCACGCATCTAAACATGACTCCCGTCCGGCCGCTAACTAGTGTATCACCCTATCGCTCCTCGGTACATGCTGTAACAATCGTACGTACATAGGTTGTATGTGTTTTTCTTTTTCTTTTTTTTTTCAATTCCTTTTCAGAAATAATTTATTCCCGGCTTTGAGATTTCATGAAAATTCTCCACCTGTTCTGTAGGTTTTCGTCCTCTGGATGCCGCAGAAGATAGAGGATATTGTCGCGAATCTACTATATGCAACAGAGCCACTGATCTCGGCATCATGGCAGCCACGGACGCCGAATCCATACACCAGAAAAAGGCCCCTCGCATTCTAGGGGTATTCTGGGCCTTCTACAGTGTGAGTGTGGTGATGGTATCTCTGCGACTTTATATCCGAGCCCGGATGCTAAGGAACATTGGACTCGATGACTATATTATCGTGGCAGCAATGGTACGTACCTGCCAATTGACTTTGATCCACGCGAGATACTGATCCTCTAGGTTATGGTCACTAGTTATACAATCCTCACCACGGTGGCTGTCGTTCTGGGATACGGGAGCCATACCTCTGTGTTGATGGAAAAAGGTGGCATGGACTTGGTTGAACACATTCTAGTCCTTAATTACACAAACTTCGCACTAGGAATCATGTCTTTCACCACCCCGAAACTCGCAGTCGCTGCTCTCCTAAATCGCATCATGAATCCCAGCCGGTTCCACCGAACATGGTTATGGATATTGACAGGCTCCGTGTTCGTGGCATCGACCATCTGCATCATTGTTCTCTTTACCATGTGCAACCCTCCCCAGGCTCTGTGGAAGATTCATCTCATGAGTGAAGGGGCAACATGTCGTTCGACCACGATCCTAACGGGCTATGCAATCTTTACTGGGGGTATGTTGGTGGGTTGGATGTCTTTCACAAACGAACAACTAAACCTTTCTCAGTTCTGTCTGCGGTAGTCGATCTATATCTTGCGATTTACCCGACTGTGGTATTGCTCCGACTTCAAATGTCGGTTAAGAAAAAATTGGCCCTGTGCGCGGCTCTGGGGTTGGGTGCCGTGTAAGTTGATTGGTATTATTATCCGGATGAAAGTAGCTAATCGTCCACACAGAGCCTGTGCAATGGCTATTGTCAAGTGTCTACAGTTACCAAGTTTATATAACACGGCCGACTCGACATGTACGTTATTTTTTCGTGCATATAGTGAGATATCTACCGCTGACACGGCATACATAGACGCAACAGCAGATCTTGTTATCTGGACGAGGTATGTTTCCAATGCCCAGCCTTTATACAAAATGATAAGACTAAAACCTGACTCTTGTCTCTCAGTATCGAGTCGAACATCATCATCATGGCTTCCTGCATCCCAACCTTGGGTCCGATATATGAAATGACCCGAGGCAAACGTTCCTGGAGTTCTCACGAGCGATATGAAAGCGGCAAGTGGCGGTCTTACACGGATAGGCCCACGAAGAAATCGGCAAGCAAAAATCGCGAGGATGACGATATCCTCATGACAACGAATATTGGGACCACAAGGAGCGGTAGCCAAGAAAGCATATTGAATTCGGATCAACTCCGGAATGAAGCCTATGTGACCGGCAAGATTCATCGCACGGATCAGATAAAGATTGAGTATGGGGAAAGACTACAAAGAGGAGGGAGTGAAGTAACCTAGTAGACGATTTCATCGTCGTCCTCTTGTGGGATTCATTGCAACCGAGAGAACAGTTCGAGCTCCATGCGTTGAGCCGGAAGTGGACCACGCATGATTTCATCTATCATATCGGTCCCCGGGGAGTAATCGTGCTCGAGGATGGGCACGCCAGCCCCCTTCATATTGGTAAGCACACACTGATAGAAGTGCCAACGAAGCAATTCATCTACGAGCCGGTCTAGTTTGACCTCGCCTAATAAAGTTAGCCCAGCTCCTCACTCTAAACAAAGACTTACCCTAAGGGCAAAGGATATTATAGTCACCTTCCGCTAGAAATGGTACACTGGTGTCTCTAAAGTGGATCGAGATGGCTGCCTCAACGTCGAGTAACACATCTATTAAAGTATTGAAACCACCCCCCCCCCCCCTCCCCAATTTTTCCTTTTTGATCCATGACGATGTGAAATGTCCAATGTAGGAACTTGGAAACGAAGTGCTTTAGATGCGGGTACAAACTTGACCAATCGGGGCAAAAAGTCTACAATCCCAGCAACCTCACTCATTTGCCCATTCGAATAAGATATCCTCAGGGACATCGCGAACTAAGATATGGACATGCTCCAATGCCCTCACGCTCTGCAAACCGACCCAATTCTTAAACCACAGTACATGGGAGTCAGGGTCCGAGAAATTCCGAGGATCCTTAGCCAACCGGCCCACGAAAGTCTTTCGAACAAAACTGTTGATCATTGCACGAGATTCCTCGGTCAAATGGCCCTCCTCAGATTGTACAGGGATGGGGGTACGCAGCCACACAATCAGATGTGAGATTCCGGGGGTGAGGCCATAGGGCCAGTCATTGCGGAGGATCTTGTAGTCCTCGGGATCGGCAAAGGGACGCGGGTTCTTGAAGGTCCCGCTTTGCTGGATAATCGCGGAGCCAGTGCCACTGGCAGCGTTTACTGGTAAATGCCACTTTAATCGCTGCTGGCAAATATAATTCATGATGGTGCCATACTGGCTTTTGGTCTCTTGTGTCCAGGCTAGATATCGGCGGAGATCGGAAGGCTTCCGCTTGAGTGCGCCGAGGTCATTTTGCGCTAATACGATATGAGGGGAAGTGTTTCAAGGGCAGATTTGGAGCAGATTTGGAGATAAGAGCACACTTACCGATGATGCTTTTCAGGTCATCCCAGTCGTGGTATACGAACTCCTCGTCGGTCATGGCCAGGAGCTTGTGGTCCAATTCCGTTAGATTAAAGGCAGGGACCTCTGGTACGTCGGGCATTTTGATGAATTTGAAAAGAAGAAATAAGCAGCGTCAACAGTAATCCAACAATCCTGCCCAGTAAGTCCAATAACCCCAGTAAGCCAAGGAGGGAAAGTCGGGGAAATGGTAACCCCAAAAGGTGGGAAATTCCGTTGGGCGGACTTAGCCCCCTCATTTCTTTTTATCTTCCCTCTTCTCTTTTTCTCTTCTACTTTTTATCGCAACGGTTTCTTTTTTTTTTAATACAGTATCCGAGTTTTGTCATAATGAGGTGAGTTAACATTCTTCACCTTTTCATGACAATGGCTGATTCCCCGAAGTCTCGCCACCATCGGCACGGCTCTCGCGCCGTCGGCCCTACTCATCGCGGGTGTTTACGCCATTAAGCCTGAGTTTATCGCCTATGCAATCGCTGTAGCTGGAATTCTGGCTGGTTACTTGGTGTTCAGCAACAGTGCGTGAATTCCTTCTTATTCAAATATCGACGTGGTAAAGGAGCCGAAGAACTGAACTGACCCTATTGATCGCAGAGCCTCGCAAGGTCTTGAACCCCACTGAGTTCCAAAACTTCGTCCTCAAGGAAAAGAACGAGATCTCCCACAATGTCGCCATCTACCGTTTCGCCCTCCCCCGTTCCACCGATATCCTCGGCCTCCCCATCGGTCAGCACATCTCTCTCGCCGCTACCATCGCTGGTCAGCCTAAGGAGGTTGTTCGCTCTTACACCCCCATCTCCTCCGACAATGAGGCTGGATACTTCGATCTGCTCGTCAAGGCTTACCCCCAGGGTAACATCTCCAAGTATCTTACCGAACTGAAGATCGGCGACAACATGAAGGTCCGCGGCCCCAAGGGCGCCATGGTCTATACCCCCAACATGTGCCGCCACATTGGTATGATCTCCGGTGGTACTGGTATTACCCCCATGCTGCAGGTTATCAAGGCTATCATCCGCAACCGTCCCCGCAACGGTGGCAACGACACCACCAAGGTTGACCTGATCTTCGCCAACGTCAATCCCGAGGATATCTTGCTCAAGGACCAGCTCGAGGAGTTGGAGAAGGAGGACGATGGATTCCGCGTTTACTACGTTCTCAACAATCCTCCCGAGGGCTGGACCGGCGGTGTCGGCTTCGTGACTCCCGATATGATCAAGGTAAGTTTGCATGTTGTGCTCGGCTGTGCTACCTCGGTATTAATTAAACTTTCTTATAGGAGCGCCTGCCCGCCCCCGCTGCCGATGTTAAGATCTTCCTCTGTGGTCCCCCTCCCATGGTCAGTGCCATGAAGAAGTCCACCGAGGCTCTTGGATACACCAAGGCGCGCCCCGTCAGCAAGCTGGAGGACCAGGTCTTCTGCTTCTAAGGGATTCGCTGCGAATCAACGAAAAGTTGCTGGTTTCGAACTTGACTTTGCCTTTTATATATGTGAATTTGGCATAGAATATTAGCTTTGCCCGGGTGCGAAGCATTTCTGTTTTGATGTTTAATCCCGGGTTGGTGTGTGGTTAGATGTGTGAATAGACCCAAGCCTACAAGAGATCGAGATCAAAAGATGTCTACGAGGGCTCGAACGCGTGGAATACCCCCCCCCCCCCCCCCCTACATTTCAGTATCAATACCACGTTATTAATCAACGTTAATAACTGTATAACTTTATATATCCATAGACATCCCTCACTTGTGTCTTCATCATATGTGTACACACGACGTCGGTTTTAAAGCTTCACTTGGCATAACCCTCTAGTCACTCTTCCTGAGTTTGAATTGTAGTCACCACTAACAGTCACAGATTACATCCGTTATCTCTTCATAAGCCTCCAAACTAACAAGCATCCACGGATAATCTCAACACCGCCACACTTACTCATTGCCACCTTTGAAATAGACCATAATATTAGGGTTCATTCCTGCTATGTAGCTCGCGGATGGGTCTATAAAATTTTTTTGTTAGTCGATATCGATATAAACCCAATACCGATTGAATGGACATAAGGTTCGGTACTGAGCTCCGATGGACTTCTAGATCTGTCCCTGAGTGAAGCCAACATTTTTAGCAATTTCCATTAGCAATTAGCACACCTGGATACCGGGTTTAAGGATTCCACAGACTAACACGGTATAAATTCTAGCCGGGGCAACGGCATGCTGCCCTCTATAATAGCTACAACAGCTACTTACACTATCTAGGAAGCTCCTAAAGCTCTCAAATGTTGAATGCCCACGGGAATTACGAAGCAAAAACCAGGGACGTGGAGATTGTATATGCATTCATTTCAGCAAACCAAAACACTAGGAGTCTTTACTAGTACCCTCACCCGTATCTTCAGTATCTTTAGCCCACCACTCCGGGTGCAGCACCCGATCGCACACATTCTCTCTACAACATTCCTTACCTTCATGATAAGGATTTCGATCAAATAGCAGTTCGCGGTTGATACTTGCATTCCCATTCAGAATTTGGACCTTGTACCACTCCGCCAGTTGTAAAGCGTCGCCAAGAACTCCGCTTATCGTTTTATGCGCCCTGGAAGCCGGTATTGAGATACACCACCGAGATTGTCGATCCTTGGGCTCAAGAGTAATGATGCACTTCCTCTCCCGGATACGTTCAATGATAAGGCAAATCAATGCTCCGTCGGTGCGGAGGTAAAACAGGTCCCATTTAGTGAAGGTGATATTGACCCACCTGTTGGAAGGGCTCTCATCCACACCATGGCCATGGTGGATGGTAATGTAATATGACATATCGACCAGCCCCTGAAGCCCATTAGGCGCTTAAGGGCTGATATTTTCACAAGATAGCAACACCTGTGGAGTGACTCGGTCGAGTTATTTAGTCGCAAGATAATGTTGTTTTGTCGGTGAGCTGGATGCTGGGGATTGAAGCCCAACAAATGCATGGGACTGGCCGGCTTTAAAATATTATTCCACTATGACATAGTACCTTGCACCGTTTGGCGAGATCAAAGGCATTATGTTTCAATCCCATTGTCAAGAATTTGATGACTTTGATGGATATGAATCAGGAGACAAAGACTTGAAACCAATTTGTGGTGTCCATTGTTTTGTTTGTTGCAATTCGACCAAGCCCCGTGATCTCCGGACATCATGCTCTTCTTTCCGAAGTGGCACTGGAGGTCAGAGCTGGCGACATTTAGGTACAAAAGAAAGAATCGATAAAGGAATGGGCTACATGTATCCCCTCTTCGCCTCTCACATGATTCTCTCTATGCCTGTTCGGTATCCGTCTCGAGTGTAGGACGACCGCCTTGGGTGAGTTCGTAACTGACGCTACAAAGATAAACGGTCAGTAAAGCACATGGAAACAGACAGAGCGGATGGACTCACTACTCCCTATGCACAGACCTAGTGGCACCGGAGTTAGCATGGAACCATGAATGGAGGAAAGGCCGATAGACATACACACGTAGCGGATCAACGGTAATACCGGGATAGTAATTGCCTTGTTTCTTTTAAGGCAAATTAGCACAAAGTAAGTTGTGTTCAGTGTGTGTAGTACTCACCAGATGATACTGGCGTATGTGTCGACGCAACATCGGGGCCGGGTTTCCAATCTTTGCCGTCTTTTGAGTTTTCCACGGGCAGTAAGGGCAACGCTTTGCACAGTCCGGAATGAACTGAATGGGAGACATGTCAGTCAAATAAACAGAACTTCCAAAGGCTCGAGAGCTCTACAAGTATAGCATGCTCGGCTGGCCAAGTAGTTGCGGGGTGCTCGGGGCAGTCGCAAAGCTTGGCATTGGGGCTGATATTATGTTAGCCAAGAATACACATACACGTGTTTGAGATGTATTTGACACGTTAGGGCAAATACTTACGCCCAGAATGTAGGCTCGATGGGACGGGAGCTTTGCCAGCAATCACCATACGGCCACGAAGACACATCGGGCAAAGCAGTCGCGACGCCAGTCTGTGCCTCATCGGGTTCGGCTTTGATTGGCAACGGAATATTTGTCACCTGGATAAGCTGAGGATCCAGACTGGGATCGACATTTGGGGCCAACGGCCACTCCTGGGAATCCATAGGGTCGTACCCCGTATGGAGCTGCTAGATCTCTGTGAAGATGAGTACTTCGTTGGTCAGAGGAAGGATGAAAGAAGATGGTTGACTACTGACAAAGGAAATTGATAGGTGGAGGGTGTCGTGTCGCATGGTAAGAGTGGGAATGTGGACTGGAGGCAATTTCACTGCAGAACCCCCCCCCCCCCCCCCCCCCCCCAATGTGTTCCTACCCTCCTCTCAACCCACCCCGAACACTTCTGGCGTCCAAAGTGCTTATTTATTTCCCATCATTCTACAGGGCTAAGGCCATACTCTTGTGTTGCATTTTACTTCAGGAATCCAAGCAATTGCTGGGAATCTTTGGTGTTCTCTACATCTTTGTCTTGCTAAGTAAATACAGAGACGCTGCTATGAGATGAGATAAAACGCCAGAGATTAGACATTACAAACAGAAAAAGACTCATTCAAGAAATCAGGCATGAGAAGAAACGTAAATAATACTAGTAAATGAAATATAACTACATTTGCGGGCGAAGGAGAAGGGCTATGCAATTTATTGAGGAAATTACTAGAGTAGATATTTATTCAATGCACTTCAATCATATCCACACTCCTAGTCAAGAAGCCCGCAGATATTCACTCGCAGTCGATCATTGTAATAGCCATAGAACTCTGTCTCCAGACAACATTGAAAGTTTGTACTTTGTACTATGCTAAAGGGGCATGGGCTTGCAGCTTGTGTCGAGACCAAGAGAAGATCGAGTATAGCCACACGATGCTCCCACTTCAGCTCATCAAAATTGTCCTCCCAAAAACTATAGGCTTTGAAGATGTAGGCATTGGCATGATAAATAGCAAGTAATCGACATGTAAAAAAATCTAACTCCCCCTGTTGAGATATAGTTCAGGTAGGGTTTCAGTGGATCACGTCCAAAAGTGACGTCACATTAATCGATAAGAGCCGAATAGCCACGTGACTCACCGCCCTCTTTGAGTCAGACCTCTTGAGTCAAAAAAAAGGAAGAAAAGGAAAAAGAAAAAGGCAAAAAAAAAAAAAAAGATTCCCCCGAGAGATTTCCCCCTCTTTATGGGTCATTGTCTAAGCGGGGCTCGGCGATTCACAGCCATTTTTTCTCCGTTACGTTGCCCCTCTAAATCTTCGACTTTTCCGATTTTGAGACGCGCATTCGGTACACGACGATTCTCAATCATGTCCGCAGCTTCCCTTCCCGCCTCTGTTGAGGCTCTGTCGCTCCAATCCACAGCACAGAAGTCTCAGTTCGCTGGCTGCTTCCCAACACTGAACCCGATCGATATCTACCGCCAGCACATCGCAGAGGAGTTGGGCAAAGCCTCTGGTATTGATGCTCAGAAGATCTACCCGCGCATTGCCTGGACCAGTACTTTGGACAAGGGTGACCTTTCATTGCCGGTATGTCGCGGCACATGCGTTGCGCAATTCGCATGTTCCGCATGACTATGAGTCCCTAGACTAACAATATCTTGTTGCATACGATTAGGTTGCTTCTCTTCAGATTAAGCAAAACCCCGTGGAACTTGCCAAGGATCTTGTCTCCAAGTTCCCCGCCTCCGACCTTATTCACCCCCCAACCCAACTTGGTCCTCACATCCAGTTCTTCTGCAAACCTCAGCCATTGACCAGCAATGTTCTTGGTCGTATCCTGAAGGAGAAGGCCGCCTATGGAACAAATGGAAACCAGGGTCAGAAGGACCCCTCCGACCCCTCCAAGGGCCAGAAGAAGATCATCATCGAGTTCTCGTCGCCCAACATCGCCAAGCCCTTCCACGCCGGTCATCTGCGCAGTACCATCATCGGTGGTTTCCTCGCCAATATCTACACTGTTATGGGATGGAACGTCATCAAAATGAACTACCTGGGTGACTGGGGTAAGCAGTATGGTCTGCTAGCCAACGGCTTCAAGGAATTCGGCAGTGAGGAAGCTCTTATCAAGGACCCTATCAACCACCTGTTCGATGTCTACGTCAAGATCAACCGTAATGTCAGCGCACAGGATGGACCTATCAAGGAGCTGAAGGAACAGATCAAGGCGAAGAACGAGAAGAACGAGGACGTTTCTGAGCTTGAGGCACAGCTTGCTAAGCTTGTGGACGTGAGCGAGGACGAGAGGGCCCGTCGGTACTTCAAGAGTATGGAGGACGGTGAACCGGAGGCTCTTGCTCTCTGGCGCAAGTTCCGTGACCTCAGCATTGAGAAGTACAAGCAGACCTACGCTCGTCTCAACATCGACTTCGATGTTTACTCCGGTGAATCTCAGATCAAGTCTGAGAGCATGACCGATGCCTACCAGCTCATGGAGAAGGCCGGTGTCTCCGAGAAGTCTGAGGGTGCTGTTATCGTGGACTTCACCAAGCACGGTGCCAAGAAGCTGGGCAAGGCTATCATTGTCCGCAAGGATGGTACTCCTCTCTACCTGACCCGCGATATCGGTGCTATCACCGAGCGTGATAACGAGTACCACTTCGACAAGATGATCTACGTTGTTGCCGCCCAGCAGGATCTCCACCTGGCTCAGCTCTTCAAGGTCACTGAACTTATGGGCCACAAGGACCTGGCCTCCCGTTGCCAGCACATTAACTTCGGTATGGTCCGTGGTATGAGTACTCGCAAGGGTACCGTCAAGTTCTTGGATGACATCCTGCATGATGTTGGTGACAAGATGCACGAGGTCATGAAGAAGAACGAAGTCAAGTACGCACAGGTCGAGGATCCTGTGAAGACTGCTGATATTCTGGGTATCACCTCCGTTATGGTGCAAGACATGACTGGCAAGCGGTATGTACAGATCGTTTTTCTTCCTCTAATTCTGTATATTTGTTTACTAATTGTCTGTTTTCTTTCAGCATTAACGGCTACGACTTCAACCTGGACGCCATGACATCCTTTGAGGGTGACACCGGCCCATACCTGCAGTACGCTCACGCCCGTCTGTGCTCGATGACCCGCAAGTCCGAGTTAGATGTTAACGAGCTGGTCAACGCCAACTTCGATCTTTTGACCGAGCAGCATGCTGTCGACTTGGTCCGTCTGCTGGCCCAGTGGCCCGACGTACTCTTGCAGACTGCCAAGACTCTTGAGCCCATCACTGTCCTCAGCTATCTGTTCCGCATGACACACATGTTGAGCTCTAGCTACGATGTTCTCAAAGTGATTGGTAGCGAGCCCGATGTCAAGCAGGCGCGTATGGCTTTGTATGCGTCGGCCCGCCAAGTTCTGAACAACGGCATGCGCGTTCTTGGTCTCAGCCCTGTTCAGCGGTTAGTCTTCCCCATCCTCGTTGAAGAAATAATCACTGACTTATCTAATCTAGTATGTAAATTCGGCTTATACGCTCGATTTTGCTTATTTTTCTGTGTGGTGTTTCCACTCAGTATTTCTCAAAGACTGGTGTCTTTGGTATACATTGATTTTAATTTAGTTGCATTGGGCGCTAAGAGCGGGACGAATAAAAATGGCATTCTGCTTCTTCTTTTAACGAAATCATTCTTACATTTTCCCCTCATAGTTTTTTTTTCTTTTCTTTGCTTTTTTAAACGCCGTACTGTTAAGAAAAAGAATAGTGGCCGATCTCCGGCGGGGGTCGGGGTTTGGACCCCGTTCACACATCTACAACCATGCATCCCACATACCAAAAGCGCCATTGTTTGTGGAATGTTATCTGGAGAATTTTATCTACGCTCATCGCTTTTCTCCAGGCCCATTATCCAGTAAAGGACGGCGTCTCCCGGGGAATCGGGGACCATCAGAGACCTTATGTCATCTCGGGCTCGAGTCCCAAAGTTGAGCCCTATATTCAGTCTCAGTCGGGGACCACCTCGGACACGTAAGGAGGGCTTTATCCAAGGGTCTCGACGCTAGACAGGGATTTGTAATTCCGTGGGTCTGGGTACATGTAGAATGGGCGTGTTTAAAATTATAAAACCTGGGCCCGCGAACCTGGACGTGGGTTGGATTCCAATTCTCTTGTATCTGTCGTAAACATTTTACATTATCTTGCAGCATGGAGGGTCCCTCACCCTTGAACGCACCTAGGTCCCCGGACCTGGAGCGGAATGACAGCGGACACTTCCTGATGAACGAAACCGTTCGGAATTTCTCGTGGCAAGGGTTAACGGTTACCGTCAAGGATCGGGAAACAAAAAACTCCCGCGATCTGATCAATAATATCAGCGGTGATGTGCAGCATGGTTTGTTATCCTTGTCCATGATCTATATCGAGATTTTCATACTGATGCGGGTTATACAGGGGAGCTCGTTGCCCTAATGGGCCCATCAGGCTGCGGCAAGACGACACTCCTCAACGTGCTTGCTCGGCGTGCCGCGTCAGCTGGTGCGAAGGTTGTCGGGGAGAACTACGTGAATGATGCACAAATGGACTCGCGGGATTTTCAGCGGGTGACATCGTATGTCGAGCAGGAAGATGTGTTGATCGGGTCGTTGACGGTACAGGAGACATTGAAGTTCGCGGCGGATCTCTCGTTGCCCAGGTATGTCGGGTTAGAATAGCAACCATCCAATCTTACCTATACATCCCGATACTTACCATGTCTATCTACAAGCTCTGTGTCGAAACGCCAACGTATGGATCGGATCCGGACACTTTTGGAAGCCTTCGGTATCCAGAACCAGGCGAACACGTTGGTTGGTACCCCGATTCGGAAAGGCATCAGTGGTGGTCAGAAGCGACGTGTGAGTGTGGCTAGCCAGCTCATTACGAATCCAAGAATTTTGTTCTTGGATGAGCCGACAAGCGGTCTAGACTCAACTGCCAGTTTTGAGGTGATGTCGTATGCAAAGGAGCTCGCGCGGGCCAATAATGTACGTTCATATCAGATGGGTTCCCTGCTCTTGTTAACATTGTTCATGATAGCTTCTCATCATTGCGAGTATCCACCAACCGTCAACCACGACGTTTAAGCTCTTCGATAAGCTGCTGCTCCTCTCGGCAGGGAGAACGTGCTATTTTGGGCCGATCTCAGCTGTGGATAGCTATTTCAGTGGCATTGGCTATCCAATTCCCGCGCAAACAAACCCTGCCGAATTTATCTTGGATACTGTTAGTTCTGATTTTGCCAGCTCGAAGGACTTGGAGGAGGACCGAGTCAAGATCATTCAAACTGCTTGGACAAACTCGAATGAGGCAAAATCACTAACAAGAGTGGTGTCCGAGCGAGTAGGCTCGGCAGAGAAGCTTGTCAACAAAGACTCCATGGAAGAAAACAGGCGACCGGGAACGGTTTCAATTACTATAGCTCTGCTGCATCGCTCATTTGTCAAGTCATATCGCGATGTCATTGCTTATGGAATCCGGATCGCGATGTATCTTGGTAAGAATTATCATGCTCCTTTTAAAGCTCACTGGGACTAATGTGGCACAGGACTGGCTATCATGATGGGCACAGTGTGGCTACGTCTCCATCCATCCCAGGACTACATACAGCCATTCATCAATGCCATTGTGAGTTTTGCAAGTGGTTAAAATTAAAGGGATACCAATACTGACATGGGATATAGTTCTTTGGCTCCGCATTCATGTCTTTCATGGCGGTGGCATACGTCCCCGCATTCCTCGAAGACCGGGCAACTTTCACCAAAGAGCGAGCCAACGGACTATATGGTGTGACACCATTCATAGTCTCAAATTTCCTTATTGGGCTTCCCTACCTATGTATGTACTCGTAAATTCCTGCCACATGCCTGCTCTCTAACATGTCCAGTTTTGATATCCATCCTCTTCTCCATCGTCTCATACTGGCTCTCCAATTTCCAACCAACGGCAGAAGCATTCTTCACCTGGGTGATGTGGATATTCCTCGACCTTGTGGCGGCCGAATCCTTAGTGGTCCTCATGACATCGATATTCCCGAACTTTGTAATATCCTTGGCGCTTGTCGCATTTGCAAATGGCCTTTGGATGAGTGTCGGAGGGTTTCTGGTCACGCAGAAGATACTCAATCCGTTTTGGAAATACGTGTTCCATTATATCGATTACCAGGTATGCTGATGCACTGTTATCAGAAGTTTATTTTCTTGTCGGAATGATCACTAACTCGCTTGGTATTTGCTATAGGCTTATGTCTTCCAAGGTATGATGGTGAATGAGTTTTCCGAAAGGAATTACTCGTGTGGCGCCGGCTGTCGATGCATGTGGTCTACTGATTTGGAGGATCAGTGTCTCATTCGGGGCACCGGAGTGCTAGAATCGTATGGGTATTCCACTGGTCGGACGGGGAAATGGGTTGGAATTCTCCTGGGCATCATTGCGGGATATCGAGTCCTTGGATGGATTGCTCTGTATCTGCGCAGAAGTTAGGAGTCCGAGGAGGTAGACCTCCCTTAGGGATACCCCGGGTTTCAATGGGCTATCGATTCGGAATATCGGCGCCGACTGGAGTGTAGCATTAAATTTATCTTTGTGGATATTAACCAAGTTGATTAGATATGATTGATACAAAATTGTTCGGTTTGAAACCCCACATTTGCTTCCACCTGGCCAAGGCTCGGGGAGCTTCATCCGAAAGGGCAGCCGCCTCTGCCCCGACACCTTTAAGAGGCACCATACTCCCCAACCTAGCAAGCTGCTGTAGATTCCGTGGCACCTTAGTAGCACGCTGGTCTTGAAGTATAGCCACGGGAACACTTGACTTACATGAATGTTGTCTCTCGTACGACATCAGACAATACTAATTGCCCATCGTGTGCCGAAGCGCTCCCCGGGCCATACATTTGCCATCATGAGAAAGGCTATCTGGAACTAACGAATCATGTCACCTACAAAGAAAAAGAAAAACGGGGCAATGCGATCAACATGCAAGTCATGTATACCGATGTACGATGTACACGAACCTTCTATCATGTTTCCAAGTGTTCTCTTCCTCCACTGACGGCCCTGACAGAAGTCCTTAGAACCGAGAAGGAATAGAGTTGAACTCATTTTCCCTCATACTTATCGTCGGAACACCGTTTATCTGTAATTATGAAAGAGCGGTGAGGACCTCGACCTCGAGGAGCTGATGCCATCTTACGGAACGAAGTAAGGGGGTGGCTCCCTTGACCTCGTTTTCGCTCCCCGAGATGAATTAATAAATCACTGGCTACAGATGTCAACGTGACTGCACTACGAATTGATATGCGAGGAAAGCTTGTTGGCTGTTTTGCCATGCAATCCAAATTCAGATATTTGCCGCTGAGCACAGCATGTTCCCAGTACTCCCGGCCCCGATGCGAAGGTCTATAATCGTCCCCGTCAAAGGTGTCACTGTAGAGGGAAGTGGAAAGACAATACTGGAGCCGCATGGAGATCCTTAGTTGTATTTGGAGCGGAGCCCTTTTCCTGGTTCGATCTTTCAGCCTCTTGGCCTGAAGATATCCACTCCGGTCCGATGTAACATTTCGATCAGCTCGGAATACATAGCCAGGGTCCATTGTATTTAAGATGTGATCGGTTACGTTGTATAGATTGTGTTGGGTCATTTCTAGTTCTGATGTTGTCATTCCCACACGTGCGGAGTGAAAATTGAACGAACTTCATCTAAGGATGCAAGGGATGTGAGGGAATCCACAATGGCAATGATAGACCGTCCGTGCTGCATGTCATACCGATCTAGCCAGTTCTGCTTCCCGGGAGAAGGTTTCGGCCATTTAGTTCGTCACTAGTACGATATAGGGTTCCTTGTATGAAGTACTTCGAAACTTGTACAAGTACATATTGGCCTTGAACCGATGGCACATTCCAAGATCGTCACAGGTTTCCCACCAGTGTGAGTCACGACTGAAAAGGTATGCAGGCGGAGAAGAGACAACGTCCAAAGATATCCTGCCACATGGACGAGGGGCTCTGACAACGAATGCCATGCAGTGCTCAGTCCCTCTTCTACTTCTAGTGCCGTTTGACATTTGTGGTTTCTATGGGGAAAGTAAACCTGACTCACTCCACAGTGGCGATTCTGCCAGGCTTCGTGGTCGACACACACACAGGCATCTGCCTACATCGTCTGCCTACATCGTACATACTATGAGTGAGTAGTAGGTGTGGTAGGAGTTACCTTAGCAGTTCTGAGTTGCAGCCTAGGTTACAGGGTGTCATCCCCACCGACTTTTTCCCGTGTATGGGGATGTATGGGATACATTGTTATTGTACTTGAGGGCCTGCATTGACCACGAAAATGAAAAAGACATGATCAAACGATCGGAGAGAAAGATAACCCGAATTGCCCGGCAACCGAGTGATAACCGATTTTTGGCCAGAGGAACCTGTTCCTTTTTAATTGACAGGGAAGACCCTTTACGACGGAGGCGATCATTGGGCCGCAAAGCCGGTTGGGCGTTAGATGTGGGATGCATTTTAGGGAGAAATAGGAATGCAACATCTCCGTATTTAGCAAAATTCATCCAAACACGGGAAATCAAAAGTGAATAATAAGGGAAGGAAAAAGAATAAAAAAACAAGTAAATAAGTAAATAAAGATAAGAGTAAAAAGGTAGAGGCCAACCATGGATACCTCGGAGTCAAACCAAGGATTTCCCCTCCAGCGGGTCCCGAGCTTAAAGTAAATAAATACATGTAGTAATTAGAATACTGAACTGGAATCGAGTGAAGTATATTGTACTGAATACTATACAGAGTATGGAGTACAACAATATATATATAAATAAACTCTGGTATTCGAACTAAATAGATAAATAAGATACAAACAATGATGACGCTGTCCCCCACTTTCTCTTCTCTTTTTTTTCCCTTTTGTGTTGGGTACCGAGAGCCTCTTCGTGAAACTTTTTTTATTTTTTATTTTTCTTTCCCTTTTTTTTTTTAACCCTGTGCCCTGTTCCTTCGGGTGTTTACTCTTCCTTTCTCTTTCTCTTTCCTTTTATTCTATACTCCTTTCCTTTTTTTTTCTCTCTAGATCTCTCGCTCTCTCTGTCTCTCTCTCTCCTTTCCCTTTAGATATCAATCAAGATCACCACCCCTCACTTCGTTTTTTTTATCGCTGCCCATCGACTCCACTCCCCCACCCACTGGGTTCTAAGACCGTCAGGCAGAGGATCCTAAATTCTCAACCCAACCTCTGCAGCTGCAGTACGCTCCACCACTCATCGTCTGCCAGAGAGGTCATTTTCTATTTTCTTCTCTCTTTCTTTGACCCAACGCTTCCGCCCGACTCTTAGCCTAATATCCCACTTCGATGGAGACATTGCGATCTGAAAAGTACCATCTCACTCTCTCCGCTTGACAGAACCCGTCGCCCGTCGCCTGCCATCGCCTGCTGCGATCGGCAGGTCCGCTTACTTGTTTGAGTGGCCCGCTTGGGTTGGGCACTGGGGAGAAGTGAAAAAAAAAAAAGGAAGCCATTTCGTCAGATCTACGGGGTTGAGGGGAAGAATAATATCCATTCTGACTCATCGTCAACGGGGAGCAGTGGCTTGCTGTAAGTCGAACATCTCTGGAGCCCTGTGGGAGCGACGCACGTCGCCCTTGTCGGAAACGGGACCAACCCTGTTTTTTAAATTTTTTTTTTCAGACACCCGATTGCCTTGCAGCCCACATAATGGCCAGTAAGGGCCCCCGGCCTGCCTGCGTCGAAGATTACGACGAAGAACACCACGCCATCCTACCCGACACTAGGCTTTCTGCCAATATTGCTGCCAATACAGCTGCCAAAATATCCTCCAGGTTGGAAAGATTCCAGGAGCCGCTGATCGACGCCGCCAGTGACTCAGGTTATTCTAGTCGCACCGCCGCTACGGTTAATAGCACCCAATCTGGGCCGTCGGGCGGAAAAAGTCCTCCGATCCCTCATAAGCTGGACGCCCCCAAGCGTAACGACCTCGCAAGGAAAAGTTCAACCAGAGAACGCAAGGACAAAGAACGAATACGACCCTCGCGCGAAGAGAAGATGGTTGGTGCCTATCCGGGCGCTGCCCATCATACTCACGTGCCCCGGTCGTCGTCCAAGTCCCGTCGAGAACCCTCCCATGCCCGCCAATATCACGACAGTTACTACGATTACGGTATTCAATACCATCAATCAACCCCGGTTGACCATCGACAGAGTGAATATTCCTACTACCAGCCACGTCCACCAGTCCCGGAATACTCATCTTCCCCGCACAATGCTCGATATCCAGCCGGTGTCACAGAGAACATTCACGTCAGTCACCCTAGCCGATCCAGCCGCTCCAATTCATATCACACCTACCACCCAAACGGACGACCCATGAGTTTCCACGGCATGCCACATGGAATGAGTCCAGGAATGCCGTCTCCAATGTACCCCCAGCACGGATACGATCATGGCCCTCCACCAGCCAGCTCAGCATACATGCACCAATACTCGTCATCTCCATACGGACAAAACTCCTACTACGCCCCATCAGCCTCGGACTATCCACCATCGGAGTATCCACGAGAGCGGTCTCGGTCCCGGGAGCCATCACGCCGTCGGTCCTCATCTATATATACTGCCCCAAACCCCCCACCCATGGACTCCGGGTCGTATGCACCATGGTTTGATGAGGAGCCACCTATGGAACACTATTCCTCCCGGGAAATCCGTGAAATCCGTGAACGTCCTCCTACAAGACACCAGGAACAGGATGAAGACTACTATCGGATGCCACCCCCAGGAGCAAAGCCCAAGCCCAGGCCGCAGATTCACCAAGCTAAGCGACCGGAGCGGTCTGAGCCACTACGGAAAATGCATCCCTCTGCCGGTATTGTCCCCTCTCAACGTCGCCCATCCAGAGGCATAGACAGAGGAGATAGAGGCATAGACAGAGGAGGTAGAGACATAGACCGAGATATAGACCGCATGGACATGCCGGAACTTGCAGCTGCCTTGCCGGTGATTCAGGATCGCCCCCATCGTCGGATGTCAAGGGACGCCCCGTTGCCAGAGAGAACTCATAGCCTACGAGATCACCGACGATCAACATCCTACCAGGATGATCGACGGGCTGCTCAGGTGGCCGTGGCGAGCTCTCGGCGGCGGAAGCCAACCGAGTACTACTACGAGGAACCATCCAGCGCCGGCGGCGACCTCGAAGACCGCGAGCGCGAAGCTGAGAACTACCAGGCAGCCCGATCCGGCCGAACCTCAACGGCTGCACTGCCTCTCTCCACAGAGGCCTTGCTCCCTGCCAAAGCGTCTCACCGCAACGGGAACGGGAGCGAGAGCGGCAGCCAGAATAGTCGTTCGAGCCGCGGCAGTGCCACACCCTCACGGAAGGAGGAAGACAAGAACATGACCCTCACGTTGAACGGATTCCAAATTGGATTTACATCTGAAGCAGTCGCAGGGAAATCTATTAACATTCGTGCTGGGGACACCGGGGCTGTTCGGTTGAACATCGGCGGCCCGCGGCCATCCAAGCAGCATGTGAATGGTACCAGCTCTGATTACGCAGGCGGCTCCAGCCGTCGGGAACTCGAAGATGTGGTGCGGCGTCCCCGGGACGGTGGGCGGTCTGAACGATCTAGTCGTCGAGATAGTCGGTCAACCTACGGGACTACTCGCTACCACTGATCTTGTTACCCAATCTGTTAGATGTCCTTTTTTTTGTGTGTTTCTGCTTTTCATGGTTAGGTATATTTTTGTTGTGATTCCATCTTGTGTCTGCATAGCCGTTCGTGGCTGGCCTTGTTCGTTTGCTAAAAGTTTCGATTGCTTTGCACATGCTGCGTGTTTTTGTTTTTGTTTTTCTTTCTTTTTCTTCGGGACTGGGTGCTTGTGCAACAAAAAAAAACAATGGTGATTACCTAAAGCAAGACTCTGTTGGGCGATTTGGGGAACAGGCTGGACTTTGTCATGAAGTCTAGAGTTGTCTGTTGCCCAACAGTCTCGCTAAACTGGGAGGAATTTTTGTGTGATTTCATTTGCAGCTGCTGTCTCGATTTTCTTTTTATGTTTATGTGCTTGGGCAAAATGGTCGGGCACGAACCCCATGATGATGTGTTTGTTATGGCGATATGATTGTACGATTCTGATGACCTGCAATGACAAGTCTGATGTGCTTTACTTTCTGATGTCTTCTTTTTGTCAGCGTTCCGTGTATAGCCTTTCCTATTGGGTCTGTGTCTTCCTCCCCGGTTACTTTGTTCGCGACTCCGAGTGGCGGAGAGAGATTATACCCATATCTGTTTACTTGTCATGTCCCACCAGGTCATCTTTTTCTTTGGCCATATCTATGATTTATGTGTCTTGTTGGTATTGGTATTTTGGTTCCGCTGAGAGCCTCGTAGTTTTCTTCTTTTTTTTTGGGCTTTTTATCGATTTGGTTGATCTCCTTGTCTTTTTTACCGTCCATTGATCTTGATGCTTTTTCCTGTTTTTGCTGTTTAGTTGGTTTTGATACCCCGCGAGCTGTCTGGGCGCGATCACAGCTTTCGACCCTGTATGCCTCTCTCAGAGGCTTCCAGCGGGTGGCATTTGTCGACTTGATATAATTGATCCCTAATTAAATCCATGTTAAAACGCCATGTTTCAGATCTAAGTAGAAGTCAAATGTGATCGACTCTTTTTATAGATCGACCCACGAGTGGCCCAACTCTACCCGTCCACGGACCCGTGGATGGGTAGTGTGGGGGATGATGTAAGCGGGTTGTCCCTGACAACCACTGTGTAAACACAAGTCCCCAGCCTCTCCTCCAACCTCCTCAATTTTGTGCCGGACGTCAAGCAGAATCATATCTGGGTTGGTTGTTTTCCCATCTTCAACCTCCTATTGATACTCATCTAGGCATTGTGCTTCGCTTTTGCCCACATTCCACACTCACATTCTATACCCACATTCCAGAGTGTCAGAGATCTATCTCTATCTACATCTGGTGTTGAACACTTGCTTCAATGTATGTTCATTTATCTCCTCTGTCAATCTCAAAAATATTCGACGTGTTAATGATCCGATAGTGAGTCCAGTCTTGAGCCGGGTGCTCTTGGCCACTCTAATATTCCATCATGCCTCCAGTTTGGCCGATCGGGGACTCTTCCGACAGTCCAGGAGCCACCGCTGCCGGACTCTATGTTCGAGATGTCAGCAATGAGAACATGGCTGATACATTATCTTCCATCGGCCCTAATACTCACAACCTCTTCCCACGTACCGACTCCTCAACAGAAGATTCCAGCCCGCCAAGATATGGACAAGGCACAGTCGACCCGCACAGCATCAAAATGCAAGGCCTGATGGCACTGTTTGCCATTATTGGACTGGCGTTTGTCATAGGGGGGATCTGGTTCTTCTTCTGGGCCAAGAACGGCGGATTCGTCTGGCGGAAGGGGGATTGGGATGACTACAAGTCCACTGTTCTGCGACGAAAGGGACCCGATGGAAAGACTCTCAGTAACGCCACAGCAAGTACCAAGCTCGGCGGTGGAAGTGTTGTCGGCAAGGGCTACACGGACGACGGATACTCGTTTACAGAAGGATCATATACCGACACAGCGACGACCGTTACAGAGGAGAAGTCACGACGCAAGAGGTTTAGAGAAACCGCCAAAGAGAAGCTCCTCCGACGCAATAAGCACGAGCAATGGGAAGGCGCAGAAGATGCAGACGTACGTGCCTACCGAGAAGAGAAGCCCGCTCGTATTGGCGGCATGAACCGTGAAGCCGACGGAACCTACAACGGCAGCGACTACGATACCTCCGCCCCGCCTACATCCTACCAACAGAGCGAGATGAGCCAAACTCATGATTTTGCATACGAACAGCCACGCCAGCAGCGCCGCGATCCCTCCGGTTTCTCATTCACCCAAGGCAGCGAGGATGTTATCAGCCAAACAACCGAAGAGCGTCGTGTCCGCGACCCATCTACCCGCCGCCACAACCGTCGTCGTGATCGTCGCAGCGAGGCAGCCCCATCTGCCCCACCTTCCGCGCCTTCATCTCGTACTAGCAGCCCTCGCAAGCAACGTGAGCGCCGCTCCGTGCCCCAGGGCCACTTCACTGAGCCCCTGGATTTCTCATCTGCGGGCTCCCGTTCCGAGTACCAGTACTCCAACGTTGACACCGAGGATTCTGGTACCAAGAGCTACAAGCATCCAATTCCGGGCTTGACGAAGGGATACCGCCGCGATGGACGGAGTCGTCGCCGCGATAGTCTGAGTGATAGCGAGGGCGAGACACAGTACTCTTGAATGATGACTGCAGATTGGGCTAGGTCTTGATGTATGAGATTTGATTTTGAACGTTCAACAATTCTTTGGGATATGGAAATAGCGTCTTTTTTTTTAACGGCAAATGCCGATCGACTTATGGATATGGGAAATTGTTTGGGTTATGTACATAATGAACAGAATCACGATGTGAATGGATAACATTCCGATACAATATAGTATACGAATGTAGGTACCTTTGATTGAACTACCTCGGCATGTTTAGACATGTATTAATCTAGGCTCATATTGTGGATGGACATGTCGCTCTCATGCGCCAGTGAAGTGGTAAGGTTGTCCGACGTACGCTTTAACTCTACACCATGTATTTCCCTCAAACTGCAGCCTGAGCTTGAGATATACCTGGGTATTGTTAGCCAACTGATATCTATCCTAAATTCCCGATATCTATCGTCGAAACAAGAACCCTGTTGTTGACATGGCTTCCTGTCCGTCATCACCCTTCTAACTTCACACCACCATCCATTTTAACCCGCAAGGTTGACGACCTCTTGTCATCTCCGGCTCCTCAGGCGCAGGAAAAGGGACTCTTATCCAAAAACTCATCGGCGCACACTCGAACACATTCGAACTAACAGTTTCCCACACAACCCGGCAACCACGCCCAGGTGAAACAGCGATTTATCCTACCATTTCGTTTCTGTCGAGACATACAAGGCTCTCAAATCCAACGGAAGCCTGCTAGAAGATTCCATGTATACCGATGACTTCTACGGCCGCGGGGTCTTGGTGTGCTTGAGTAGGCTAGGCAGTAGATTAGGTCTTAACCTATGGTTTAATTTCTATATATAAAAAAAAGGGGGAAATCAATAAGACTGTCAACAAATGTTTAATGTTACTAGGGTATATACACTACCCAGCTGATTGACTCCTAATATGCTCCACGCTCGCCGCTCCATCCTGAAACCAAAGCATCATCGCCATCTTACTAATATTATCTGACCCCCAGCCCTTGCTACCCAGATCCACCAGTTCAGGCGCAGACTTAAACCGCATAATCTCAACTCTCGAGTGCCGCAACCGATGAAGAAGCCAGCGATTCACGAAAGAGCCCTTGTTGACAGCCTGTGGGTGCGCGGATGCAAAGAAAGGCGATGAATCTTCAAATTCCGAGGAGTGCAGCGGATCATTGTACGTCTGGTCCTCTGGTTTCTCGGGCATAAAGTGCTGTGTTGCCTCCTCCTCATTGTCTTCCTCTTCTGTGATCTGTGCGGAACGATTGGCATGTTCCGGGTGCGATTCAACCTCATGGCGTACTCGTGCTAGTTCGGTCTCGATTTTAGTCTTTTCATCTTGGTAGCGAAGGAGAAAGGAAAGGGCCGCGCTGTCGAGTGAGATGCCGACTCGTTCGCGGAGCTCACGTTGGTCGACTAGGACCAGGTATTCTGTCTCTAGCTCCGACAGCCGTTCCATGAGTATGTGTGCCTCGCCAACCATGGAGAAGTAATCAGCCACTTGGGGCAACGTTTCTTCTCCATAGTCAGAAGAGTAGTCTGCCGAGGAAGATTCGGTGTCCGAGGTAATGGGTTCGAGCTGTGCCAACAAGCCGCTTTGATACTTGAAGATGGTTTGCAATCTTTCTAATCGTCCGTCGTAATCGTACTCCAGCTGCGCCAGTTCATCTTCCTGTCTATGGTATTCATTTTCAAGGATAAAATAAGACGATGTTGCAACCTGGAGGTCATTGATAGTGTGATTGATAGCAGCAAGATCCTCATGTACTTTTTCGGCGGTTATGAGATTCAACCTGCTCCGTAATGCAACCCGCACATCATCTTCCTCGTCACGCTTTTGTCGAAGCATATACCGCATTTCCCGGATCCGATAGCGCTTGGCTGACACATCTTGATGTGCGTTTAGTACTTCCCCTATAAGCTTCCCCACCTTGGCACTGGTGTCATGGATTGATTCAGGGGGCGGCGCAGGCATATTGTACCAGTTGGTTGGTTCATATATTTCCCGGGGGTACTGAAACTGGAAGGACGGGACGGATGACCCGGTCGAAGGATCATATTCATCCCATTTTTGGGGATTTTGTGGTGACCAGGGCTCTCTTTCGGTGACTTCATCGTCCTTATCTACCAGATCTAGTCCGGAGGATTCGAATAACGGGGCTGTTGGTGTCGGTTTTAGAGCAGAAGCACCTGAAGGAAGTGGCGATAATCGTTGCAGGATTTCTGAGGCTGTGGAACTCGATACTCGGGCACCCCCTTGTAACTCTTCCAGCCTTGAGATGGGGGTAAATGAAATGTTGGGAAGGCAGACTTCACTTCTAGTAGTGGCATAGCAGTCTGCTGTGGACGGCGGCTATATAGTGAAACCGTGATGAGCCTCGAGTCTAACGCATACCGGTATTAGTTCACTCACCCGGGATAAACGATCCCGTATAGCTCCTGGCCAAGATGTCATCACTAAAGGGCTTTACAGTACCACCCGGTCATATTTTGCGATGGAAATTATACATAGACCAACACATTCGAATGCTGGTAAGCACGGTTGAACAGCCGTGGAGGAAATAATGCTATTGATAAACTGGATAATATTTTAAAAAGAAGGAATCAGGGGAGCTTTGTCTTCGGAGTCACACCAGGGTTCTAGTGGGGTGAGGTCGAAGGCGCAGTTCCTCTTTGGTGCCCAAGTTGGCAAATCTCCAATGATCGTTACTCCGTAATCTCCCTTTGCATTAGCGCCTGCGCCTCACTCATCGGTTGGTTGCCCCGAGTGCAGTGGTAAATCCTGAGACAAAACATTCGAGGTATATCAGCCACCAAGAGCTTATTGCCCTCATTTATCTGGGACATTGGAATCATACTCCGGGTCCACCATCAGGTGCTAGTTGCCAAAACGTCTCTTCTGCGAGTGAACGCTTGATGATAAATTAACATGCTGCATCCATGGATGACATACGCAGTGCCGTTTATATAGTACTAAGTCTATTGTGACAATGGTATGAACGGTCCGAGCCGCTTGGTGCGGGTACTTGCGGAGTTGAGAGATATAGAAACCCCAATGCTTGTCTCTGATATGCCTGATCTTCCCGAGTTCCTAATTTCTGGGTCGGATATGGAAAGGTCATGGCTTCGGATTGGGTACTCCATCCCGAGAGCAACCGATGGGTTCGGTCTATCCACGACCATTCTGGGAGGCATCACTGGCTACATAAAGAATGATTGCAGTTACTGACCAAAACAGAAGGGGAGTTTCTTTATGAATGGGACTACACAAGTGCTGCGCTCACTCCTGCAATAGCAAGTCAAACTTCAAGGTTAGTTGTTCATTTTTCAGGCGTGAGAAGTCCGGGGAAGTAATCCGTTTAATAAAAGCCTCGCGTCGCGCCAACGAAGCACCTCCGTCCGAATCAGCGTTTCCCAATCCCGAAGATGCATATGGGCATCAGACCCCATTTGTTCAGGTCGCCATGCAAGTCGCCTAGATCATGTACAGCGGCAGGACCCGCTCGATTACAGCCAAACATATACCAATCGAATAGATCTCAATTACCGATCTTCACCCACCACATACCAGCAGCTCCCCAATCATCGTGCGGATGGTGGCATATACCTAATTGCGAGAGCAGTAACAAATGACAAGGCAAGCAGTCCGGCTGAATGGACCCCAGGGCTGCAGTACGAGGTATCCAGAGAAACAGCCGGTCGCAGAACAGGGCGTCCAGGCATATCCAACCGTAGCGAAGCCACCACCTCATCAAAAAGTGATGCATCAATTCCGCGAGTCCACGTTGAGGATCTGCAGGGATTAAATCTCGGGGGTCATCCAGCTTCGGATATGGTGCTGCCATATGGGGTCAGCAGTCACAGTCACCACAACGACCCCATTTTTGGGAATGCCCAATGAAAGTATGACAAAGAGGTGGTGAGTAATTAATTTTCCTTCCTCCTTAACTGATTGGCTAATTTTGACGTGTAGCAAAAGTCATTGGTGTAGCAAAAGTCATTGGTGTAGCAAAAGCCATTGGAACCAGCATACGCGATTCCCGACAGTAACGGCGAACGCGAGACTGGATCCTCGTAAGCAACGGTATGTAACATCTACGGTTATTTGATTGAATGAATAACGACTGTCATTATTGGCGCTTATTCTTCGGGTTTCATGACATTTGTATCTGATCTTGAGAAAGAAGGACAACATGATGGCAGAAGCCGTGGTTCGCTTGCGGTGAGTGCCACAGTAAATGTTGTGGGCCATGCCTCTGTAAGTAGATATATCAACGATCTATGACAGCCGGAAAAGAAATATCACAATTGGATAAGAGGGGAACTCTGCTGTAGCAGAGTTCAAAATGAGTGAACATTCCATGGGTTCTCCCGACGAACAATAGGCTGGTTTGATGTATCGGGCCCGACTTCTTTAAGGTATAGGTCATGGTGATCTCTGTCTTGAGTCCTAATCCCAGCTTCCACTGAGGATGAGAGTTCTACACGATGACCCGTGGACAGAAACTGCCCTCGTCCTGCCACGCAATGCGCTCTATGCCTTCGTTAGGTGCTGCCGGTTACTGGAATTTATTAAGTTAAGAGATATCCGTATTATATGTTGGAAAATGTCTACCGGGGTCTTATTTGCACTCATCAGGAAAAAAACATGTCATCCATTGATGCTAATCAAGGGAGGGGAGAATCCATTGCTATTGTTGTATATACCAGGATCTATACTACCGAGATATATTTTCGGTCAAGGGTAGGGCGCGAAAAATAAATTGTCTATGGATATCCATGAGAGATGTTACAGAGTAGATAGACGTAGGACTACTGCGTGGAAATTATGCTAGCAATGTCTGAAAGACTCACAGACTCTCCTCGATCATTTGTACTATGTAGTTCATGGAGTTTCCGCCTGAGGCATTACAGATTATGTCATCGTAAAATCTTAGGATTTACCGCCCGCAATAATCTCACCGCCCGATAAAACTTCCCAAAAAAGTTTCAACTTCCGCAGATTCGATCAAGCAAATGCCTAGTACAATCACAATGAAACGCAAGTTGGACGCCAACGATGTCCCTTCGCCTGAGGCTGCCGGAGCCGAGGACCAAGAACTCGACTTTGAAGCCCTCAATCTCGATCCTCGATTGCGCCAGGCCCTGATCAAAGAAAAGTTCACCAAACCCACTCTTGTACAGTCAAAGGCGATTCCGCTCGCCCTGGAAGGAAAAGATATTCTTGGTGAGACGAGCCTCTTGAATTGATGAATTAAAAGACAATTACTGACAAAAATAGCCCGTGCGAAAACTGGCTCTGGCAAGACCGCCGCCTATGTCCTCCCAATCCTGCAAGCCATCCTCCAGCAGAAGACCGTTCGTCCCCACCCCCTCCATGTGTACTTCATATAGAAAGTTACCTAACAGTGTACAACAGACCGATCCATCCTCAAAAGCCACAACCGCTCTTATCCTTGTCCCCACGCGCGAGCTTGCAGAGCAGGTCCAGAAAGTGATTACGTCTTTCGCCAGTTTCTGCGGAAAGGATATTCGTTCAGTCAACCTAACACAGAAGGTGTCTGACGAAGTTCAGCGCTCGATGCTGGCCGATTTCCCGGATATCGTTGTGTCTACGCCTACCCGAGTTTACAGCAATGTTAACAACTCCGCTTTGTCGCTCGATAAAATCACGCATTTGGTTATTGACGAGGCAGATTTGGTCCTGTCATACGGATATGACGAGGAAATCAATGCTCTCTCCAAGGCCATCCCCCGAGGAGCGCAGACATTCTTGATGAGTGCTACTCTCACTTCGGAGGTGGATACATTGAAGGACTTGTACTGCCGGAACCCTGTGATTCTTAAGCTAGAGGAGACGGAAGAGAAGGGCGCTGGTGTCAGCCAGTTTGTTGTCCGGTAAGTCAATATGCTACAACCGTCATTTCAGTAGTTGCTAACTCAACTCCTAACAGATGCGCGGAAGACGAGAAATTCCTTCTCACATATGTTATCTTCAAACTGCAGCTGATTAAGGGCAAGGTCATCATTTTCGTAGCAGACGTCGACCGATGCTACCGTGTCAAGCTTTTCCTCGAACAGTTCGGTCTCAAGAGCTGTGTCCTCAACTCAGAACTTCCCATCAATTCGCGGATCCACGTTGTCGAAGAATTCAATAAGGGCGTCTACGATATCATTATCGCAGCCGACGAGCAAGAAGTATTGGGAGTGACCAAATCGAAGAAGTCGCGCGAAGTCAAGGAGGCAGACGAAGAAGAAGAAGAAGCAAAGGAAGAGATGGGAAGCAGTGAGGATGAAGAGGCAGTTGATGAAAGCGGAAAGGGAAAGAAGCCGGAAACCAAGAAGCGCCGCAAGATGACCAGCAAAGAAAAGGACTACAGCATTGCCCGCGGTATCGATTTCCAAAACGTCGCCTGCGTCCTCAACTTCGACCTCCCCACCAGCTCCAAATCCTACACCCACCGCATCGGACGTACCGGCCGCGCTGGCAAAGCAGGAATGGCTCTATCCTTCGTTATCCCCGCCGAACAGCACGGCAAGCACCGACCCACCTCAATTCCCAGCACAAAGCACGATGAGACCATGCTCGCGAAGATCATCAAGCGGCAAACCAAGCTCGGCCATGAAGTCAAGCCCTACCACTTCGAGATGACGCAAGTTGACGCCTTCCGGTACCGTATGACAGATGCCCTGCGCTCCGTGACAAGACTCGCAGTGCAAGAAGCACGAGGACGCGAGATCCGTCAGGAACTGATCAAGAGCGAAAAGCTCAAGCGCCATTTCGAGGAAAACCCCGACGAACTGCGCCAGCTGCGCCACGATGGCGAGCTGCGCGCTGCGCGCGTCCAGGCGCATCTCAAGCATGTGCCTGATTACTTGATGCCTGCTAAGGGGCGTAAGGGTCTCTCGAAGGAGAGTGTTGGGTTCGTTGGATTCACGAAGTCGAAGCAGAATCGCATCCGCAAGGCGAGAGATCGCAACCGTGCTCGGGGCAAGTCTGGTGGGAAGGTTGATCCCCTGAAGACGTTTAATCGTTCCAAGAAATAGTTTTGCATAGTTTAAAATCTGCGGGCGTTTTGTCCGGATACCATTGTATAGTCAGACATGAATAAAATAGTTTCAATTTGCGTTTTTGATTACATGCGTAGGGTGTTTCCTGTTCGGTACAGTGATGTACATTCTATCTATTTCATTGTGTATGTACATAGGCAGAGTCTCAGAAATAAACAGACAATTCCTGCCCATCCGGCAATTTAATTACCTCAGATTCAACGTCTTCCAGCCCTAACCCGAGCTCGATTTCGAGCCATTTCCTCCCCCTCCTTATTTGCCGAATGTGCCTCATCACATCACGTGCATTTTGAGGGTGAGTTGCATGGATAGAAACATCTGGCGAGCTTGTTTGCGGGGCGGGCACTTCATGGGACGGCATATGACACGAGTCGTGAGACTTCGTCGAATCCATAAAGCCAGGGCCGATCCCAAGCCATTCGACATCTCTCCAAGATCCGTTCCACTCTGGGCCAACATTATTAGGATTCTGTGGAAACCCATCTGGGTCTTCACCAACCCATTTCAAGGCTGGTAGCCATTCGCCGCAGCCCTCAAGGTCCAACCATTTCAGGCAGTAGGTGGAACGGGAGAGCTGACGAAGAATACCCGCAGCTTCAGCCCAGTTGTTGTCAAGGGCATCTGGGGTCAAGAAGCGGGCCACCGAACCACGAATACGAGCAGTGGCAGCACGTGGATTTCGGCACGGTATAGGCCAATGGGCGAGCGAGAGATGAGTGAGGGTTGGCAAATTCCCTAGTAGGTTAAGAAGACCGGTCCAGCTTGCAGCAATGGGTTTCGGGTGTGCTAGGGATAAGGCGCGGAGTTCGGGGAAGCGTAGGGTCTGCGTAATGACTTTGGGTATGAACGGAGCTGGAAGATGGTCAAGCGTAGCTTCCCCTTTGCTGTTGTGAACAGCTTCATCCCACGAAGCTGGGACAGCCTCCTCTATTTCCTCGCCTGGTATACCAATGGCTGGAGTTGGCAATAGGATTATCTCGTTTGTGAGCTGCCTCAAAGTTATCCAGTTTCCCAGAGCACTTCCCAGATCCAATCGCACGATTTTGAAATCTGCATCAACAACTCCCGACTCGTTGAAACCCGGGTTCTCCCTTTCAATTTGATCCTGATCCTGCTGGGTCAAAAAGAGCGGTTTCAGCCCTTTCATGTAACCCCTCCGAGGCGACCCTCTTGCGTAGACAGCAACATAACTCAGTAGTAGTTCCTTGAGATGATTTGGAAGTTGAGACAGAAAAGGGCCATCATATTCAACATGCCAACCCCAGTTCAAGGCCATAGATTTCAGCGTCAGATGTACCAGGCTCCTCTGGTCCGGAAACAACGGCCCTTGGAGGCGGGAAAGACGGTGGATTTCCTCTTCTAAGGCTTCCGGTATCTGGTTATGCATCCCTTGATCTCTTGCTAAATCCGCGTTTCCGGAGAGCCAACTTGCAGGCGGCGGAGGCCCGACAGTTGGCCGAGTTGGACGAACCCCGAATATCGTACGACGAAGACCGGGTCGAGGCCGCGGCGGCGCAGTTGCAGGGAGCTCGAGAACATCTCGAAGAGATGGATGAACTGAGCGCGAGGCTACAAACGAGCGATGAGTGCGTTGCGAGCTTGGGGGATCATCCGGGGAAGCGCTAGGGATCTGTGTACGGCGGAGGTGACTGATTAAGTCGTTGACTGACGTCGCGGACGCGGAGCCGTGTACCCCAGACCCACCATCATGACGAGACCCAGATGGTGCAAGGCTGTGATGTGCTAAGTTGGCTGGCTTTGCGTGAAACCGCTGGTGCTTTTTGGGCATCTGCGGTCGAACTGCGTGTTTGACGAAGTGAAGTGTCTCCGGGATGCTTTCCCGCTTTTATCGCTTATCGACTATCGCCCCCACATTTGATCTATAGCGCAAGAGGCTGACATTTAGGGCTTACAAGACACGCGGAAAGGTCCGCACCCATGAATCACTCTTGTTCGTAATCAGGTAGAAAGTGAGTCAGTACTTGTGACTCATTTTTGCCATAATCAAATCTATACAATGTTATACAATCTATGCACACGGGCTCAAATATCCCGAACCCAGGAATCGTCCTTCATATGGCCCTCACGCTTAGCACCCTCCTCCAGCCAGGTATCCACCAAGCCTTCTTTTGGATCCTCATCGGGCAGTCCGCGCGACCGGCGAACATCCAAGACAAGGTTCCGGATCTTCAAGGTGACCTCTTTGCGCAGCTCGATAGCTTCTTTATCATTCAACAGTTCATCACTTAGCACACCCAGGGGCAGATCTCGGGAATCGGGATAGGTCTTTTCGACCTTCGCTTTCAACTTCTGCCACCGAGATCTCATTTCCCCGAATACAGCATCCGAGTCCACCTTGGAGCCAAAGGTAACGCTAACATCTTTACCAGGTCGAGGAAGGAATCGCGGGAATTCGCGACTCTCGTGCATGACATTATCGAAACCTTCAATCCACATTGGAACCACATCCGGACACTCTTTGGGTTCTAGGATGAGCCTTGCGATTCCCCACTTGAAATAGCGCATGGTCTTTCGTGGGGACTGGTGAATCTTGCCTTCGGGGAAAATATGAACCCACGAATTCGAGTTGCAGGAGTATGCGGTAGGTGCGAGGTGTGAGTCCTTGCCATCGGTTGTGTAGGCAACTGAGAGGTCCGAGAAGGGATCGACACAGACGTTGTGCCAGCTCCAGCGTTGACGTTCAGGTATGGCGCGGTGGTGATCAACGGGGAAAGGACCCTTCGATAACAAACGAATAGCCTCGGTCATAGCGGGTTGGGCTAGGCCACCGAATGCAGAGTGTGCGGAACGGTGGGTGGGTAGGACCTGTCCCATAGTGAAGAAGAGTGACAGTGGTCTGCGATTACGGTCAGCAAAACAAGCCATGGAAGAAGCATTTGGGTAAACTCGTAATTACCTTGTCTGGTAACAAATATCGTAGCTCCCGAAAGACCACCGCTTATTCCAAAATCGCGGAGGTAAAATACCCCATAGTAATGGGTCATCCATTCTGGTATTCCGGCGCAATGTCAGCCATCTTCACATTTAGAGTATGGATTGTCTCGATCCGAGGCTGTTTGAGGCACATACACACTGATGTGATTGGATACTGTTTTCAGATAAATTAATTAGCAACTGCACAAGTCTAATGAACTTCGCTGTGTCCTGGCATACCTGTAATCAATCCTCGCGTCCGTTGCGAAACGTCATGCCGAGAGTCTAACAGCTCCGTGAATGCCTCTTTTCCATGACATTCTGCATGGCAGAAAACTGAAAGGAAACCGCGACATAGACCCGCCACTCCCCACATTGTTGTGTTGGATAAAGCCCTCCAAGGGAGGGACGGGGGACTCCGCCGTTGCGCTCGAGTCCATGATGGATGATGTAAAACTGCTATACACAATCCATGAACAAAAAGAAGCTTTACACAAGCCAATAGTAGCTTGGAAAGGAGTATTTTCTCCGAAGAGAAGTGTAATTGACTCGAGTGTAGTTTTAGAAAAATATCGCGTCCCTGGAAATCGACAGATTCTCGGAATCACATGATTTTGGTTGGGGTAACCATTCGCAGTACATCACCAGAGGTCAGCATTACCATTTTTTTTCAATAATATAAGAAGGTATAATTTAAGACGAACAATTAATCTCACTACTTAAATTAAAGGAATCTTCCAGTCTCCCTATATCAACTGTATCAATCAGTAAATGGCACATTCCATCAGTAACTTTTTCTATACATCCAGCGCACGGACCAATTACACTCCCGACTCCGAGCACGATTTTCTCCCGGCTACACCCTGACAGCACCAACAATCAACGATGTTCAAATCAACCCAAGCTCTATTTGGCGGTCTTCTCTGGTGCGTATTTGGGCCCTTTGCACCAAAGGCCTGATTATTCGAACCCAAGCTAACATCTTTCCCAAATAATAGGAAGACCCCGTGGCGTCTCTCTTCCCCCCAGAAGGCACGACAGCGCAAGCGCCTGCGTTCCGTGGACCGCGTCGTCGACACCGTCAGCGCTGCACTCGAGCGCAATGGCCAGACCTCCAAGGCTGTGAGCCGGTGGTTTGCGGAGATGCCCCGCGAGGAGGAAATGCTGCCGAAGGACAAGTACACTCTCTTCGATAAGAAAGAGAAAAGCTACCGGAAGAGCATTCACAGTATGTTCTCGTCCCATTTCTACTTCCCATATTCACACCAATTGGTATTCATTACTGTGTGGATCGGCTGAGCTAACCACTTTCTTTACCCTCAGAGCTCCCCAAGTGGACTCGTGTCAGCCAACGTGTCAACCCTCCCGGTTTCTAAACGGATTTTTATCCCCCGCACATGTACTATACATCCGAAACTCGGCTCTGGCGGGGGACTTGACGGAGCGAAAAACAACATATGGACAACCGGAGTTTTGGCTTTTTGGAATTTGCAGCGTGGCCGCTCTGAAGAGGATGGTGGCTTACAGTGTTCCATGATTACCCCAGCGCTTAGATCAGGCTTTCAATTCAAATGCATTTTGGCAAGGATATTTATTTGTGTTCGGTTCCGGTATTCCCGGGGTATACTAATGATATGCAATGACAGGCATGGTGGTAGTGAACGTATGGCACTAGAAGTGATGGATATGTCCACTGGAGTGCGAATATTGATTAGGTCACAGGTAGGGCAGGACAAAATGAACATAAGGGTCTGTTGTAAAGAAAATTATAGGTTCGAGGAGGATCATGAGACAAGGAAGTTTTGAGCTGTTCTTCGCCCGAGATCATAGCTTGGGATCAACTTTCCGGACGCAGTACGATAGCACTTGTTGACTTGAGCTGCCACTTCCTTGACCCTGCCTCGATTGACGCGGCCTTCGTGGAGGGCTTTGTGGAGACGATATCCCCGGTGGACTTGCTGCCAATCATCAAGCTTCTCTTGCCAGCCTGCCCCTCCCTCATACCAGGCGTTCTTCTGCGCGGTGGACATTTCAAAGCCTTGAGGCGGTTTTGGCAAAACCCAGCAGCCTGGATCGATATGACCATCTGGTGGCTCCTCGGCCGATTCATCATACAGTGTAACAGTACGAATGGCGTCTCGTATACCAGATACCTTCCGCTGCCTATTCACTGCGGCACGCCATGAGTCGATACGAGGAGTCTGCGCACGTTTTGGTTTGGACGCAGGGTACTTTGGTCTGGGGCTGAAAACGGGCTTTGGATAAGGAACGTTGAATCGTGGGTCTCCCCACGCCTGACGTGCATCAGTAGGAACTCTGGATACGGGATCGAAAACAATCCAAGTTTCTCTATTCAGCCAGTGGTTGGCTAGCAAGGCAAAATGGTATGGTTTTTGCCCTGGAGTGAATTCATTGAAGAGCCATAACAGTTTGCGATCTAGCATCTCCATCATTCTGACCTCCCAATCACTCAATTCATCGACAGCGCCTCCTGTTTTAAGCTCGGTTTGATCTGCAGAACATCGAGTGATGTCTATTTCCTGGAGTTTCCCTTGACGATGGGAGAGGCCAGGATGTTTGGGGTCATGCATAAATCGCCATTCATTAGACAATGCTGGTCTCGCTTTCGAATTGGTCTCCTTCCCTCGGAACATTGCTGGGGCCGAATTCCATTGGATGGTTTTGGTATACTTCCGCCTTTCATTTGAGAACAGAACTTGATTTCCAACGAAGAGTCCGGAAGTGAACGATGTTCCATTTTCCGAGGCACGCAACCCCCCTTCCGTGCTATTTTGCTGCCGCTTGAGGTGCCCACAAAGAGAAGAGCTCGAGTCTGAGATATAGGTGACCAGCATTTCGGCCGTGGGTGTCCCGGGCGGGCCAGATGAATCCCCTATGTTGTCAAAGACTGCCTCTTTTGGCCCCATCTGCATTCGTGCTGACCATCCACGGTATCTACGGTGACCACCATGTTGCTCAAGCGGTCTAGGTTGTTTTGTGTGCATTGAACCACTAGGCTCCGCTAGCTCATATTGAAAACCCTCATGTTGCACGACAGATGGGATTTGACATGAGATATCTTGCGATATCTTACCACGTGGCCATGGAATCGATCCTCGGATCTGATAGGATTGATTCTGTCTATATGGTAATGATTGGACAAGGCGGAACGGCATTGGTGTGCGAGTAGCTGGCCTTGCTCCATTCTTGCAAGAATCGAACCAGGGTTGGTGATCAGAACCGCCATCATGTGGCTGCAGTGGGTCCCTGAGTAGTTCCTCCAGAATCGAACGAGTGATAACTGGTTGGTTGCTGATCAATGTGGATTGCCGTGGTAGGATTGATCCCGATATATCCTCTTGCGCTTGCGGCCGCCGCACGGAGCCCGGCGCTGGAACGGGTCGGGGCATTGAAACACTGTCCTTCAAAGCACCGTGACACTTGGGTCGTGAACAAGGATTCCAGATATCATCGGCGGTGGGGAAATCATCATAGCTCTTGAGCCAATGTGGTAGCCAAGGAAATCCTTTCGGTTCTCGGCGGTGCTTTTGCTTTTCCACATCGCCAGGATCCCACCAAATCCAACCATAGTCGTCTTGAGTCGATTTCCACGTCACTGACTTCCAAATTCGAACGAAAAAGTCATGAATTACCCTTTTATTTCTCTCGTGTGTCGGATGCGTGACCCAGCCATACCATGTTCGAGCGTATCGGGTGTTCGTATTTTTGCCTTCTCCGAGCACCTTGTTTCGATTGAATCGTCTGATAAATCCCCCAATTTTCCAAAACAAGACTGCAAGGATGAATATTCCAATTGTTCCAACAAATAGCTCAAAGAATACCATGGGGTCGATTTCCTTATGGACTTTGACTGCTGTGTTTGGAGGTCGTTTGGGGGGACGTGGGATACCAGGAACCAGGGAGTGGCTCTGTCGAGTGGCCAGTGGCGCCATTTGATGGAAGCCTGGGTATACTCCACATGAATTAGTCCAGGAATCCGTAAGGATACAGAGCACAAAATGTCGTAAAGATTGTCTCCTCGAGGTCTGTAAATGAGAGAGGCTGGAGAGATGAGGAAGCAGCAAGGCACACCCTGAACTTTCCTACCATATCCTACTTCGATTCTATACCTCAATAACAGCGATATTTCTTCAGAATGTTTATTCCTGCAACGAACTTGTCATGGCAAATATTATATAGCGGTTGGGAAATGTTCTACAATGCCTGAGGTTCCACCTCTATCTATAACTATTGGCGATTTATCCAAGTCGCGACCAATCAAGAACGAGCAAGAGCGTCGATGTTTACTATTCGCCGTAATAAACGCCGTCTGTTTCAGGGTTTTGGACTGATATTGCCAGCCAGATTGCACCCTCGAATTGAACCACATTCGGCATGTGTTAACTCTCTTCCCCATTAATTATTGCCGTCCAATGCATTCTCTGGCAGCGGTCACTATCATACTCTCATATGTGGAAGCATACATAGATAACAAGCTTTATTGGGCTACTCCTAGTCAGTACAAGTTCATTATCGTCACACAAAGCATCCTGTCTAACCCTAGGACCTCGAGACTAGCAACCAATGCAGTCAGCTTTGCAGAGATCGAATCAGATCATAGGTTTATCGGTCTTTTTCAAAAACTGTCGAATTACGTTAGGCTGGTTCTGTTGACTCTTGAAGGGTGTTTGAACAATGAAGATAATATCAACACCGTAATGTGTATTTGTGTATACGTATCAATCTAGAGCTACAGGATGCGTCCCTGTTGTCTCGTGCTGCTATCAAGGCATTCAAAGGGACCAGTCCTTGTGGGCAAAGAACATTTCAGAGTTGATACGGGATCCAATGTAGTAGTTGCTCTCCACCGAAGACTCTTGTAGATCAGTTGTGGAGAAGCCTGCTGTTCCAATGACAAATTCCCCTAATTCAGGGCTGCTCCTCTACGTGACTTATCCTCTACTTTTGGCTGGAATCTTCACCTACTACTTTAGGTTCCACTGATGATTAGATAGCAATAGTAGATCGACCCACGCATATGCATAGTTCATTGAAGGTCTAGATCACACACGTCCACTTCTTTACCGCCTCGTCTAGCTCCTATGTAACTTTAGGCAAATACGTTTCGAGTGGCAAAATACTTTAGTAGTGACGCTAAGAGAGTCCCAAATTCGAATATCAAATGACATATCAGACACACCTTCACATGCCAACCCCTGTACAAGATCTTAGAGGTCAGCAAAATTGATTTAAGAATGGATTTAAGATGAACCTATGGAATGATAAGCGATCCGAGGCAGGAACTCTGGGTCCATCTCCACCTGCCAAATTAGGAAAGAGCCTGATCCACAGCCACACCGATTCAGCCACTCCTTGCAGTTCTAGCCACAAATCAGCCACGCTTGAGCCACTTACGGCTGATATGGTGGCGGTGCAGACTATTGACCTTCGGAACAAGGTTGCGTCTTTGTCTTACTTGACTTTGCTTTTTGTTGGGCTCCGGGTTCTGCGTATTTGTTGGGTATTGTCGTTTACGGTTCTGATACGTTTCTTTTCAGATCAATCTGATGATTAGCTTTCTCTTGTGTTCAGCCCTAGGGTGTCCGCAACTGCGTTACATCTCAGTACTTGGGATCGGACTTTCCAAGGTTATTCTGCATGCGCCTGCGTCACAATCTTCTGCCCAACGGGTTTCGGACCGCTAACAGCAAATAATATCCCATTTTCTGGTATGCTATTTGTTGCGGTGGGGCGTCGAATGATTTAAATTATTGAAGAGATCGTCGAGACGATCGCCCATGTCTTGAAGGATATGATAGGGTCACATGGAGATGGTTCAAGCTTCTTGTGGAGTTTATCTCAGTTCCTAAACCAGTTCTTTGGCATACACATGGAATCTCGGCCAGGATCCGAGTCTCGGCCAGGGCCAGTGAGGCTGATTATTGATCGTGTCTAGTTGGATTGTGTAAGAGATGTCAACTCCTAGTTCGCCCAGCTGTCACAACATCACCCCACGCCCTAATTCAGCGCCTCTTTTTCTATCTCCGTTAGGCAACATAGTTATAAAATGAAAATCCTGATAGATTTTGAAAAGAACGAGAAATCTCATAGCACAAAATGGCTTTCGGACTTTGAAGTGGGATATGTCGGTGTTTCCGAGTGGCGAAGAGAGTGTCCACTTGACTCCACAAACGCCACAGTTCACCGTTAGGGTGTGGCTTGCATTTTGCTGGTTAAAGGGTTAGACAAAGCTAGCAATTGCGGTCTGATGTTCTCCATTCACCCGACTCGGGGATCATGTCCAACTATGTCTGTGGGAGTAGGTGCCTCCATAATAAATATATGTACCATGACCAAGATGAGATACTTGCATACTAGTGGCGCGCCACATCCAACGATAGGGTCCAGGCATGAGACTTGCGACTCACTAGATGCCAGGAGCCGAATAACAAGGCACCAAAGTTGCGATAGGGACCAAACAACATTGGGCATGAACCTGCTGCTTGATCCGTGCACGGAACTATTGAAAGAATAAGCTCCGAGGCACCACCCCCTTTGCTTTGAGGTCCCGTGTCTCAATTCACGACTCCTATCCTCGCACATGAACCTCAACCATGTATGTCAAGACGTTTTCCTGTCAGTTTTGTCAGGTTTCCAGGGGTGACCTCGGGCCCATCGGGGTAGCGGGCGAAAAGGCCAAACCAGAAGTTCTAGGTTGTACAACAGTACAGATCATGGTGGAACCCTGTCGTGAGGGGACCCGGGGTCGATCTTGGCACTAGCTTCAGATCTCATGCAGTGCATCTTCGATCTCAGAGATCTCCTGTACATGCTCCACATCTGGTGTTTCACTTGGACACGTACCCGTCGATCATCCCAAATAGAAAGTACTATGCAGTACACACTCGCCCCACTGTTCGATTCCGTTGCCGGAACGTGTTGCTGCAAGGATCTTGCAGTATGCCGGGCAGACCTTTTATTGAGCTCACAAATATTGGTTCTGCGGGAATGGTGGCTTCCTTGGCCGTCCCAGGTACCTGGTCGCCGACCTTCGTCCAGGCTAATCGTGTACTTTTGAATGGTGGCGACATTCCCGTGGTCCCCGCCGTGGCCTACCACACGATTGAGGTTATGGGTCCAAAGTATATCTGTTATTGATTATCGGCGAGTGCCATGAAGTATATGAAGCCCTGGGTACGGCCACGTTCATACTTGACCTGATTCTCGTATTCCTCCATCTCACCAATCATTTCCCCTATTCTTCTTGCCTCTCTTCCATCCAAATCTTATATAATTATACTTCACGGCTACAGTTCCACGATTTCTCGTTCCAAAGCACCATACCGTCAAACAAAAACAAAAATGGCCGGCCGTGAATTCACACTGTCCTTCGAGACTACTCCCCCAACAGCCGCCCAGCCCGGTTCCCCTTTTACAATCCCAGTAGTCATTGCCGTGAACCCAATCGGGACACCCGCCCAAAATGTGCAGCACCTTGTCGTGAGCGCCTCTCTCCGCGACGAATCTGGCGCAGGAGCTGCCGTTGGCTTGAGCGGGAATCTCACGGCAAGCGTGCGGAGCAGAACCGATAACGCAATGAGCGGATATGCAAAATTCAGCCCACTCACTATATCGCAGCCAGGCAAGTTTCGGCTGCGGGTGATGCTTAGCGCAGCTTCGTACAACGGCGTTGTAACGAAGGAGTATGTTGATTCGACGACCATCCATGTGCACGCTGGTGCGGCTGCCCAACGGCCAAGTGGGTCAATCCTTTTCCTTGCTTCGGTCGTTTTTGCTTTGTTCCGGGTCCCTTTTCCCATCTTCTGTCCGATTCTTTTTTGATCTGCCCCTCTCCCACCGTGGATTTTTTCCCTTCAAGGCCAACAGCCAACATTTAGCCCCTCCTGCTTGCCCTTTTGGGACTTTTGCTGATACGTAAAAACTCTAGCTCCCACTCAGGTGGCACGTCTTCAACGGCTCACGGCTGAAAATTTGGATATCTCCGCTGCGGATATCGCGGCGTGGGAACGCGCATGATTGAGGGACATAGCACTCTTTCCTTTTTTTGCTTCGGGGGATCTCCGGCGTTATTCATGTTTAAGCTGCACGAAAACCTTGGAAACTTATTTTTATTTTTATTTTATTTCTTTATTTATTTATTTTTTGCCACGAGTGATAAGTTTCCTTTAAACAAATGCAAATCCATCAACTAGTCTCGAGCGGTCTATATCCACTTTTTCTCGAATAATTTTTGCATGCATACTCCTCATTGCATCGTTTTTAGCGCCGCCTATCCCTATTCTCGGATGGGGTTTCCTCTATTCCCGTAAGTATTAGCGCATCCACTAACTGAATCAAACCAAAATGTTAATCCCTGTAGATTTCTTTTTAATTTAGCTGCAAATATACTCAGGATTTACATGAAGGCACTCGGAGTTGTTTCCCTTGTCCTTCCTAGTTCTATGCAAACCCCAAATCCCGAGCTCGCACAACGTCAGGCTTTTCCCCAGGTCATTGATAATGACGTAGCAGAGTGTTCTCGTTTCGAGTGAATTCACTATTAGTCCGATTATCATGATACTCTTCGGATGATGCTTGGGATGAGAAGAGCATCTGGCATAATACAATGCATTAATTTCAAAATAGGGCCTGAGACACCTCTAACCACTTTCTGTCTGTAAACAGCAGGTGGATGTGCTGGGTGGGACCAAAGTAACAGAATGGAGCCAGGTAATGTTACCGTTTAGTCTAATATGTTCACGGGCTTTGGGTAAAGGCACTCATAAGCGGGGCAAATGCACCCACATACACATTACCGAGTCTTGTGTAGAATATAGAGTTCCCTGAGCAAATAGATATATCCTCACCTATTCTCATCGCCTCCTTATGGGTCACATAAAGAGCCAAAGAGCCTACAAGGACAAGGCAAGATGTCCAATTGGACTAGATACATATCCAAGTCCACGCATTCGGATAGTTGTACCTTATCTATATTAGAAAGATCGACTTCCTAACCTAGTAAGGTAAGACCCTTATAAATAGTGGCCATTGATCATCTTTTGTGTGAATATTTCGCCTGTGCGTACCGAAGTAGTGCCGCAATATAAAACAGTCATCAAACTCATATGTGAGTGGGGTAGATGGCGGGGACTCGATTGTTGTCTGGTTTCGATTAGATGAATGTCTGACTTAATATGATCTGATTAGTTGTGGCGCGCACTTGGTATACTCCTTTATCTCACGACTGTGCAAATATCCGGTACTTGACTTTGTTGTTTGAGTTGCTCTTACAACGAAGTACTGACTACTTACGTCATTCGAGTGCATAACTAATCATATAGCTAGATTTGAGTCAACCTTATACATAGTTAGCGAAAATGTAGCCATCAAAATCAATTCTATTTAGACTTTTTGAGTCATCTAGTGAAATATAACGCCTATCTCTTGTCGGGTCGTTGCTGTCATGGGACAATCTGCCGTCCTCTTGACCCGATCAGGTTAGGAGGGTCATTCCCTTAAAGGCAACATGGCAAGAGATTCTATTTAAAATGACAAATAACTTAAAATTACCAATATTGGAGAGAAAGAACGCTTAGCCCTGCACTTACACAAAGCTATTTTTTTTTCTTTCTTTCTCGTCTGTGTTTCCTCATGAACCCGCTGGCGACACCCGAATCTAAACCCCAGGTGCCTGGGTTTTAAGTTTATACGCGCCTGGGTCATTCTCACTTGCAGATGGGTATTTAGTCACCCGGGGGTGCATTTGAGTAATGTATAGCTCTACACGTGCAAGCCATCTAAATAAGATACCCGCGGGCTATATAAAGCTGTTAATATCGCCGATTATTTGATCTAGATTATTTTTCTCTCACTTAAATACATCATGAATATAGGATAAATTTCGCTACAATCTCGTTCCCACCTAACCTAACTCTTCCCTCTCTTCTCTTTCCAATATGCCACGTATCCGTCACCACAGAAGGCACCACACATGGCCCCACTGCGGCTCAGAACTGTGTACGCGTGAGCCCGGCTTAGGAATGCATGTATCCAAGTTAGGCGATGGCCCCACAACCTACATCCCACTGTTTTTTCAGGAAGCCACGGCGGCTCCTCTCAGCACAGAAGAATTTCTTTGCGATGATATGGGAATGCCCGAACTTTCCCGTCAGCCAAAACGAATGCCTCGGCTCTGGTTCCGATCATCTATCCAGGGCCGAAGCGATCAGAACTCGCTGTCGGGGTCGTTGGGGCAGACGAAACAGGCTTATCGGAGTGTCCTGCGTCGACTGACACGTCGGCCACTCTTGAGCAAGGCTCGCTCTTTGCTTATAGTGCCTTCAAATATGAGATCTAGTGATTCATTTATAATGTCTGGTTTAATAACATCCCATGATGCGGCTGAACAGACAGTTTTCTCGGACTCGGAAAGAGGGAGGTCTTCTGTGGCTAGAGCCGACGCAGCAAAATTCATGGCTGAAAGACGACATCGGAGGTGTCATTCTGAGCAACCACGCGCATGGAAAAAACCGAGCTCTACACTGTGGACACTTCAGGAACAAGAAGAATAATCGTCCTTTATAGTATTTTTTGGACTGCTTGTGCTTTTGCTCGCTTTGCATTGTAATCTTTGTTTGAACATCTTGTTCCGTTTATATGGTTGGGCTTTGAAAAGGGCGATCTGAGCGAATTTCAAAATGCTCGACAGCATGGAAGGACGTCTGTGTAATTAGTGTCCAAATAATTTCTAATATTATTAGTTAGCTAAAATATTATCTTCCTATCTTAAATCTATACTCTAAGAAGCTTTAAATTTTATTATATCTATAAGACTCGATAAAGATAAGATATAAGAGAAATACCTAGAATTACAATAAGAGATTGTATAAATTATATAGTTAGGATTCCTTAGTAAATTTGTCTTATTTATAACCCAATTAGGGCCCTAGCCTAGGTTTATATTGGGTCTAGGTTGATGGTAGTAACCTAGAACCTGGCGCTAGATCGAGATTTTGGACCCGGACCCGACCCAAACCCGGGGATTTTCTGCAACCAGAACGATTGGGTGATAAATCCCAGTAATTCCAGTAAGTTCCCTTGAAGTGCCTTGGTTTTCGTACAGTTTATCTGACGAATTCTATCTCTAGAATCATGGATGATCAAGAATCTGCCATTGGGCCCTCACATGAATCGGCAAACAAGTAACGTTTGCAAGATGCCAGTAAAGAACGATAAGGGCTTCATTACTGGGGATGTAGATGCCGCTGCTTTTGTAGCCCCTGCCAGTGAAAACACAGAGCCGTTTAACTGAATTCAAATCTGCGATGCCGAACTTCAAGCGATACTTTACGTGCTTACCAAGCCTTATTACGGGGGTTATGACAAAGTGAAAGGCCAATGGCTTTACGACGTGGTTTGCAACACACCGGAACGGCTTTTATTCCACGAGCTTGGCCATGGGTGGTCTGCATTTGGTGAATTCACAACCGGTAAGTGTGGAAACAACTTTGCTCCCGTCTTTTTGCACACTGCTAATCTGCGATATTGTTTTCAAGCTGACTATAATTATGGATGGAATGACGTTGTCCTGCGTGCTCAAACACAGGCGGTCAACAATAATGTCAACGACTATCTGCCGCTTAAGAACGCTGGTATGAATGGCCCTCAAAGTCCAACTAAAATGAAGGCTAATAATATATCTAGATACTTTTGCACTCTGGGCCGGTGGTGAGTACTAATAATCGCCTTGAGGCGCATGTTTGTCAAGTGGTGTGACCCTAACTAATCAATTCCTTCCAGCGGTGATTCTTCACTTTTATAACTGGGGTGATGGCTCATATAAGCCAGTGTGGTATTTGGATAGCCTAGTCAAATATCTCCCAGGATCAAGTTTGTTCGTCTCAGAATCTTTGGATTTGGTGGACTTGCACTATTTGGGGGTGTTGTATCGTTCCAGAAGCTGGTAGATGTTTGCTGGCAGTCTGAGGGGGTATTACTGATGCCAACGCCGTCATGAGTTCCCGCTTCTTGCTTCTTGTGTTATTCTTGGGTAAATTTAAGCAACTTGGATCTATCGGATTTGATTCCACAGTGCATTTTGGCCAGCATATGCCTGTGTGGATAACCCTCTCCTCCCTAGATAGTTGGATTATATCCTTCTGTCTCAAATACGTCCAGATTGCACAGATTTTAGCCCGTCTTACGCTTCAATAGCGGCCCTTTATGAATCTCCTGCAACCTGCCGGGGCTTCCTGAGATTCACACACGCCTTGCTGCCCGACCTAGTTCCCGTAATATTTAGACTAACGCTCAGGTTCGCATTGGTTTGCTCTAGAAGAAGGTATCACATTGACTCGGGTGCTCGAGACATAGATCTACCAAATAATCTAGGGTTATACTATTGATCCTATTTACTCTAATTTCCACCCTTATCGATCACAACCAAAATAACAAATGCCCCAGTCACCTTTATCATCACAGCCACGCGTGACAGAATTTGGTGAGGTACTAATTGTAGGTATCATTTTATCAAACCATGCCCCTATATCTCGTTAGAATCAACCCAGAAAGCTATAGAACATGATTTTCGTACTTTAATCTTCGTATTTTGAGGAAAATGTAGATAATGCGAATGAGCTCAGCACAGGCGATAGACGGTTGACTCATTCACGAAATGAAAGATCGTTTTTTGCAGCATCAAATGTAGCATACTCACTCGGTTTGGTTCGACCATCAATAGCTTTGATAGAGATATCATCGGTGCCACAAGAGATTTTTCCGATATAACATCTCTGTAGAGATAGCTCTTCCGCAAAAATATCTAATAGGTCCTTCCAGGGAGTGTTTTCCACTCCCGCTTGTAGCTCGGTATATGTCACAGACGGCAGATAGTGTGTGGCTGATGTAAGTGATAGAGTTGAGGATCCTACTGGGCAGGGAAGGGACTAGAGATGTAGATCCTGTGTAGACTGGTAGAAAGGTTGAGCTAAACTAGGAGTTGAAGGGTGGGAATAAGAAGGTGTATTTGGGGGGAAAGGCGCACTCGGAGAATAAAGGGAATAGTAAGGGGGCAATGGAACAAAATTTGTTGAAAATGGAGACCCCAAATCTGGAGGTAAGCAATAGGAAGTCGGAGTTGAAGGGACAAGTGGTGGGCTATCAATATCATGAGCAACCAATCTCACCTCAAAGAGCTTGAGATTGGTCAAGGTGCCTTTACTCTTGATGAGCATCGATTTCAAAGAATGAGAAGTGATATGAATATAATGGAGATGAAGTTGTTCAAGCCTATTGAGCTCAAGTCTTTTATAAAAGTCCACAGCCTTGTAAGGCCGCGAGTTGTAGGCTATGTTCTGAGCATGCGAAAGTGTGAGTCTTTGCAGGTGGGGTGCGGCATTGGTAATAGTCATATTCTCGACAGGTATGCAAAGGTGGAGATCTTCTACCCTATTCAGGAGAGGAATAAGAGAATTGTATTGTACTCCCTTGGGTGCAATCTCGGGTGCGATATCAGCACAGTAATGCGTTACAGATATGCAACGTCTTGACTTTTCGTCCAGATCCGCTAAGCGCTTGGAGGAGTCTTGATAGAGTTAAAGAGTTAAGCTTGCTTACTTGGCTAGCGGTGCCACCAAGCCAACTCAAACTCCTCTAAGTGAAACGGAAGTCAATTTGACTTATTAGGCGGCGCCAACCGAGAAATTGAACGTTTTGCTGTCGTGGGTCGAGCAATAAGCTCGTCGTATAATGCGCAAGTCCGATTGTGTTTAGATTTTCGAATCTTTCTAGACATTTGCGAAGCCTAACACCGAAGGCTTCTGATTCTAGGAAGGAGCTTGGGGTTGTCGGCGACCATCGCTTTGTATGTGGTGTAACGCGCCTTTAATTCTTCTCCCTCCGCTAGGCGACAATTTTTCGAGGAGACAGAAAGTTCACCATATTCTTTAGAGTGCGGTCGTGAAAACCTTCAAACACAGTCGGTATCATCCACAACTCTTGAACTCGTTTCGGGGTATCATTTGAACTGGCAAGATCTTCTAATTCGCGAAGACTTTCGCTTATCACAATGAAACGAATACTCTGGAAATATCGATCGGAGAAGTGATCCAACGATCTCTCGTATAATACACGACATGACAATCTGAGCATCTCCCCTTCAGGCAGTTGTAGATGGCTGCAGATCATAGATACCACCTCTGTAGGCAGAGAGGTAATCCACATTTTCACTGTAGTATTTGCGACACGAATTGTGAATGTGGTGAGATGGAAACTTTATAAGGAGGCAGAGTTGAAACCTGTCAAAACGGAAATAGAAAAGGGCGAAGAGGGAAGAAATCCCAGAATTGGGGCTAAAAACGCTGTGGGCTTCTAAATCGCCTCTGTAATTATCGCCTCTGATTACATTAATCACAGTAATTACATCGCTGCCCCGCTAGCCCAGACAGCATGTTCCCCGCTAAGCTGTCTTAGCGGATAGGTGTAAAATAAATCAACATGCCTTGCTTCGGTGTCTATTAATGTAGTCTTAAAGATTCGTCCAATTATTGATTCGGTAGGGAGGTTTATACTAATACGTTTATTATAGCGGAGTAAACTCAAAGCTAGACAAACGAAGTTACAATTTCTCAAACTTAAACTGATATATACAATAAGCAAAAGCCAAACGCATGTCCATCGTACTGAGCCTAGTGCAATGCACGTGGAATAGATAGACACGGCGTATAGCAACCAAGTATCAGAGAGACTTTCTAGGTTTAGCAAAAATAAGGGCCGCCTCCGTCTTTCGTGGACCTCATATCATGGCACATGAGACACCTACTGCACTGTGTCCCGAGCTTATTCCCAATTAAAGATCAAAAACAAATATACTCCGTCGACTTGAGAATAGCCCGCTGGAAAAAATATTGCCATTGCTACTGCCAGTGCTACCAGAAGCTATACCCACCTCCAAAACGGTACTATCGCCTTATCTAGCCACTTTCTCAAGGTTCCTGCTTTTATGCAGACGAGGTCGATATTTGCCCTTGCTTCAGCATAGAATTTCCGGATTTACGTCAATTTATTGATATAGTAAGATCACAGAAGGATGGGCCATCAGGTCGCCTAGAATATCACGATTACAATATGTTCCACAAGCTGAGATTGGGCAATGTCCGTAATCACATGAGGCATAATTGTGCCTTGACTCATCATCCTCTTCTCGATATTCGAATTATGACGATACTTTGGATCGATGAGCACCTCCATTGTCTGTGTGTGCTGACTTGTTATGCAATACATGGATTACAAGATATTTTGTCGCAAATTCTTGCAAATTCGAAGGCCCTTGGACATAAGGATATAGCGAAGTGGCTCCGAAGGGCTTTTGTTGAGGCTGGCTCTATCTTTTCTGGTGGGCACAAAAATAGTTACTTTCTGGTATCTTCAAACCGCCCTGAAATACCCAAAGGTTATGGGCCAACTCTTCTAGAAATATCAACTGTGCGGAACCTAGGAGATGGCCAATGGCCTAACAAATAGTGGAAGATCAACGTCCATTCTTAGGGTTGCGTGCTTGGGCTGGAGCTGTGTTTTAACGGGCTACTGTCACATTGTATCGACCCATCATTGTCTGCTGGATGATTGGGCATTGTTTCTTAGTGTTAATATTTATAACGAATGACTTTGCTCTTGTTTTCACTCGGGGCGGTACATGTGTAGTTTAGAAAGCGACCTCTCGACCTCTAAATAAGCCTTTTCCCGAGGGATCGAAGGCCCGCATAGACAAAACGACAAGGTCAATATTAATCCAGACTGTCGGGTGCGACTGTGTATAACGACCAAATATCTCTCAAGGATAACTTTTTCCAACCCAGTCGACATCATAATAACCTACCCCACTTGAATACGTCAAGTGGGCATGAGTTCTCAGCTAAACTATCCTTTTATGTACTAGCTTAGCTGACGGACTTGTGGGGGCCAGGTGACTCAGTCACTCGGTTAGGACGGCATTCTAGAAGGACGCTAGAAGGAGAGTTAGGCGGGTTTGATTGGCGACGAGACAGAAAATTGGAGCACGGGGTTGTCTCATAAAGGCTTCATGTTTTCGCATTCTTGTTTATATTAATGCCAACCCCGCGCGATGACCCACTTGGGCGGAACGATGAAGTCACGAACCCAAGAGGAATCAAATACGAAAGACTTTCATATATGAATAGTACAACATATACGTTTATGCACATTCCGACGGAAAAGTGCAGATTGTAGACGTGTCATTTCAAATACGGGATGTGGGAAGTGAGAAAGCAAGCCTAGACGTGTTCAGATGGTCAAGATGCGGTGAATCTGCGGGGTCCAAGGAGCGGGAAGAGGAGGCTCCAAGGCAGAAACAATTGTTGATTGGCTGGTGGACGGGCGATAGGGCACTTTGTCCCTCGGAATCTCCCAATCTCACCGACAACAAAAATTCACACTAAACCTTACCAGTGGATCTCCCAACTTCCTCCTTTCAACTTTTATTGGTTGTAATTTGAACGGGTCCGTTGCTAAGTCATTCGCTATGAAGCTAATTGGTTGCGTCTCTCCCGAGGGCGTTCCTTTGACCGTGTTTGACGACATCATAGCGACAATGTTGTACTTTGTGCTCCATTTTGGTTGGTTGCCCTATGGGACCCCCCCCCCCCCCCAACAAATTACTTGATTGTCTCGAATATAAATAAACCTTCCCCGGAGGCTGTTTGATTTCTATTTCTCATCCTCTACTTCATATTCCAAGTGATGCACACTCAATCCAACATCTACCCCAAGAGATCGCTCTCCCAAACATCAGCTACCTCAACCTCCTCCTCCTCTCACACTAGCCAGTTCTCTCAAGAGAAGAAGCGCTCCAGATTGTCGAAGCCTATCTCCAATCTCTTCCGATCCAAGTCTCCTGCACCAATTGATATCCCCAGGGGCCAGCAAGACAAAATGTCACAGCCTCGAGACATCCCGCAGAGCAATCACGTAACTTCATACTTCCCGGACCAAGACTACACATCAACCAGCCCCATCCAGATGTCTGCCAGCATGGGTTCGCCAAAGGTGGACAGCCCTAAGCGCGCATCTACCCCCACCCGCAAGAACAGCGGCGACTATAAACGCTACAGTGGAACTGTCAACCACTACGGTCGTCACTCCAACGACTGGCTATTCGGTGGCTTCAGTGTTCGCGAGACTGTTCGCGAGAGCCTCGATAAGCTCCGCAGCCAGGATAAGGAGAGCTGAATGAATGCTCCTGCTCTGCCATATCAAATAAGTCCAACATGTGGACCCCCTGTCGGATATACTCTGTCTTGTTTACCCCCTTGGTTTACATCCATCTTCTGATGACACCCACCCCGACCGTTCGGCGGAATCAATACCTGACCCGCCATGATTTGGAAGCTTTTTTGCTTCAAAATCCTGAAACCAAGTGTGGTCCGCCCTGTAGGGGCGTGACTGTGCTCAGGCGTCAGCCACCGCGTCCTCATGTACGCATTAGTGAATCGTCTGTGACCCTACTTCGTTTTCAGCTCAATCTCTGCCCTCATTCCGTGTGGCCGCTCGTTACTTGACTTGTACCGGTCGCTGCTTGTGTTCTCTCGGGTCTTGAATATTTCATTATTCCTATTGGGTCATGAACTGTGTTAGATTTGATATCTCACTATTCGCACGATTTTATTCTCTCGCATTATACGGTCAGTTCAATTATTAATAGAGCAGACTCAGTCGCGATCTTTTATTGATCTTTTATCAAATGAAATTTATATACCATGAAGTGTTGCATCTTGCAGAACATAAGTACAAACCAAAACTACTAATAGTGCACCAATTAATCTGCTATAGTATAACGAAATTCCCTCCTTACTACGAACCTTAATTCACTATTCTTCCTATTTAGAATTCGTTATAACCGGGTTTTACTATAATGCAGAATATAAAGTCTCATGCTACCCCCGCAGGAACAGTTTTTTACCCCGCAAAGTCACGGGGCCGGTCCTGGCCCTAGCCCAGGTAAATGATGAGTTTCATTATGTTTACGATGGTGGTCTGGATGTTTTCTACTTTCACTGGATTTTATGGTCATAGAGCCTAGAATCCCCATTCAAATCACGGGGTCCAGCACTAGCAGGGATGTTTTGCAACTGCCATTGGACAGTCGATCCTTGGTCGATAGCCCCGCCTGGCCACCCCTCTCTACCTACCCTCCACAGGTCTCTCACCCCTCTGCTGGGATGTTATTTAAATTTGTCAAGTCATCCGTGTCTTGCCAACACTCACTAACATATTGGTGGATTAAGAGTCCTCATGTCCCAAGCCCTCACGGCCGCCGCGCGCCTAAAGCCCGAGATCCGCCTGGCTCAGGCTGTTTCGGAGTTTGAAGCCGATCTGTCTGGAGAACAGAAAGCGGCTTTTCGCACCAATAAAGCCAAGACAATACAATCGTCCCCAAATACTCAAGATGTCATGCGTCTTGCTGCGGAGATCGATCGCGTTTCTGGACGAAATGGCCGCTGTCTTGGGCCCAGGCTTATGAATCTCCTGCAGGCAGTTCAGAAATTTGCTGCTCTTGGTGATGTAGTTGTGGGAGGATCACAAAACCTGATCGCGTGCGGAATTTGGACGATAGTTCGAACATCGTTGGAGGTAGGTGTTTCATCGCTCGCATTAAATGAAGCTCGGATTTTCTAGGGGGGGGCCAAAGGATGAATAGGAATCTAAATACACTCCATCATTTTGCTGACTGCCTGATCACTAGCTTCTGACAAAATTCTCCTCGTGTCTTGAGAAGCTGTCCGTGCTATTTATGAAGGTTGGCCGATCAGCCCCTCGCTTCGAAAGCATGGCTCTGCTTTATCCTCGTTCCAGGGATTTACAATCATCACTTTGTGAATACTTTATTGTGGTCGTTCATCTCTGTCACGAAATATTGCAGTTCACGCGCAAGTCAAATTTGAAGAAGTTTGCTTCATCATTATCCGATTCAAACTTAACTCAATATCAGTCCGATCTTGAGTCCTGGGGGAGTACGATCAAGGAGGAAGTTGGCCTTCTTATGGCAGCTAGGATTGAGAAAGAAGCTAATATGAACTCCAAGTTACGTGATGTTTCATCCAAATTCTTTGGGATAACCTCAAACCAGCAAAAGGTCCAGGCTAGGCAACGAGTTCTCGATATATGTACCAACTTTGACCACATGGTGGTGTGGAAGCAGATTCGAAAGGCTGGAAACACAAATATTTTTCGCCAATGCCCACACTATCAAAGGTGGAAAAGTACGACAACGTCGAACTCACTGGTTTATACGGGCAAGCTTGGGGCCGGCAAGTCTGTATTGCTTGCCAATATAGTGGAAAACTTGCATCTGCAGGTGCAAGATGAGGTTATACCGGTGGCCTTCTTCTTTTCCCGACATGATGTTTCGGAGAGTTTAAAAGCACAAACTGTGCTCGGTTCGATTGCGCGGCAACTTCTTGAACGAGTTTCAGATCTGACAGAGCCGGCTGAGCTACTCGGGCGAGTAAACAATATGGGTCCCCCCGAGAAAGTCTTTGCTCTCCTCCAATCCGCTTTCCCGCAAGGATATAAGGTGTTTATCGTAATTGATGGAATTGATGAACTAGGCCGGGAAGAACGAGAATTGCTGATTCGACACCTTCACACACTTCAAAGGATGTTTGTAGTTTCACTTTGCGTTTCGCTTCGGGAAGACGCAAACGACCCGCTAAAGATCGGCTCGGAACAGCTTTCTACTGTTACGATAACTTCGATACCCGAAAACACATCCGATATCGAACTCTTCATTTCACAGGAATTACAGAGATGCATCGAATCCAAGAGGCTTATTGTTGGAGATATATCCCTATTGCTTGAAATACAGGAGACCCTTACCAAATTCTCAGATGGCATGTTTCTCTGGGTAGCTCTTCAAATTGAGTCCCTCTGTGCCATGGAGACCGACGAGGCAATTTCTCGAGCTCTCAAGGACCTCCCGAAAGGCCTTTCCGAAACATTCGGGCGCATCTTACAGAGATCACAGAGACTTGGCCATTCATATCAGAAGTCTATCCTGGAGCTAGTGACTGTGGCTCAGCGTCCACTTACACTGGAAGAACTGCGCGAGGCGCTGAGTGTAGCTCCAGGTGACACTAAATGGAATCCAGCGCGGCTTCTCAATAACATCCATAGCACCCTGGCATGCTGTGGAAGCCTTGTTATTATCGATGAAGAGGAGTTGACTCTACGTCTCGTCCACCACAGCGTCAAGCAGTACCTTCTCTTGGAGTTCAAAGACCCAGCTAGTGGGCCAATCACAATTGTTGACGCCCATGCAAGGATGTCGGATATCATTGTGACTTATTTGAGCTATTCCGACTATGATCGTCAGCTGTCAAAGGCTATCATTCCTGAGATCAAAACGGATGAAACGATGAATGGCATAGTTCGGTCTACACGCTACTCATTGGACTATATGAGTGGTCTTGCATTGAAGCTTCTTCGGTCACGAAATGACTCCAACTTCAACATGGGGAAAACACTCGCGGCAGCAAGAGCCGCGCGCTTCCGTTCAAGAGATCACTTTTTCTTTCGTGATTATGCGATGCTATGCTGGCAGTCTCACATCTCACGGTCTTTACCACTGGGTCCCAAGAGCAGTAGCCTTTTTGAAAGGCTGTGCGAGCGGAAAGCCCTAGACCCTGTCACGATGACGGATGATGAAGCATCGTTCCTGCTCTTCCGAGCCGCAGAAACGGGTAATCTGTTTGCTGTTCGATATATCATCAGCTCAAAGCCAAGGCTAGATGTGAACAAGAAGATGAATCACCACGGACAAACAGCATTACACGTGGCTACTTGGCATGGAGCTGAAGCCACCGCTCGGTTCCTGTTTACTTGGGGGTCTACCGATATATCCTCCACAGACCTTGAGAAGAATACGGCCCTTGATCTGGCAATTAGAAGGGGCCATGTGTCTATTGTAAACGCTTTCCTTAGTCACTATCCCCGGCATCCCACAATGACCGACTTGGTTATCGAATCGTTGCGCCATCATCTTGAAATCACTAGTAACTTCAACTTTGATGTGATCAGTGAAGTACTACTAGTGGCAGCACGTAATGGAAATGACACATTGATCGGAATGATTCTCCACGACAGGCGGGTGCAACTCGTTCTGAAGCGTCGAATATGGAGAGCCATCCATGCGGCCGTGAGCGGGGGGCAATATTCGATTGTTAATGAGTTGCTCGCCTATTCGAAGATACCACGACTTATGGATTACGAGATCCAACTTGGCTATGATTCACTACAACAAGCTGTTAAGATAGGGGATCGGAGAATTGTGAAGTCTTTGGTTGAGTCCGGGATGTTGGATGTCGATTCGATTAACCAAGACGGCTTGACAGCGCTCCATATTGCAACTGAGCTTAACAATCTGGAAATGGTGAAGTTACTGCTGCTTCATTCCAATGCGTCTCTCGTGTATGTCACCGGCGGTCAGAACCAAACTCCTTTACAGACGGCTCTTTTCTCTGGGCACGACGAAGCAGCAAAGCTGATGGTTCAACATGTGCTCAGTGGCACAGCCACCAACTCGAGCATTGACACTGGGGATTTGTCCAAGTTAGGGGGAGAAGCTAAATGTATTTATACGCCGTTTCATTACGCCGCTGAGAAAGGCGATGCTTCCATGGCCAGTTCTCTTCTTAAACTTGATGCAAACTTGGTCCACAGACTGGATCACGAAGGACGCACACCATTACACTTGGCTGCCCTGAAAGGCCATTTGCATATTGTTAACCTGATACGTGCCATTGAGGGTGTGGATCTCTTTTCTATTGATGATCAGGGCTATTCACCTAGGGACTATGCAATGCAATCGGGCAATACTCCTATAGCGAGGTTAATGTCTTGACCATTCCATACTCAAGAATCAACTCACCAACCTGGAGCCAGCAGGATATATATCAAGGAAAAAAAGGTGGGGGAAAGAAAACGTAGACCTATGGACCTATAATTACTATAAGAAAGATAGAAACCTATCAATTTTGTAGATTATATAGACTGAGATACAGTCAAAAGGTTGTAAATGATACCAAAGAAACAGCACATAACCGTGCCAAGCCCACCAATACCTACCCGGCATTGGTGGGCTTCATAAGATTACAAATTTTCACAAGATTACAATTTCTTCAACTAATAATGCATTAAACCACTATTTACAAGTAACCACCATGACTATCTATATACCAATTTCCATCTATACTATCTCTTGCCGCCATTGAAGCTTCATGCTTACTTTCTAATAAATCCCTCGCCGCCTGGGCCTGCTGCTCTGCTTCCAAATCCTTGGCATGCCTAGCCTGTAGCCGTTGCAACTTCTTGGAATCAGCATCTAGCCTTTTTACTATCTTTCTATTTGCCGAGAGAGGGGATAGCACTGAGCCCCTTGATCCAAGAATCGATTTCCCATTTCTTATGGTAGTTGCAGCTGATTTATGTGCCTAGGACTTCTTTAGAGCGGCCCTTACTAAATCAAGCTCTTGGACTAAAAGCGCATTTGCATCCATACTCCGCTGTATATGCCTTTTCACTCTTTGAGATTGATACTCCATTTGCTCAATGTCATTAATAAGCTTAGTATTAAGCCTATTAACCCGCTCAATTGTATCTGGCGGCGAATTGGTGATCGAGCTTGGGATATCTGGTGGGGGTGACGGGGTAAAGATCCTAATAGGGGACCCTTGAGTATCAAGATCCCTTTGCCGTAAAGGACTAAGAACAACCTCTGGATCTAGAGGGTATATACCCCTAGATTTAAAAGAAGATCGAATGGTTCTTTGGGTTAATGCTTGCTCTCTAACCCCCTGGATTATCCGGAAAAAATCCCGTTTTTTGCTTGCACTTCCACCCCACATAACAACCTCACTATTTTCCTTACGGAAGTAGTGTTTTAAGCATTGAAATGCTTGGCCATCTAGCGGTTGACAAAGGTGCGTAGTATGGGGTAGAAAGTAGAAAGGAATAATGAAATGTTCCTCGCAAAAAGTGATAAATTCAATGGTTGTATAGGAGCCATGGTTATCCATTAAAAGAAGCCTTGGCCTACCCTTTTTAACCCTTTCTTTCGAAGCTTCATGAAAGGAATAGAGCTATTGAAGTGCAGTTTCATCGTCAATCCAACCATTGGGGGTAGGCTTGATTCGAAAATCGGGGGTTTGAATATTCTCATACCACTCTACCATATGTAGACTACCCTTTGGTAGAAACTAAGGTAGCATAACCCAACCATCGGCAGCGATACATTCAATACCGGTAATCGATTCTACTTGGCCACCGGTAGGATTACTACATCTAGTACTAGATGTAATAACCTTTTGGCGCTTGCCTTGGCCGATTTGGAAGCCGGTTTCATCCCAATTAAAGATCTCGTTTGGTAGGAATTGATGCTTCTTCATAACCGTAGAAAGGTTATTAAACCAAAGGAATAAAGCTCCGAAATTCTCGCTATTATCTCTCGATTTTTCGGTAGGTTTTAGGTTGGTATAGTTCATCTCTGGGGGTAGTGTTTTTATAAAGCGGTATACCCAGCTTTCGCTAACCACCCGATCTTTTAGGAGGTGATTGGCGGCACGCTCCACGATCTCTGGGGTAGGAGAGGTATATGCATTATGTAGAGAGGCTATCCAGGATTTTAATGCTCGCTCTTACATTGGATTTAATGCCTTTCTTTGGCTACCAACGGCGGAATTAGGCTTGCGCCCATGGAGACGGCAGCGTAGCCGACCGTACGGAACCCCAAATTCTCGCGCTAACTTAGCAATGTTAGGCTTATCACTCTGATGGTAGGCTTCGATAGCATTTAGGATTTGAATCTCGATGTTTTCAATTGCTTTTGACATCGTGGGGTGGTACAAATTAGGTAGGAAATTGATTGGAAGGGGAAAAATTGTAATCTTGTGAAAATTTGTAATCTTATGAAGCCCACCAATGCCGGGTAGGTATTGGTGGGCTTGGCACGGTTATTACGAGCGTCAAGAGACGAAGGCAGAAATATTTTAGTTAATAATGATTGGTTTATATAATTTAGTTGACCAAGTATTACCATCAACCAGCCAAGTGGTCGAGCAGTAACTCAACCATCGCATCTTCCTTGGTCTAGTGGTGATGATTTCCGCTTGTCATTAATACCGATAAGCGCGGGAGACCGGGGTTCGATTCCCCGAGGGAGAGATTTCTTTTTTGTTCCTCTTTTTCTTTTTGGTCCAGAACTGTATCATTTTTTATTTTACAAAATAAATAACTAGTTAAATAAGTATGAAATGTGGGAAGTTTCTGACGCAACTTATTGTTAGGGCTGACCACAATGCGGACTTATGATTGAGGCTCTGCCCAGGTGGACACCCATGCCCTCGTCGGGAAGGAATAACAATGTTTCCAACATTAAAGGGGGAAAAATGCCTCAGATCACTCTCGAATTAAATTTATTCAGGCAGACATGCGCGATGTGAAATAGTGTGAGAGACTCATGGTGAGGCTCGGTAATTTGGTTCAACTTCTGCCACGGGAGCCTAGAGCCTAGGAGACTAAGGGACTAATTGTGCGACGTTTATTTAAAATATAATGTCTGCCACTTTAGGTCTCTAGTCCAACATTTGCCCCCAAAAGAAACAAAAAAGACAACCATGGGGTTCCTGTCTTCTCTCCGTAGGACAATGCCTGAATTATTCGAGGGCAGTGATGGATCCCCCGAGCCGGAAGAGCCCCTTTCTCCGCTCCATGCGGCAGTTGATGCGGAAGATGTGGACCAAGTGCGCCAATTGGCCGTCACTGCGGACCCTGTCGATCTGACTGCCGCTTTATGTCGATCTTGCCAATGTGGTAAGATAAACAGCGCGCAGGCTTTGCTTGAGACCGGGCGATGTGATGCCAACGCAGTGGTGGAGGGAGACACGGTTTTATTCTTGGCCGCGAAAAAAATCGACTTGGCCATAGTCAGACTCCTGCTTCAGCATGGGGCCGATGCCACGATCAGATCCAAGAACAAGCGGTCCGGAGACAAGCCCCCAGCCTTTACACCCCTTCACGGAGTGGCGGACAGCTTGCGTCTCTGCGAAAAGTTGGAAGACCTGCCCCGCTATGAAGCGCTGATGCAGTTACTGCTGGATGCTGGGTGCGACGTCAATGCACAGGATGCTCACGGAAATACTGCACTGCTGCTCTCCGTACACAATGAGATCGCCCTGGTTCCATTTCTCTTGCAACACGGTGCGGATCCGAACATCGCAGAGGACCGGGGAGGGACATCTGCGCATTTCCTCCACCACCCCCTAGACCACCCAGAGTGGTTCAAAGGCCTTATGGCAAAGGGAGCTCGCCTGGACATTGTTCGAGGTGAAGATGGTGATACCCCGCTGCATGCATATGCGTCTAAATGTCAGCTGGGCGATCTGTCGTTGTTCAAGCCCTTTGTGAAGGATTGGATGATCACTGACGGCAATGGCAACACACTTCTTCATACCGCCGCCGCGAGACATCGTCCCGGGAGCAAAACTATATTGGAACTACTGAAGCTTGGAATCGACCCGAACCAGAGGAACCATGAAGGGCAACAGCCAATTCACATGGTCGACGGCTCCCAACAAGATATCCAGGATATATTGGACATTCTCTGCGCAGTCGGTGCAGATCTAGAGGCTAGAGATAATCGTGGTTGTACGCTTCTCACCAATACCATGCGCCGCCCGCAGTGGAATTGTCGCGAGCTCCTTCCCTATCTCATCAGCCGCGGAGCCAACATCAACGCGCAGGATTATAAAGGCAATGGGGTACTATCGTATCTGATCGAACCGTTCTGTTTCAAGTCCGAGTACTTGGACTTTTTACTTTCCCTTGGAGCAGATCCAAAAATGGTAAACTACAAAGGAGACACGTTTTTGCATCATCTCGCAGCCAATTTTGCTACTATAGGCCAAGATACGGTTCTTTCAGCCATAATTCAACTCATCAAAACGGGAATCTCCCCGACCATTCCCAATTTCCGAGGTTGGACACCTCTGCATATGCTATGCAGCCAGTCCTCAGATCATTTGTTCGCAGCGACCGCAGAGGGGGGCAAGTGTGCTCTCGATCTACTCCTAGATGCGGGCCTTGGTGTCGCTCTAAACATGAGTGATCATCAGGGCATTCGACCTATCCACCTTGCTGCCACGGTTTCGGAGCACCTGGTCGGTAAATTACTTGCTCGTGGGGCTGATTCTACAGTTTCCACAAAGGATGGCCGCAATATGTTGCATATTGCGTCAACCGCGCGCCAAAGTAACTGTGTTGGGCTAATCTTGGCCCACTACGAAGCCAAGGAGCTAGCTCCAATGCTAAATGCGCAGTCGGAAGATGGGAGAACGCCGTTGCATGTGGCCTGCCGTTCTGGAAGACTGGAGACGGTGAAACTCCTCCTCGCATACGGAGCAGATGTCAACATCGAAGACAAACGCAAGTGTACTGCTCTAGGTGCATGTGCCGAGTCCATCGCCGAAGACCAGCTCTGGCAGGTGGCCGACGATCAAGAAAACATGATGAACACGCGCTCTGCGGCAGGTATCTTGGCAGATGACAACAAACGGCCGACACAGCCCGCATCAAAGATGAAACAGACTCGTAACAATATCAAAAGTCTGGGGTGGAAAGGAGAAATTACATCTGAGAGTTCGACACTCGGAATTGGACGAATCGTGCGAGCATTGGCGTCTCATGGAGCCTTGACATATAGAAAGGAATTTTGCGGTGGTCCCATGTATAATGCGGTTGCTGAGGGAAACGAGGAAATGGCTGTGGAACTGGACCGGTTATCACGAAAAATGAGCCTTGAGATGGGAAATTTCCGCCCTCTCAATACTGAATTCTATCTGCTGCGCTCGCAGCATCTCCCAGCCCTCCTCCAGGAACAATTCAAGGTGTATGTTTCTGAACATAATGTCTTCCCAATGATCTTGCTCGGCCACCACGAGGAGGTTGCACATGCGCTGGAGAGGAACGCTTCCATTATCGAGGACAAATCCTCAATGCCAGCGGTCATGGCGTCGCTCGCGAGGTGGGGATTTTCGGAGCTCTTTGGCCGGATTGGAAGCACAATGACCGGAAACTGGATCAACGGCAGCGACACCAATCTTCGGGGCGAGAACCAGACTCCCTATCTTTTGACGGCTGGTCAACGAGACCTTCCTAATTTGGATGTCATCCAGGTCATGGTTGAGAAGTTCAATGCAGACGTTAACATCAGATTTGAAGCGGACATGGTCGATAAACCCAAGGTATACTACCAATCAACCATGGCACTGAAGCGACATTACAAGCCAGGTGACACGATCCTTCATCAACTGGCCCAAGGTACGCATTGGTGGTATGAAGGAGCCATTCGGTACCTCCTGGAACACGGGGCCGACCCCAACGCTCGAAATGACCAGGGAAAGACGCCATTATGCAATGCAGTTTCACGGGGAGAGATGGGAGGCCATCGCCAGCTCGAAATCACCAGAATCTTGCTGGAGGGCGGCGCCGATCCCAATATCGCTGCGACGTGTGGCTATACCCCGCTGGCCATGTCGGCACATGACACCCAGTTATTCGAATTGCTGATCGAATATGGAGCATATCCCTCTCAGGACCACCCTATGGAACTCTTCGTTGCATTATATAGTTTTAACAAAGACGTGGTCTCCGCTCTCTTGGAAATGGACCTGGACTGCAACACGACGGTGTTATCCGATGCGCAGTCCCATTGGCACACCCACCGCTTCAAAAAGGTTCCGGTAAACCGTGGGCTTATCCTGAGCCCTCTTCTTTACATCTCAATGTTACCATTCAACGAAGCCAATAGCCGTGACCACGTCTGTAGGATGATTGGATTCCTACTAGAACGCGGTGCAGATCCCTTCCTGCTTTGCCACGCGAACCAAGTGGTTCTTCACGAGATTTTCGCTAGCGGAGGAATCATCCAACCATGGCTAGATATGCCCCGCCTTGACCTCGAACGACGCGATCCTACAGGGAAAACGCTGCTGCTGGCAGCGGCGAGCTGTACGACTGGAACCGACTCGTATGCCTGCACACTCTCAGCGTACCCACTCCGAGGTGGACAAATTGGACTGGCGTGCTGGAAGGAGGGCGACCCGACGCGTGCAATGACCCTCTATGAACGGGGAGCGGATTTGACCGCAGTAGATTACGAGGGCAATAACGTGTTGCATCATCTCGCTGATGTTGACTGCTCCAATGATCACTTCGCGTCGATTGAAGTTCGACGGACATTGACGGTGTTCGTGGATAAAGCACCGGAGTTGGTGCACCAGACCAATGTGCATGGGCAGACACCCTGGTCGATCGCAGCGGAGAAGAATTTCGTGGAATTCATGGATATTCTGTGGACAGATAATGTGCGCGCATGATGATAGCCCGCACGTATCATTTATTCGAAATATGTGGCCATCGACGAGGGAAATGAGCCATTATTGACCCCAAACTGGCGATACAAGATGGCTTGGATATGTTACCATGGCCGGTTTCTACAGTGCATGTGGCAGAGGAACATCATGTATATTAGAGTGCATTTGCGAGTCACCATGTAACGAGAACAGCAAAGACCACAGGAGGTAAAACTTATGCCTCTCCGTTTCGCGGGGACCCTCTTTCCAAAGTTGATATATTGTCGTCTTCCAAACTAGTTTTCCATTCATAATTAGATGAATTTTCCGGGCCCGTTGGATGCGTCGGTTCAAATGTTACACCAGGTCCTATCTCTTCATGTGTTTGGTCCACTGCCGCACGTTCCACCTCCCCATTTGACATGCTCCCGTTGGTGAGGTCGCTGCGATGAGTAGCCATACTGAAACTAGAGAGGGGCCCCCAGTTGCTCATAGTTGGACACAAACTTTTTATTATCCTACACCTTTTCCCTTCCGCCCAGGGTGGTTGGGTGGATCTATTGGCTTCCCTTGGCCTCTTCTCTGGAAACATGATCGAATTTTTCCGAGTCAAAATATACAATATTGTATCGCACAGACCAGACAAGGCCATCATCGAGCCCGCGACGCAGAAGTATGTGGCACTAGGGGTATGACCGGCTGTAGACGCCATCCGTCCGATGGCGAGAGGTAACGTCAGCGTGATATAAACGACCGGGTATAGCACCATGTAGCCGTTGACCCGTTTTAAGCGAGAGAGACTATCAGTGTTGAAGCCTCCTAGCCTAACGCAGTCGGTAATTCTGCGCTGGAGGTGAATGAACATAATAGCATGGAGCAGAAGCGTAAGAAATTGTGCGGCGAAGATCCAGAAGTAGTGTGTCCACAGTCGCAATGCCGGGTGTCGAGTTGTTATCCAACACTAGGAGAAAGAGAAAAGAGATCAGCCATGTAATACCAAAAAACATGTGTCAATGAATGGGGAACTTACCCATGCAACTGAAGGGAACCAGACATACCGACCAACGATCACGATCGGAATGACGACCATCAACACGCCGAACATCCATAGACCGACTACCATACCCACAAATTTCCGATGGCCCAACTGGAAGTCCAGCACGACATGTAAAAAGGTAAATACGGAAATGGCAAACACAAACACTCCACTCATCGGATTTCCTGCCTGTAGCCAAATGCCTTGCAAAAAGCACGAGGCATCAGATGCATGGAGGGAGTTGGTGGCAATCCACCGCAAACTGACAATGAACCCCAAGCCTTGTAATAAATCCGCAATTGCCAGGTTGTATACAAGGACGATATATTGATTGTATCCGATATATCTTCGATAATATCTGCGCCAGAAAATGAACCGATAAGTAAGGAAAAATAGTACTGAACAGATCGCCACTAGCGAAACGGAGGCGATGGATGAAACTGCAATCAGCCCTTTTCGCAGTAATGGAGGTAATGGGTCGATCACATTCGCTCCGAGAGGCGAAGTCGCCGGATTAAATTGTGATGGTTCATTGCGAGACTGTAGGTGTCGGCCGTTTGACAGCAACCAGTTCACATAATTTGACATGGCAATCGTTGGTTGTGACTAAGAACCAAAGAGCTTTTGACCCAAAGAATGGATCCAGCACGATATAAATACACATACCCCACTTGAGACATCTCAGTAGTTATAGCTGGGTCCTCTAGCCTGTGAATGCATGAAATGCTACCTTAGGTAGGTCATACCTCATATGATCCAAGGAATAGGAACATGAGCTTAGTCTAAGGCGACGTATCCGGGGTATAAGTTTGATGTTATGCTTATTTAGGTATAGTATAGGTGGGGTATGCGGGGAATGGACCAATTGAATGTACATACTCAAGGGCGGTGGAGATTAACCTCATGAGAAACACGAATGCATTCATCATAGATCGTGGAAAGTTAGTTACTTATTCTTGCTTTTACGTCATATTTTATCCCTGTCCCATAACCGAAACACATTCGTTGATTCCCCCATGGTTGTACTTGTATCTTGGTGTCGTAGAAGGAAGAACATCTTCAAAAGATATCATTTTGGTAGAGCTATAAAGCTGGAGATGTAGAACACAAAGAAAGTGAGAAAGGCTGCCATATAGCGGGTGACTAACTAGGGTGACTAGCTAAATATGTATAACGACACTTTTTTTTTTTTGGTAGTCTTTTGATCTTTTTTGGTACTCTTTCTAGGGGTCTTTTGGTAGTCTTTTGACAGACTTTGCGATGGTCCTTTTGTCGGTTTTTGTAGATGAATTTATAGAAGGAGGAGGATTATTACCCTTGGGTGAATATCACTTATGTATGGGAATACCGCCTTCCATATTTAGGACCAGGGGTCGACTGTAAGAATCGCCAAGCCATGACGTCAGCCCCACGCTTTGTGAACATGGGGTACGCGCTAGGCCAACGTCCGCCGCCCAGATGGTAAGCAATACCAAGCTTCTCCCTCATCAGTGTATTTTCGCCAATAACTGTTAAAGATGAGCCATGGATCACAAATGCCGGGACACTTGGATGATGAGAGCCATGACCTCACCCAGGCCCCAGAGGATCTTGGTCCCCTCCATGCACTGAGCCCGAGACCCGCCAACACTCAATGGAAGGCATCGTCGCAGGTAGTAGAGGAGACTCTGGCTAAGGGTCTGTCCAATGAAGATTTATGGATGTTGATCCGACGATTTAATAAGGTTAGTATGGTCTCTAGTGTTGAGAATCATCGCTGACATGTGACCAGCAAATCTACCATGTGAAAGCGGTTCATGATACCGCTGCTCTCAACTTGGATCTCAATCGCACCGAAAATGAGCAGTTTCCACCTGAAAAGCTGCGCATGACCTTAGAGAGGTTTTATATCTCCGTGGTTGTCGGAGTGACCGAGTTTTTCCGCCATATCACTCGCCTGCGCTCGTGGAAGGAACCAGCGAGAACGACAATATTCTGCGCGGTATGTGGATCACGACCAGCCGGGAAATTTATAATATATTAATCATTCACAGGGTTACTTCGTTGCTTGGGTCGTGGATATCTTGGTTCCAACCATTTTGGGCATTGTCGTGGCTTTGATAATGGTCCCCCCTGTTCGGCTATTACTATTCCCAGGTTTAGCAAAGACAGACGGTTCAAATGGAAGCAGTCCTCCGGGAGCACAAGTTCAATCCGAGGATAGTCTCACGGGCGCTCCAGAAAACCACAAGGGTGAAGCCGCTGAACAAGAAGCCAAGAATATGGTTGACAGCTTTGCTACTGTTGCTATGGAGAGTGCAGCGGCCAGATATGGTCAAACAGTCACAGAGGATGCCCCTCACAGTCCTGCGCTCATTGAAAGCTTAGAAGCTGCCGAGGCTGCAGCTGGAACCCCGACCGGTGATTCTCCTGAGGACAAGACCAAAAAGCCCATGAAGAAGAAGGTGTCACACGCGACCGATAATGTCATGCGTATTCTGAGCGATATCACTGATATATATGAGAAATTTGCCAAGTGAGTCTATTTTGCAAGGATATATGAGGACATATTAACGATATGACAGCATTCTTTCTCCAACACCACCGTTCCTTTTGGTTACATCTAGACTCCGTCTTGCGAGCATCTTTACCTTGGTATCTGTTATTGTGCCTTTCATATCTAGTTATTGGATCATCAAGCTCGTTGGTTTCGCACTTGGACTGGGCTTCTTCGGGAACCCAATCTTCACCTACACCCTTGATCTCCTGAACGATAAAGTGCCGAACTGGAAAGATCATCTCGATATGCAGAAGTATGATATCACTTGTTTCCTTTTAGTCTTTTATTACATTGCTGACTCGAGGCACAGGACCCTTTTGGCTGGCGTTCCCACAAACGCACAACTCACATTGACCCTGCTTCGAATCGGCGAGATTAATTCTTCGCCACTACCACCCGCCCCATCATCCGATGACAACGAGCCGGTATGGCCCATTCGTCGCAAAAAGTCACAGGCAGCGAGCTCTATAGACGTCAGCAGGCAGGGATCATCTGTGGACCTCCAGTCCACGAACTCCACTACCTCGCTCCCGGAAACAAAGGTGCCAAAGAAGAGATTCGTGTTCAAGCTCTTCAAGTTCTTCCGACGCACAATTGCTACGGCCATCAAGGGTCATATTGCTTTCGACCGAGCCATGGCTATTGCAGGATCAGCACATACTAAGAATCTGATTAGCATGCTGCAAAATGGACACTTCGCTGCAACGCCTTTCGGGCCGTTGAAGTTTGATGCGAAGTTCGAACGCAAGAGAGGCGCAGCGGTCATTGACTCGTCGAAGGAGCCTCCTATTTTGTATTTCACAACATATCAGTCCGCTGGGCTGGATGATTTACGCATCGAAAGTAGGAAGAAGGGAACTGTTCTGTTCCAGATTCCTGTCACCGAAATCAAAGAGCTGAAGAAGACGGAGGGACTTGGCTGGAAGGGGAAATTGATCGTTGAACTGACGGCTGGGAGCAAGGAGGCTGCAGATGGACTGGTTGTTAGCGGTGATGAGCTGGGCCAGTCTTACCATCTTACTGGTATGAGGTCACGGAATCAACTCTTCAATCGGTTGGTTGCTATTGATGCGCAGTTTTGGGAAAGTCGTTAATACTTACCTACATGCAAGTGTTTAGATCCGTGGTATATATTGTATCTTGTCTATTTAGAGTCTACCATCAGCCCTGGAGTCTATATACACCTTGACATGCACGTAGAATGTCGAACATTATACAACTTTTCACAAGGGAATTAAATTTAAATGTATTTATCTCAACCAAAACGCTATTAAAATAAGGCCTTGCGGTATTCCGAACAGTATATTTCTAAATAGGAATATCATGGATGATCTGTTCACATATAACTGTCTCACTAGAAGCACAGAGCTAGATACTTTTTGCACACTCGAATGAATGCGGGTTTTGTCGCAATGCTCTCTTCCATCTCGGCCTTTTATCGGGCTCTGGTTATCTCAATTGGCTCCATCGACACCCCAGTCACCAGATCTGCTTCGAAAGCCTTGACGCGTCCGGTTCGGTAATAAAGTTTATAACTAAATAGGTAAATCAAATAAACCGGTAGCCCAATATACTGCAAGGTGAAGTTCTTGTAGTCAAAATCGATTAAGAAAACTCCAAATCCCTTCGTAAGTGTCAAAAGACACAGTGTCAACAAGCCACCCAAGGATGCCCATTCTCTTAATGGTGCCCGGTAGGCGAATAAATTTGCCGGTACTTGTTGCAATTTGACCGCACGAGAGAAGAAAATGTGAGTGACCAGAATGGAAATACAGGTGAGCATGCCTGGTAGTTATAATGAAACAAAAAATCAGCATTCGAAATTCTTGCACGAGACGTGTGTTATAAGAGGTCGAGATCTTACCAAAAGTGGAAACCATAGAAGTAAGATAAGTGAATACGACCTTTGCGCCCGAGCTTGTACTCATATATGCTAACAAGCAAAAAGCAGTGGGGATGACCATTGCAAAGATTGGAATACCTCGATTGTTTGTTCAAGTCAAAATCTTAGGTGCGTTCCCATCAGCGGCAATGTTATAGATTGTTCTTGTAGCGATATAATAGTATGTTTCATGTCAGCCGATAATTAATCAAGATGTATAAAAATAAGACGTACTATGAATATGTGATGAACTTGAAAAGCTCAGTACCAGCGCATCCATCGTTTTGCTTCCCTTTCTCACAATCTCCTGCTCGCAGGTTGCGTCTGTCCAGACCATATCGGGGACGGGTGCCAATCATCTCGCTGCCGTGTTCCTCGTAAGATGTGAAACGCCATCAAGCCCCAAGGTATACATCAGGTCTCAAACTTGGGGAAATTATGAGCCACTTTGCTCATTAGCAGGATTATAAGTGGTGATATTTCCCTACTATGATCCCAAGTCTGCTACTGTGAATTTCCCGCCTTAATCGTGTTTTGTAAGCATCACTAGGTAGCATTTTTATTTTACTGCCCTGCTGCTACAATCCCCTGGGAATGGACCTGTCCCAATCTCAGTGGAACATTCTTGCGGATGCGATGAAAGAAGCTCACGTATTCCCATAGTTTGATATTGCTTATCAAGGTCCGGGAGATTCTCTGATAGAAGTCGCTTATGCGGTGCGTCATTTTGCGGAAATGGGATTCGAAATGGCCGTTTGTCAACATTTCTCTAAGAACTTTGGTCTATACGGAGAGAGATACGGTGCCCTTCATGTGGGTTGTAAATCCGAAACTACTGCTACAAATGTCTATGATCAATTGCGTTGTCTGATCCGATGGGAAATATCATCTTCGCCGTTGCACGGATCACGCATTGTTACAATCATCGGTGACACCCAGTTGAAGCAAAACTGGTGCGTATTCCCTTTCTTGGAGGATCACTTGGACTATTCTAATCATTTGTAGGTCTGATGAGTTGTCAACCATGCGAGACCGTCTCCGCAGCAACCGGCTAGAGCTTTATGAAGCCCTAAAAGGCGTAAGATTTGAGAACTCCGAACGTGTCGCTAAATATTGCCCCGTGTGCATCCCCACTTTCATCTTATTCTGGCGCGAACTTCCTGGATTATATCGATTTCGCATTCTTCTTCATTGTTAGCTGGTAGCTCCACCACACCCTGAGCCGGGCTTATCGGCGAGACAACAGAGTCTGTATCCCGAACAGGTGATGACTCTGTGCTGATAACAACCTGTTCACCCTCTTCCATCGCCAGAACCATTGCTTTCTCTATGCGAGCAAGCAAGGCACTAAATTGATTAGACTGTGAGCTCGAATTTGGGACAAGCAAAACAAACTTACTTTCCTATATAGCTTATACATAGACTTAGATTGCAAGTTTGCACCATGATCCTGGATCTGATATCTTCAATCTGAGTTCGTTGTGTCGCCCATTTGATCTTTTGCCAGAACACCTTGCCATAGCCAGTTTCAAACCCTTTTAACCTGGCAAGGATCTCTTTCAATCGCTGTAGGGTCGCCAGACAAGTGCCGAGGGTCCGTTCGAACGTCTGTTTGCGATCATTATCCATCTTTTCGAAGAAGGATGCGTTGGAGTTCACATCGTCGGCAAAGGTGTTCAAAGTTCCTTGTAACAATCTCAGCTTAGTCACTAGCTTTTGGAATCCTGTAGGAGCATGCTTCGCGATGATCTGGCATTGGTTGTATAGGTCCCCTGTCACCTTGGCGAGCGCGGGAATCTCAACAACACCTAGATTTGAAGGCATTTTTGAAAACAAAATGCACTGTCACCCAAACTGAATAGTTTGAGAGAAAACGAACAAGAAGCTTGCAGGGCGCAGCTTTCCTCACAGTCATGATCCACAGAACTAGGTAAACAGAATGCCTTTCAACGGGGCTGAACTGAGGTGGGCAGTAAAATATAACAAAGTGTTTCCCGGAGACAAGCAGAAGACCGCTTATCCGTTATAGTAATAGCTAAGAAAGAGACAGCCTCGAAGGATAACCCGCCAAGCATTCGGAGCCAACACGGGGATTGGGGGTTGATTCGACTATTCGATCAATGTACCCAACCACAGGTACTTCTTTCAAGTGAGTCATTCACTCTCTGCATATGTATTGGCCAAACTAAATTAATGGTATGAATGGGTATCGGTAGAGAATGCAGACGGCCTTTCCCACACGCATGTTTCTTTGATAACGCAACGCGCCACTAGGCTGTGTGTGCTGCAGGCTAACAAAGAAACGTAGAAAAAGTGACGTCGGGTGACTACAAGCTTGACGGGAACTATGCAAATAGCCGAGGGGCTAGAGAATTATTGGGGGGTTTTTCTCCCATATTAGGGGTTTCGTCTTGGATAGGACGTGAAGTCGAATGCACATAAATCGTCCATGTATTCCCTGATTTTGCTATCAAGGTGGCTCAAGAAAAATCGAACATGGCAATATACAGTAAGCAACGGTATTAGACTGCCTGATTCAAGTGATACAAAGGGAAAAATCCCGAAAATGAACACTGAAAATGAAGATATAACTACTCTCCGAACTTACAGAAACTGCACTCATCCGCGACCCGCTTTATGCCTGAGGCACCAACTTTTGATCGTCGCGACAGCTCAGCTCCTGATTCTTTTTTTCTTTCCAATCAGACACCCCATCTAGCTCTCAAATTGATTCCACGAAGCGTGAAACACACCTAAATAGTGTTGATTCCACCAGGCCGAGACATCTACAAGCTCACCCCTCATAACCCTGCTCTCCGATCTCCAAATAACCAAATCCACCATGGAGTCCACCGCGTCCTTCACTTTGGACGCGACGACAGTCCTCTGTATCGTATTCTCGCTCTCCATGATGCCAATTGCGTATCTATTGAGCAAGACACTTGTCCCAGCCCACAGGACACGCGATCGCGTCCTCTTTTTCTGGCACGCGTATGACGCGCTCACCCACATCTTCATCGAAGGCTCCTGGCTCTATGAATGCTTCTTCAGCTACATCACTATCGCTGAAAATCACAGCGCGGAGCCCTTCTTCCTCAATGATCGAACCCGTATGTACGGCCCCGCCTACGGAACTGGACCTAGCGCGCGTCTGTGGCAGGAATACGCCAAGGCTGACCGCCGTTGGGCTGGCGCCGACTTGACTGTCGTCTCGCTGGAGTTATTGACCGTCTTCCTCGGCGGGCCAACTGCGGTATACATCTGCTATCTGCTGTGCCGGTCGTCGAATGAGAAGATCAGTGCCAAGTCCCGTGGTGGTGTTAAGGCGACGCTGTGGCTGGTTTCAACTATGCTTGCTACGGCCGAGTTGTATGGTGGATTCATGACCTTTGCACCGGAGTGGCTGACGGGAAGCTCCCAGCTCGCTACTGAGGATCCGGTTTACCTTTGGCTGTACTTGTTCTTCTTCAACACCCTCTGGGTCTTTATCCCTCTGTGGGTGTTGTGGGAGGCGGCGAAAGAGCTACGCGGTGCCTTTGTGGCGGCCGAGCCTCAAAATGAGAGGAAGGTCCAGTAAGCTCAGTCTGAGAGCTGGCGTTATTGGAACGTCTCGATGAACTTACGGCTGATGCATTTTCTTTTCTTTTCGGACTTCTTGATTGGTTGATATTCATCTGGTACAAAATAGGTACAAAATAGGCTGGCAAAATCTTACCATGTCTGTGAAGGAAAGGATTGTGATAGCATAGATTGTGATAAAATTCCCATTTTCTCTCAAGCATTACCAGCTGTTGATAGGAGTATATAATGTTCACATTGCTTCTTGCCTGGCATTTAGACACATAGAAGCAAGATTTTGCAAAACAGTAGCTTCCAAAGTCATCGAGACATGAGTTCATCCTTGCCAACCATAATCAACAACTAGTTGTGCGTGTATGGCATTTGAGGGGCGTTGGAAACAATATACAGTCATACATCAACATGACTAAGATGCTTCATCTAAGGCGTCATACGCTGCTCGAGGTCATTCTTGATCACTATCGCACCACTATATAAAATGCTAGTCTTCATTCAAGATAATACAAGAATAGTTGGCCGCTTATGCGGCCTTGTCATATCTGTTTAGATGTCCCTTTAGGTGTATATGAAGGTGGTAAAAAAAGGGCATTCTTTGTGTGAGACCCTGTGATACATATACCGGCCTTGCTGTATGATTTGGGACCTGGCGCCGAATACCGTAATGTGGAACAAAGCATAGCTTCCAAGGTTATCACCGAGACTTGAAAATTCTACCCTAAGCACATAATCAGAGGACAAACCAGAGAGTTGCCTACTTGACCTATGATATTCCAAAAGACCGGAATATTATACATGTAACTAAGGATCTAGAGTTAGTCACAGCTTCCCAACCTACTTCACGATTAGCGTACTAATTTTGGTTCCTTTGGTGTGCCCTTGTCATTAACCTGTGTTTCTTACGATTTCTCGATTACACGCCCCTTAATTTTCGTCCTCATGGCACCCCTCGAGGCACAAAGGCTGGCCGCTGTCCCGATTCCCGATGGTATCACCGCGAGAGCTGGCACGCACCATGGTGATCCAAGTCGGGCGATGTCTCGCCCCATGAAACGGAACGTGAACACCGCCAATGGCTCCGCCAGCTCCGAACCGAACCTCGGTCTTGGTTTAGAAGGGGCGGGTGTGAAGCCACTGGACTATTGCCATCTAAAATCCCTTATCGTTGGCCTTGGGGATATACCATCTATCGTGCTGTCTATAACCCAGAGTCCGACCTTCACTGGGAAGCTGCCACTGATGCGATCCGATCAAATATCTTCGCTACACTTGCGTGGGATTTACAACACGGTCGACGCGAGCGCGGGCAATCCCATCGGGTTTTACGCGACGGGTATTGTAGTCTTGTATTTGATGACGAGACTGGCTTTGATGGGGCTACAACCGCTCAAGCCCGAGAGAATTCCAAAGCCTTTGTGAAAATGAGGTCGGGTCTTGTCTTTATTGGAATCATTGTTTATGTTATTATCTATAATAGTTATGTCTTCTATTATGGGTACTACTGATTTTGATAACTGGTTCCGCTGATGTCTGGTTATTGAGAAGGAAGCTTTGCAGTCTGTTATGCGTCATCAAAAGCCTCTTGGTGTGCCTCTTCAAGTGGAGGAAGATTCAACAGAGGGAAGTGAGGCCAGAATATGAGGTGACGGTTGTCGATAATATGAGCAAGAGAAAACCAGTCAATACGCAGGCTATATGCGCATTCCTCTTCCCCAACTCCTCTGACTTGCGAGTTTGGGAGGCGTAGTGCCTGTGTCTGAAATATTCGCTGGTACAATGACTTTTCAAGCAGAACTATGGCTAAACAGATACGGTTCTTTTGATGAACACTGTTCATGTATATCGTACCAGGGGCAATGAATGCGAAGAAGTGCGAATGCCTCTGGCTCCACAATTCTCATTTCTATCACTAATCCCCGAGCTTCTTGAAGCTCTAGAGGCCGTAGAGGAGGTAGTACCTTCATAAATGATTTGCTATGGGGTTACTCCCATGTAGTCTATCCATCTGTTAATGTATTATATCCAATTGGACAGTATTCCTCGTCCATGTTTCACATTCTTGTTTATACTTGCAATCTGAACTAGAACTGTGATACTCTAGAAACCCCGGTTAGTATAGGTCATTGAGAGATTGAGACTGGCCTTCTTGCCCAGTGGCTCCAGGATTGCCTTTCTTTCCACTCTATTCATTCTCCATGTCATCTAGTTCATCCGTGACCTAATCAGTCGCATCATCAGCAATCAAGCTTAGATGTTCGGCAAACTACTCATCCAACTCATCCAACCAACCGAACACTTTTGCGTCTTTCTAATAGCATTGTATTCGGAGTAAATAAACGATTAAACTCCATTAGTTTATCCCACGTAGGTTAGGATGACCCTTGGAATCCCGCTATTATGAGGTGCAGGCAAGGCAAACTGCTCCTTCACCTCTTCATTCCTATCGCCCTCACTTACTGTTCTTTGTGTTTTCGTATATCAAGAAGATCTACTTCTTCATACTTCCTGTATCTCCTTTTTCTACTTGGAGATATTATAGAAGCCCAGCAGGGCTGAAAACCGAACCAGGAGCCTTGGCAGAAAAGCCACTAGCATGCATTTAGATATGCTCATTTCGAATTACTTTGTGAATTTCTCATAATTGAGTGTCTGTTTAAACATATTCTGAAAGAGTTGAGTGGAGCTGTACTCATAGCAACTCCAAATTGTAGTGTTTTGTGTCATGGCCAGGCCGAATGAGTACCTTGTCTAGATAATGAGTCTCTTACCTATGTAGGTAGGGCTCTATATTTTCTAAGTCCTCAAAACCAACTGGTCAGCTTCTGACGATGTAAGAAATTGACAGGGCGACTCAGCGACTGCGCATGTGGTATTGTCCATGAATAAGACAGGCTGTGAGTGTTCTCTCTTCTCCTTCATCCTTCCCCTTCATCCTTCCACTTCATCCTTTCTCTTCATCCTTTCTCTTCATCCACCACCTAGAGTCAGACATCGGATTTCACAAACATGGCTCCTTTTTTGCCCATGCCTTTTATTTCTCTCATTTATCCACGCCCTCCTACCCCGAAGACGGAGTTCCAAACCCTTCCGGCAGAAATCAAGCTCCTTATCATTGAGAAGCTTGGTAATGACTCCTTGATACTGAGTCATGTGGCTGCTTGTAACAGGCAGCTATATCACATGGCGATGCCTGCACTGTACAGCAATGTATCTTTGGGGGCTCCCCCCAATTATCGAATTTGGCCCGGTTTAGCATTTCCTGCAGATCGTCGTTCCGTAAGTTGACTCTCCTTCAACAATTACTCTCACCTTTTCATCCTTTTATACCGAATATTCAGATCGAACGCTTTCTTTTTACGATCCTCCGGAACCCCCCCATTGCGCGACTTGTGAAATCTCTCGATTTGACTGACCTGCACGACCTTTGCTACGCTCACAGACAGAGTCACTCTCAACCGGAGAGAAGAGAGCTTGGTCTTCAACCCCTCCATCCGCCAGACCACAAAATGATCATGGCTGCTGGTATGAGTTTACCATTGTATCCAGCCCTCAGGGTGCTATTGCGCACAGCACTTGGGCCCGATGTACCCAGGTCTGATGCGTTACTGGCCGTTCTTCTGGGTTACCTGCCTTCCCTACAACGTCTCGAGATCTCAATGGAGCACGAGGACCCGTATACCGATCCTCAAATGACAGATTGGAACCTGGTTGAACGTGTTTTGATGGGTATCGCCAGCGCACGCCCGATACACATCGATGGAAATGGCATTATAACTTCTTCTACACCTATGCTATCCAAGCTCACTCACCTGAAAGCGGAAATCAATGGAAACTTACCCTTAGCTGACATTGATTGGCTCATGGTGCTTCTTCAAATTCCCACATTGACCCATATATTCGGCACCAAATGGACCAACGCAGCACGGTGGTTGAGACCTGAATTTGTCAATGCCGATCGTCTGGTTCACCTCGAGCTTCGTGAGTGCACCTTTGATGCTCAGAGCCTTGAAAGGCTTCTCAACCAGACCCGCAACTTGCAAACCTTCATCTACGAACGCGGGTGGACAAAGCGGATGGGTTGGGTCATGAAAGCCTCCGCGCTCACCCACGCGCTTCAATACACATCGAAGACCCTCACCTGTCTTGAACTATCATTCAATCGATCTGACCGAAAGATAAACGAGAACTTGTATCTTCAGCCTCTCGACCTCTCGGGGCTTGTTCATTTGAAGAGACTACGACTATCCGCTGGCTATCTTGTTCAGACTGAAGAGAAAATGGCTAGGTTTAGAGGTCGTTACCGGTCGCTATATGACGAGGACGGGGTGTACAACAGTGCAAGGCCAGTGCACCACCTGCTTCCCAAATCACTTGAGGAGCTGCACATCTTCCAAATTCACGATGATCTCGAGTTTATCCTCATGAGTGATAAGTTGTGTGAAGGTCTCTGGACCAGAACACTTCCCATTTTGTCGCAACGCCAATTGCAACACCTCAAACAGATCATAATTGAGGCCCCTTTTGAGGACAGAGGGGTGTTCGTGTTTGAGGCACTCTCCAAGGCCACAAACCAGGTTGGAGTGAAGTTAACAACGATTGAAAATTCCGCCGATTACATCAGATCTTGGATTACCGGCGAGACAAAACGAACATGCCCGGAAAAGAAGATTGACTGGGGGTTTGACGGCCAAATCCAGTGGGCACATCCTTTCACTCAGCGAGCGGACTCGCATTTCGATTTCCGCTGAATGTTTCAACCAGAGCCCGAAATGATTATCCCCAGGAAGAGGTGGATACATGTATTGTGATGAGGGATCAAGCGGTGAAGTAGGTTGGGAAGGGTTCCCTTTCCATTTGTATGTATGAGTACAGCGGACATCGATCGATGTATGTAGAAATTGACTGTCTTGGAGCTTGAAGTGCACGGACCAAGTGATCTACGTGACGTAATCCCTCCACATGGCCCGGAGGCAGTGGACCTCGGCCTTATCCAAGGAGATCACGTTCGTAGTTTATTGAGAATCTTTCCACTTTCTGTAATTACCATCATTCAACCCATCTTGGAAATATCCGACTCATGAACATCCTACCTGGAACGGATACCAGAGGTTGAGGGCCGGATCCGGAGCATAACACCATTTCCCCACAAATTTCGAACTCGAGCAGAGCCATGGCTGAATTCAAGCTATCCTACGAGTCTCAACTGGTATGTCTTGAAGACCAGCCCGCTCCTATTCTCTCACACATCCGCATCTGCATCACCACAATACACTGGACCATGCTAACATGTCCCCACAATCGAGGACGTCTACCACCCCTCCTACCGCTACGAAGCCCACGACCCGCGCGACTGGAAATCTGCCGCCCTCCGTGGCCCAACCCTCCCAGCTTTAGGGAATGCAACTGCTGGTGCAGTGGGCGCAGCCATCTCCAATGTGGTCGTCTACCCGCTCAATGTCATCGTCGCTCGTCTACAGACCCAGAATCAGAAGCAGAAAGACAGCGACTCCAGCGAGAAATCAGATGACGACGAGAATTCAGACGAAGGATATACCAGTGTGGTGGATGCTGCCCGCAAAATATATGCGCAAGAAGGCATCGCCGGCTTCTATCCCGGTCTGGCGCAGGATACCTGGAAGACCGTCGCAGATTCGTTTCTTTTCTTTCTTGCGTATAGTGCCATCCGCCAGAAGAGGATAGTCGCGCATGTAGGTGTAGAGCGAGCCGCCAAGAGCAAAAATATTGCCCTTCCAATACTCGACGAACTTGCCGTTGGCGTTTTAGCTGGCTCGTTCGCCAAGCTATTCACCACGCCACTGTCGAATATCGTCGCGCGCAAGCAGACGTCCGCGGCACGCAAGAGTGGAAATGCGAAAAACTTGTCAACAAGTGACATCGCAGCTCGCATCCGCGACGAGAAGGGTATTCTAGGCTTTTGGTCTGGATACTCAGCCACTCTGATACTCACCCTGAATCCATCTCTCACGTTCTTCCTCAATGAATTCCTCAAACGGACCCTCCTCCCACGATCGAAGCGCGACAAACCCCCTCCATCGCTGACATTCCTTTTAGCGGCTCTAAGCAAAGTTGCCGCCTCGTCAATCACATATCCCTTCTCCCTCGCAAAAACCAGGGCTCAGGTAATAAGCTCGGACTCTAAGTCTAAGTATGGGACTACAGATAAGACTGGGGCCTCCATTCCCGCTTCTCTCACCCCGGAAATACTTTCCACGGTTGCCACAATCGCCCGCACAGACGGTATACCAGGGCTGTACGCCGGCCTTCATGGCGAAGTGCTTAAAGGCTTCTTCTCACATGGCTTTACAATGCTCGCAAAAGACGCAGTGTACGCTTCTATAGTCAAGACCTACTACCTCCTTCTGCTTCTGGGACGTCGCTATCCCTCGCCAGAAGAACTTATCCAGCGTGCCCGCGAACAGGCAGAGGAGTATACAGAGATCGCGCGTGAAGGAGCGCGGGATTTAGCGGAGAGAACAAGGGAGGGCGCTGAGGGGCTGCTGAACGCTAATTCTAGCGGTAACGCTGTTGATATGACATCAAACTCCGCAGGCGCTGCTGATGCAGCTGGAAGTACGCATAATGGTATTGATGCTTCTTCGGGTCTGAAGGTCCCTGCATCGTCAGCTTCCGATGAACTTAATGAGACGGCTGAGCTGGTCGGTGATTATGTTGAGGAGGAAGCAGCCGAGTGGAAGAGCCTTTATCATTGGTTTTGGGAGAAGGATCGTGGACCACATCGTGATTGAATCCAGGGCTAAATTATACTGGGTTCACATATTTAAGCATTTATTTTACGATCAGTTTGTCTTTTTAGTGAATTACGTGCACAGCAAAAAGGTAGTACAAAGAGGAGAGGAAAGACAAGTATATAATACTGTGTGCCTATTAGGCTCCAATTTATATTCTCAACTGCTTTAGTCACAGGACATGACCTAATCGGGAGCCCGAGATTACCATTTAGGGGTTAGCTCCATCTTTGGAGGCTAATTGTGCTTATCTCGTGGTAGCCGTAATGTAACAGGGCGTCCACAATGGAAGCTAATTGGGTATCACCAAATGGGCTATTGCCCGCTCATCCATGGATGTTTTCTATAAAGCTATCGATAATCCCATAATTCTCAAGTAATCTGACTTTACATTCGAACCTGAATTCCTAATCTTCCAATATGGCATCAACCCAAGCCCCCTGGGACCTTTCAAAGTCTAGCCGGCTGATCTACCGAGCCCCAGAGAACTCTGAAGAGGACATCGCATTTTTCCACGGTCTTATGAACGAGCCGATAATTCAAACACTGAGTACTGGACGTCTCCCGCGCCCGTCTCACAAAAGTTCGGCAGGGGAGTTCATCAAAGTACTTCAAGACGCCATTTTAGGGGTGGTTATATGCCTCCCCGCTCAAAAACCCCTCGAGGGAACAAACTCTTTAACTGAGACCAAAACCTTGCATCAACCTGCTCAAGATCCCAAACCAGTCCCAATTGGCCACATGAGCCTTTTCAGCCTGGATGGATCAAACGGCACCCATCATCGCAATGCGATGATAGGAATCTCACTTGCGGACGGGTTCCGGGGCAAAGGATACGGCGGAGAAGCTATCGACTGGGCTTTGGACTGGGCATTTCAGCATGCTGGACTGCACAGAGTCTCTATAGGTGCATTTTCGTACAACCCGAATGCACTGAAGCTTTACAGGAAACTTGGATTTGTGGATGAAGGTCGTGAACGTGAGGCTGTGTATCATCGCCGCGCTTGGCATGATATTGTCACCTTGTCTATGCTGGAGCATGAGTGGGAGGTTTTGAGGGGACTAGCGCCGTAATCAGATCGCACTCCCCACTCTCACTTGGAGGCATCCAATCAATGAAATCTTGGTTTTACATGGAGAGATTTGAAGGTGGCTAGTTGAGGGATCTAGCTCGAAGGGGGAGTTGTTCATGGTTGCATGATAGTTAGCTTAATGATGCCCATGCGTTTAATAGACGGAAGGCAGACCGAATTTAACAGTAGTGAATATATTTATTTTAGGGAAAGTATATCCAGTTCACAGTTAAATATCCCAGGCAAATCCACGCAAGGACCTGTCCTTATCCAACGATGCAAACACAAGGACAGCTTTTTTCAACGGCCGTAGATAAGGGAGTAAGCGTGAAATCTCAGCATCCTTTTCATGTTGATTAATGTCGCCTAATAAAGTGTCGACCAACTCGAAGCCGCGCCGAGCTGTAGCCGGGGCATTGCAACCTTCTATACGTACACATAAATCCTCCAAGATGTGGATACAAACGCTGAAAATCGAAAAATAATCAATCCGAGCCACTGGCATATCCCCTTCAAACTCTGGCAACACACTATCTTTGATTTTCTCCATGGTGACAGAGAAAACTGTTGAACGAAGTTGCTGAGAAGCTGCTCTTGTTTGACTTAGTGTGGGATTGTTAACTCTTCGCTCTTCGTAAAGCTGAACCCATTGTCTCGCACTTAGTTGATAGTTTATCATATGCTGCGTATAAAAACGAGATAGTTGATGACAACCAGTGGGTCGCTCGTTGAAGTATGAGTGTCCACGAGAGAATACAAACTGGTTCCCATTGTGTGAACTCGAAGTTTTGATCAAGTGGCCTCCACTCGATCGACGGAAAACCGAGCTGAAATTTCTTTTGGGGATTGATCCAGGGAAAAGGGATTTCGTGAAAATCACACACATTTGATCCAGCCAAGTTACTCGCTGCATCTGCGGGCCCACTTCTAGAAGAGCGTTGTAGAGGTGAAGTACTGCCATCACGTAGTTACTCGCGCAGCATAACTTGACCCCTTTATCCATGGATAAATGGAGGATCTCAATCATGTGGCCGGATGCAACCCAAGGTGCTTGATAGTAGAGATCAAATCTCTTTTCCTGGACATAAAGTTCCAGCTTGCTTCGAAATTCGCAGATGTATTGTTTGTATGGGCAAGTGCAATGGTCGGGAGTCTGACACCAACACAGCTTCTCCAAAAATGGCATGCAATTTGTGATACTATTGATGATATCTTTGGCGAACTTCAGTGATGAAATGCGGCAATTCACTTTATTTGTCTGTTCCTTGGGCCACAGGAATGACTTGTACGTCGACAGCAGCATATCCATACCGAAAACAAGATGTGTTGGGATTGGTGATTTAGGGTCTCGTAATGCCGCATCTAGAGCAGGGAGAAGAGGCTCTGCCTTCATAGATTCTTCCTCTAGTGCACTTATAGCTCGACCCGAAACGAGAAGATGTCGCATGCTTTCCTGCATTTTATCAAAAGCCAAATCGTCAAGCTCGTAGGATTCTCGACTGTCGACAAGCTTGTGTATAAGAGCTGTTGGATGCTGTCGACTACTGGCGGTGGGAAGAATGTTTTTATACCCATCAAGGGTGCGGCAGTGGTGAAGGATTTGCCAGTAATGCATCAATCCAAGATTGTTGGCAAAACGCTGATAATTATGCTGAAGCTCTGGAATATCGGTGAATTTGATTCTGAAGTCTCTTTTTGTGAGGTACCATTTATGGATCAGTGTAGCATTATTTGACAGGCCAGGGGAGTTGTATATAATCCTTTTTGCCGCATGGTAGGCCGTATTGGTCAAGAATCCAGCGACAATGATAGGGAGTTTTCCCGATGCTGCATCGGCCCAGAATCCGTTCACCTTTGCGCAGATAGCATCGAGGTTCTAATTATCAAGTCACTATCGTGTACAAAACTGGTGGGAACTTTCACTTACATATACCAAGAGGCTAAGCTCAATGTACTCGCCTAGCTCATCATCTTGTAACACTTGTTCGGCTTTTTCTGTCGCTGGAGTGTTCGTTGCACTAATAGTGTCCCGATTTCGCGCTTCAGGGTCAGGCTCATGACGATCTGTCAGATCTAAATCCGTCAAGCACGCGTATCGATTAACCCCCGAAGATGAAGTTGTCTCAGTTTCCTTGCCGATTTGAACTAGAGGTGACTGCGTTGATTTCACTAGAGGTGACAATATTTGATATGTCTGTTCAAGTCTGTTGGTTCAATAGGTTATTAATAACAAGCCTGAACGTATTAAGATAAGGCATTTCACCTATCTATAAAAGCTTTGTGCTTCAAGTTCTCTTCCTGATTGTCCGATGTAGCGCGCTCTATATAGAGACTATGAACCTCCCGTCTCTTCTTGAGGATATCTTGTAGTTTGTTGAGTACGCTTTTTGGAACTGGTAGATTCTGGTCTCGAACGAGGATTGCTGCATTCACGATTTCCGCGGTGCTGGGCCGTGCATGGACCTGGTCGAACTGTTCACGGCCAACCGTTGAAAAGAGCCAGTCCACGACATATTTTGTCGCACTCTTGTAAGAAAAGTAAAGAGTAAGCAGAGAGTTATCCATTATGAATCCCCTTATGAATCCCCGAGATCGTACGAGTAAGAGATGTAAGACTGGTGGACATGGGAGGTTACCCCGCCTCCACATGTACCCAAGCCTGCCACGAACCGCAGAAATGTGACTATTGGTGGCCCTGTGTTAAAATGTTCAAGGTAGAAGATAGCAGCAAGTCTCGGAATTACTGGCTATTCCCTGAGATTCGGCGTATACAATAACAACTGTTCAACGGGGGAACAGAAAAGCTGGCAACGTTCTAAAACAGAGCCATCTCACCCTCCCTGAGATAATAATACTATACATAAAAGCACTGCTACCGAGACCGGTTCAGGTTATGGTGGCATTGCAACACGAAGATTCGTATCAACTAAATCAAACCAAATTCCCTCATACCCAGACTCCCTCGACGCCCTAGCCAACTTCACAAATTCTTGAAGCCGAGCTAAACACACACCTTGAATTGTAAACGACGCTAAGCGTTCGACCAAATCTTCTCCAGGTCCATATATCTCAAACATGGCCATCGTCAACGGAAACACCACTGGCAACGCGGTAACTTCGTTAACATTGACAGCCGATTTGGCAAAGAACGACAACTCAGAAAATATCCCATTCGCAAGTTTCCACGCCGGCTCGTCCTCGATTCCTAGCGGATATCGCAGCCGGTGGAGGATCAATAACGCGGCTTGACGATACACATTTGCTTGTGTCACCATTGCTAGAACTGCATGCTGACCGTAGCTATCAAACAGCCCAGAAGGAGTTTGGGGTCGCCAACGTCGGATCTTCTCCTCTATTTCGTCCAGTTGGTCGTGGATGGCTGAATATGATTCAGATCCGGCCGCAGGGGCTTCTCTCTTCAAGCTGTTGCTGCACACGCAGATATCGTAAAGATGAGGGAAAAGTGTAGCACAGAGACCAAGATAGCGGTCGACGAGGACGCGAGGCTGAGGATCGAGTCGTATTATAGGGATCTCACGGTGCACCAGGCACTCGACCGTGTCGACCAAAATCGGAGTCATGGTTATTGTGTCCATGATAGGGGCTTGCACCAATCTGGGAAGCCATGGCTTGGCTGACATGAGGGCGCTCCGAACGATAGCATGGGCTGTACTGGAGTGTGGTGTCGTGAGTATGTTGAACACGTACATAGTCTGGCCCAGGAAGAGAGCGCACGCTGCGTCGTAGTCGTGTGAGATTTTCACACTTCTCAGACTTTGCAATCCCTTAGCAGCCTTGAGTATATCGGGCTTGCTTCGGCGTATAACAGGGGACTTTTGGTAGTTTGTCATCAGGCCTAGGAAGGCCAGGTATCCCTCGGTCAGGACCGGGGCGGATAGTTGCAAAATCACATAGATGGTCTTTTGGGATGTTGGGATGAAACTATCTCCAAATGCGAATGGTGAATGTATGGCTGAGAACTGTTCCATGTTCATAACGGTGCGCAATGCATCTGACGTCGTTTGGAAGTCAGTGGGGGCGGCAAGTAATTTCTCTGGCGATAGTATCATGACATCGGTACTTTCTGGCGTCCAAGGTTCATTATCTCCGGGAGAAGAACTCGAAAATGAGCGTGGACTAGACGAGGAAGATGAAGCATGTCTTTCGCTCTCCTTGGACTGGGCACGATGTCGCGACACGATCGTGGAAACCCGCAAATTCCCATGCGGGAAGACTTCGGCAGATGAGAGGTGTCTCACGCGCTTAGTGCGACGAGCGGTGGAGCCAATCTTCATATGATTACATCTGATGCATGTCGGACTAGCACCTGCAGTACAGCTTTCTTTCTCTTTATTCAAGTCGCAGTGGTCGCAAGCCTTCGCCATCATGGTAGTGCGAATGCGCGAGTAGAACTAGGAACAGGTCACGACCGGGTGGTTTGGTAGCAGTCTGCTTGGTTTCCAAGATTGATGTCGGAGGTGTTTATGAATTCAGCGAGGTGATCCGGTGAGATCGGCCGATTTCCCCGCTCTCTCCACGATTTCCCCATAGCCGGTGGATCCGCGTATGGTCTTCCTCTTTTGGTATTCCAATCTGATCCATCTCATTTAACATCCAGCCCATGTGTTCGTAAATTTGGAGGTTATCTCATTATTTTACGCCTATTGACGCTCATTCACCTACAAAAAGTACTGGCTGGGTTGCGCAGTGAATCACACCCCCAGCCAATGGAAGCGCAGACAAAAACACTGGCTGAACCACGCGATCAGGGCACAGCTTCTGAAACAACACCAAGGCCGCTTGATCTCGCCGATTATCGCCGAATTGAGGAAGAATAAGCCCCCCCATTGACGAAATAAAAATTCCCAGTTAGTCGCCGGTTCATCGTATGACAAGACCCCGAAGATTTCGGGGCTCGGCTCGTCTACTATGTGTACCTCAAAAGGACGACCCTTCGCATCGGCCGACTTCCCTAGAATGTCTCTGATGTCCTCATAAATCTGTATCCATGCCTTAGGCACGGTATAATGGGGTCGTGAGAGGACAACAACTCCGGGCCGGACAAAGTTGACTTCAGCGTCAACGAGCACATCAGTAACATCCAATTTCTTTCTGCCGGGGAACCAGATAATTTTCTCAACACCCAGCAGACGATGTAGCTCTGTCTCAATCGCTGTCATTCGAAAGACCCGGGTTTCGATTTTCGTTGATGATGCTGCTTTCAGTGGCCAGAAGCATCCCTTCGCCATCCACAGCTAGTGCACCACCTTCCAAACGGACCTGTGATTCCACCAGAGTCACCGGAGATGGAAGAACATCAGATTCGATAACCCTGCTGGCAAAGGTACCGTTTTCTTCGATCTGTTCAGACGTCATCACAGGCCAATCAAGCCCAACTGAAGCCCGGTCGTGGTCGCCAATCCCATTTTTTCTTCCCCATTCACTGAAACGGAAGTTGATTGCAAGACGTTGGTGGATGGATTCGCCAATGCCGCGTACATAGACGGGTCCTGTATCGCGGACCCCAAGGTGATTTGTGAGGAATGGAATGACAGAAATGTTCGAGGTGTTACTCGGATATTTTGTAATAGCCTGGCTTATCATTGACCTTGCTTTCTGGACATCTTCGGGTCGTGCATATAGTCGAATTGGTTCATTAACCGAAATTACAGAGGCCAAACTAGCAATATCGACACATGCGCTTTCGTAGTACGCTGAGGCGATGGAGACTGGGATGGGAATCCGAGAATAGTCGCAGCACGAGGGACAGTCTCATGGGGGCAGAAAAATCTTGCTTTGATTGTAGATGAAGCCGTGTTTGCAACAGCTGGGATGCTAACAGACATTCCACATAAGAGAGTGTTCTATAGGTGAGCGGTATGCTTTGTGGTGAAAGGAATGAAGTTGCGGGGGTCTCCGCCCGTGGCTTTCCACTACCTGACAATGAAATGACATCGGCATGCATTGGAGACAGCATACATAGCCAAGCATACAAACTGCTAGGATTACTTGCTACAAGATACAAACTACATAAATAAAAAGAAGAATATGACTGATAGTAAGCATTGTGTTGAACTCCATAGAGCCAAATCGAGAGTCTATCAGCAACTAGTTATTGAAGGACACATAGCCCATCAAGCACGAAAATCAAAGTCCCAACCACGGAGGATAAAAAAGCAGACCCAAAGAAATTCCCTAAACCCCATAACCATTTGACGCAAAAAAAGAAAAGAACTCATCACACCGTAGCGCATTAAGGAAGAAAAGCCTCCGACCGCCACCTCGCACACAGAGAGTGGAAAAGTCGCTTAAGACGATGAAAATCGCGAGACAAATCTAACCACCGAAACCGTAGAGGGTACGGCCTTGGCGCTTGAGGGCGTAGACGACGTCGAGGGAAGTGACGGTCTTACGCTTAGCGTGCTCGGTGTAGGTGACAGCGTCACGAATGACGGACTCAAGGAAGGACTTGAGCACACCTCGGGTCTCCTCGTAGATCATAGCGGAGATACGCTTGACACCGCCACGACGGGCGAGACGGCGGATAGCGGGCTTGGTGATTCCCTGGATGTTGTCGCGCAAGATCTTGCGGTGGCGCTTGGCGCCACCTTTGCCGAGGCCCTTTCCGCCTTTGCCGCCTGTTTTATGTTGTTAGTTTTTGTTTGAGGATTGTGTGAGAAGAGTATAGTTTGGGATGTGGGGGTTGAATATAAAACAGTATGAAGAGGAGGGGAGTATAGGGAGTTGAGGGTGGTTGGAGGTTGTGTTAAGATGTGTCAAGGTGGACGGCCTATCCTAATTAGGAAAGGTGGGATGCGGTTTCTGCCTGAGGCATGAATCACGTGTCGACAGGGGCATCACCAGTTCTTATTTTGGGAACTTCACCACGCCGACAACAAATAGACGATGGGGTATATAGTGACAACAACATGTGAAAAGATATCAATACTTACGTCCAGACATAGTTTCAAATATGAGGAATTGAAAATATTAAAAAGGTAGATGGATCGACGTCTGTGTTGTCGATAAAACGATGAAAACCACGTGTTTTGATGGTCGGCGTTGAGGATAATAGAGAGGGAAAAATAGGAAAATGACTAAATGGAGGGGGAGGGCAGTTTAAATAGGAATGCCGATTACGCGTGATCCGGGAAGTAAGTATTTTAGGTAAGCGAGAGATTTATCCATCATTCTGCAATGCGGCGGTGATTGGCGGGCGGCGGGGAAAGAAAAAGGGCGTTATGAAGGGTCGGTTTCCAGCGCGTCTACCAGGCATCGGCGAACCCGCATTTTCCTGCGTCGAGCGACAATGATACTGATCACGTGGTGATAAGATAGGATAACCGCTAGCCTAATCGGGAGGTATACCCCAGGACTCCACCACTCGAATCAATGTGAGCTTCATATCATGTACTCCTTAGCTTTTTAACGCGTGGTTAGCATTTTGTGTGAGTAGCGGGATAATTCTTTATTGGCTAGAAGGTAACCTAACAAACTACAGGTGTAAAAGAAAGATCTAGTCGATGGCGTTCATCATGTCTCGTGTCATTTCGAAACTACGTCGCGTTGCCTATATAAGACGCAGTTATGTATCGCTATCTTCGCATCCTCACACATTCGCGTCCCCTGTTCCAACCAGCAAGGTAAACCGTGTTGTGGAACTAAAACAACAATAACAAGCAGGAAAAAAAAGCAGGAAAGAGAAAACGCCAGAACACCATGCAAAAAAGAGAAGGAAAAAAAAAGAAGAAAAAGAAATCCAATGCATCGAGATCAAGAGCGGAGGCAGGCATACTAAAAACTTTTTGCGTTGAAAAGGAAGGGCCATCCAGGAAAGTACGGCAAAGAATCGAAAAATGCCTCGGAAGAGAAATCGTAGCGTCATCATGCATGGCTAAAGCAGCACGCAGAGAGGTAAACAAAAAAATAGTGAGAATGACCGCACCAGACAAAAGCCGGGATGGTCGCGTCGATAATTGGGCCGACGACTGATGGAAGCGAGCCGGACAGCGAATGATTCAACGAAACGTCCGCGGTTTATTATGCATCGCAGAGACGATCGCTCACATGTGCTGCTGGTCGAAACCACTGGTGGATAAAGTAGGTAATGTTGAGAGGAAGTTAAAAGAAGAAAAAAAACTCCATCCGTCATCAGAGTGCGCCGATACGTTGTGGTATGGAAGGGGTTGAAATTGGGCCAACGGGTCTGTCAAGTTCCACACAAGGACCACCAAACCCCTTCATGAGATCCGTCAACGATATGTTTTAATAGTCGACTGGAAAGATCATAGCCAAGTTGGACGCTGCCATAGAACAATCTATATTGCTCACCCTCTAATAACCGTTGGAGAGTGAGGGTCATTCATGAAGCCGCCGTGGAAAGAATAGTGAAAAGCCAAGGGGGATGTCGAGGGCGGTGGAGAGGCGCGCGGGCCAACAGAAGCACGCGGTGCTTCGGCCACAGAGGCAGCCAGAGGGGCAGGAGACCTAGGAGACAAAGGCGGCGAAGGACAGGCAGAGGCAGAGGCATGATTTGGGGCCTCGCCTTCACGACCACTCGATATCGATGGGTGTGCCTTCAGGTTCGATCCTTGCGGAGACCCATACTATAACCGATCAGTTGACTGCCATGGCATGACTTGCCGTTGCAAAACTTACAAAGCAGTACTTATCGACCAACTCCTGATACACAGAAGACTCGAGCTGTGGCTTGCTAGATACCAAAGAGGAAGGTTTTAGATCTCCCACACGACTTCCGGTGCGGAAATTATCGCTCACTGCAGAACCAGGGCCCTGCTCAAGATTGAGGGTTTTCTTGCTCGGTTTGGAGGTATCCGGCACAACGGTCTCCCCGGATCTCGCACGGGCTGTCAGAGCGGTCCGATCTAGAGGCGCCTTCGACCGCATAGCAGCAGACAGCGACGCTCCGAAGTCGTACCGGTTTCCAAATGCTTGGCGGTTGGAGTTTTCACGGCGTTTGGGCGGCGCAACCGTATCGATCTCATCCGAGGGCGTGCGAGCCAAGGGCGCACCGTTTGCACCATTGAAAGGGTTCGTGAATGACGTCTTGTCGCCGAGGTCGGGGAAATCATAGTTAGGCGGCATGGATTGCGGTCGAATGGTATGGGAGCTGGTGAAGGATCGGCTGCGAGGAAGGGCGGGGCGAGATCCGCCATTTGCAGGCTTGCTCGTGGGGGTCTTGGGGACTTTGTGGAAATCAATCTGATAGTTCACTGAATCATTATTATCCCAATATTCCAGTCCCTCCACGTTATAGCGGATGCACATGAACATGGTCTTGGTCTCCAGATTGGCCTGGTCATTCAGCTTGAGATCGAACGAAAAGCGATCGAACCCATCGGCGGCTTGCTGGCGGCGAACATCATGGCAGTATGCCGCTCCAACCTCCGAGGTAGTCCTCCAGTAATCCAGTGTGAAACGAGCGGTCACATTCTTGTGGAAAGCAATATTAGCCACGGCCACAGTGCCGATCAAAGTGCTCCTATCAGCCGACAGGAACAACCGCTCGAGGCGGACCGGACGAGTGGCTCGTGATGAGGTATCCTTAGGCCAATTGGCGAGCTTGATCTCCCATTCCCACGACGGGCCACGCGAGTCGGCAGAGCTGAAGGGAAACTCGCCTTTGGTGTCGTGGTTTTCAACTGGTGATGTTTCTGTGCTGACAGCCAATGGCCTGTCCAGCTGGAGGAAGTGACGGATGTGCTCTAAGTGGGAGTCGAAGTGCACCGCCTTAGAATAGACTGGAGTACCAGGCATGCTAGACGGTCGTCGCCGTGACGAAGAAGGGCGGAGAGCAGGCCGAACAAGCTCACCTGACTTCTTACGGACCATTGGGGGCTTGCACGACATCTCCACATCACTTTCGTCGGGCGAGCTAGTCACCGCCTCTTCCCGAGCCAAATTGATGGCGGTTTCGGTCGATGATCGAGAGTGACTGATCTTGCGAGCTTCTTTCGACAATGGTAGGTGGGGGAGCTTGGACCGAGTGGGCTTTGCGTCAGTGGTTGACGGCACACTCGATGAGGGTCGAGCCGGTGTTGGTATTTCTGAGTGGTCTGCTGGATCCATTCTTTCTGGTGAGCTCTCCCTCCTCAGTCTAATTGATCGAACGGCAGCCTCCAGCTCGTCAAACTTGACACTCTCGCCACTCCGGTGTGGTGATTCTTCATCACTTGAGTTCGGCCCGGACTCAGGAGGCGAGATTACCGCTCCGGGAGGGATGATAGCATTGCTTATCGGCGGTGGGGACTGACGGAGACTGGCATGTGGATCGATAGAGGGGTGAGCCCGGGCCGGTGAATCTGGAGCAGAATGCACTATCGATTTGGTGTTCGAAGGACTCCTCCGATGACGCCGGGTGTATGAGGTGGAGGAGTATGGACGGGAATTCTGAACCCGTTCTGACGAGGAGCGAACCAAACCGGGCCGCTCACAAGACTCGTCGGTTGGTCGAGAGTATTCAATGTGCTGCGCGGAGAGCAACGTCTTGAACGGCGCAGTATATGGCATCCGGCCGACTTGTGTATCTCAACACAAGAAGGGAAATAGCAAAGATTCCGAGGGTGTTCGATGTTTCAATCACAATAAAGTGCCTGAAAGTAGCTCCGTCAGTAAGGCTTCATTAAATTCCGGATTGTGGCAACGAGAAGGTCAAGTGGCAAGAGGCAAGGAAAGACATGCCATTTCATCCCAGGGGAGTAGGGTGACACTTAAGGAAGGTGCCAATGGAAAAAGTAAAGGTTTCACAGGTAACACGGAAAAGAAGATAACTTGGAAGGGAATGGGATTTCCAAGGTTGAGGTCAAGGGAGAGAGAGCTTATCAATACCTTGAAGTATAAACATCGAGTGGCGAGGTATTAGCCAAAAAGTATCAGGAAATGTTGAACAAAAAAAGAAAAGAAAATTGGTACAGAGAAGAGACAAGATGTACATATAAAAAAAGAAAGGGAAAAAAAAAGTTGGCAAGCTCCCGGCACAGCCGCGATGAAGGGAGAAGAGGTGATTTAAAGGTACCTTGGAAGTACCAGATAACCTTGGAAGTTATAGTGGCAAATCAAGCAGTCATTCCCGCTATGACCGTTAACAGAAGATAAGAGTAAAGAAAATATTCATCAGAGAAAGAGATTAAAATCCGGTATTATAGCTTTTTGAGAGAAATCGGAAAGGATAAAATCATAAAATGATAAAATCAAAAAGTGGAACAAGATAAATAAAGACAAATTGTCCAAAGATAAAATTTACCTGGTGCATCTGCTTTGCATAGACTCCGCTTCGTCCCGTATACGTGGGGGATTGGTTTTTTTTTTTTTCGTTTTACTTTTTTTTACTTTTTTTACTTTTTCTATTCTGTTTTTCCTTTTATACATTTCTTTTTACTGGATTCTATTACTTCTGTACTTCTGTACTTCTATATTTCTACATTCCACTGTCAATTGTCTGATTGCAGTTGATACATCCATAAAATATACCCGTGGACATCCTAGATTGATATCTCACCATATCCTATTTCCTATGGTTTATCCAAATTCTCCGACATGTGGTCTATTCGCACGAGCACGACGATCCTACACAATTGCGAGTTCACTATAATGCACTGGTCGTTCCCCCTAGTGTCACAATTAGCGGACTACAGGCCTCCAGCCCACAGGCGCTAACAGGTCCATGTACACTAACTTTGTCAACCTGTCTGTGTTCCCAGTTTTTTTTGACCTGACGCATAGCATTTTGTATCACTCATCAGAACATCAAAACCGATCAAAAAATATATATATGTTATTCCCCGAATCATTCATCTACCTTTTCCGTTACCATTGACTGTGGTACTGGTCTTCCCTTATCAACTATCGGAGCCCCGTGTTCCAAAGATTGGTCGAGATTTATGGATCGACCCAGCCAAAACCGGTTTGTCCCAGATTCTCCTAGCCTGTGGCAGATAGAAAATCAACGGTTTTTTTTTTTTTTCGTTTCTTTTTTTTTGCCGCGCACAGGTAACTAGGGATACATTGCGCCATGCAAGTGCTAGAAGCGTAATATCCACTCATCCCTCCCCTTCGGCACACATCAACTACACCGTGTTCTAGCAATGCGAATCTAAAGTCATGGGGCTTAGTGCCAAGGGTTTGAAGTTACTCTGGTGTTGTGTTGTCCTACTCTCCGGTCGGACTACAATTGTAAAGGCTAGGCGGAAATAGCTAGAGAGATATAAGAAATAAAGAAATAGGGTGAACAGGAAGGAATCCGTCCCCGCCCCCCTATCTAGAATGGAAACTAAATCATACACTATTATCAAGACTTTCTGACACTTCCAAAAACCTTGGGTCTCGAATCAAGTTTGTCTACATGTAGAAATTGACCTCGGGAACCTGTTATCTGCGGTGGAACGACAGCGGGTTTCCTTTCCCGACACAGCTACACAGCCATGGTCCAACTACGTACGTATCAAAAGAACAAGTATTTCAACTGTCCTAGGCAGTTTATGTATGGAATCCCACTGTGACGTGCATAGTGCATTTGAAGATAGTCTCGTTGTAAGTGCACTTGTGCTGTACTCCGGAAATCTAGTGGATCTACGATAACATGCACTCCAGGGCTCCACCGAGGGTGCCGCCAAAAGCCGGTAGAAAATGGAGAATGGAGTCTGGAGATATGGAGATACGGGAAATATATGGGTCTGAGATCAGGTTCGGGTATTTTCAATCGGATTAGTGTAATAACTGAAGAAATCACGAATCGATCACGAAATATTTCCAGAGGAAATTCCAATGTCCGAATTCAGATCCGAAATCACGATATCGATATTAAAAGTCATGGTTATGTATAAATACGGGCTGTGGTAATTCCACGCCGATAGTCCATGATGTCAAGGTGCATTTGATAGTCCATCAATGCCTTGGTTTTCGTCGGCTTGGCGGGGGGTCTGGACCCCCGGTCGCTCGTGCAGCATACCATAGATATTTTTGTATTCATTCATTTAAATCTTGGAATCGTGTATATTCTCTTGACCATTCTTCCAATTTATTCAACATACGTAGTTGAAAGGTTGAAGTAGCTTGCTAAGCTTGGAAGTAAAGTCGCATTGATCCATAGAGTTGATATCTATGAAACTGTCGTAATGAGGTCAATGGTTTTTCGCGCGTTTCACCATCCCTTCAACCCCCACGACTCTCATCTCCATGTCTCACTGATTAACTGTCATACCAGTGATTATTCAAATGATATCTTTTTTTTATATATATATTATTTCCAAGCAAGCCTTCCCGACGTAGTATAGACACCCACGCCCGGACCACCAACCCCTTTGTTGTATTAGCGGCGCAGAGTTTTCCTTTTTTGCCACTCTCCTCATTGACTATCCCAACAAAACAGGTGGCTTTCACATGGCGTTATAACTAATGATCTCCTCGGAAATGCAATGAGATTGGTTAAACGCTGAAGCCCCATGTCACATGGTGGGTACTTATCCAGGGTCTCGACTCGCAACCGTTCGAGAGTCTCGAACTCTTCGATCTGCACAGGGCTATGTGGTTTGATCTCCAGGTTTTTAACCCCTCATTTTCAGGACGTCTGGAGGTCCCGCAAAGCTCTGCGTATCTACGGACTTGAATATGGGTAGTCCAGCCTACGGGTGGACCCGATACAGTTCTGATGGGATCCTCAAATTGCCAATATGAATGTCTCGGTGAGCGGCAGGGTCGCAACATTCCGAGCTGCAGGGCGATAACGTCTGTTTAGCCCCTTCTTGCCGAGACCCTGGAAACTTCCGTGCGCTTTTTCCTTTTTCCTTTCCTTTTTTCTTTTTTTTTTTTTTTTTCCTTTTCTTTCCTTTTTTTAAACTTTGATGTCGAAATCTGAGAACCCCTCCATCGGTTGTCCGGTTCACGGGAAACCCGAATTAGGGTATAACCTGCAACCCTTAAAAATAATAGAAAGTGTTATAGGGTCGAAGCGTCGAAGCGGTCAGATCAGAACCTATCAGCAGTATACAGTGTTCATATGTGAACCTTGAGATCACAGAGTTCAGCCTTAGGATCTTACTTTCTCACCGATTGAGAGCTTGGAAGCCCTTTGCTAATCTACTCACGAAATGATCGCCCAGATGCGATCTCATCTTTCAATTTGCAATTTACAATCTGACCCTTTATAATTTGACACATTTCCACCGGAGTGATGTGCTCCTTGAAATCCACCTTGTCTCGCTGGCGACAATTCCAAACTGCAACTCACCCCGAGGGCGTTAGCGTGGCTGAACCCATACTCCTGGGCCATCGACCGGGCTCTCCATCGGTTGTACGGTTCCGAGACTCATCTCGCGCAATTCAACCCGATACTGCTAAGAATAAGCTTCTCCTGCTTCACCTTGGTGATAAAACACAAAAACACGCGGCCGCTTTGGGCAGCGGCCTGTCCAGGCTGCAGTCGTTGCTTGCCAAGAGCCACCAAAAAGAAACGAAGCGTGAATAGCATGCATTAACGAAACTAAGGGCAGTGAAATTGGAGAGGGGCAGCGCATTTCCTAGAGAGCTCTAGCTACCCCGCATGGATACAGCTGGCGTCAGCTCTTGCCTTCATGGTGCATATCTTGCGAACTCGGAGTTGAGGCGGACCCCAGACATCGGGGCGATGCTGCCTTGCGTTCTGCCCCCAAGGTTTCTTACCCCGCGAGCTATACCCCAGGATTAGCCTTGGTTTGGCAATGAACAGGTCTGGGCCCGCCAATGAGATATAGCGGGTCGCTGTTGGTTGTAGAGATAGAATCTGTCCAGATACCCTCGCCGTTTAGGGCATACGCCAGATGGAGATGTGTATCTAACATTCCGATTTGACCTTAACACAACAATTGGAACGTTGTGATCAGCCAACTATTCCAATTCATCGCGTGTTGCACAGCGTAGGCGTTTCAACCCGTTTCAACGCTGGGCAATTCACATTTTATGGCACAAGATAGAGAACTCGACGGTGATTGGACAGCACCTACTGATAGCTCAAGAATAAGAAAATCGCACGCAAGCAGCGCATATGGGCAGACTATGCAATGTTGCACGTCACGCAAATCCTAGACGCGCCTCTTCTGCAATGCACTGCACTGAGCACCACCTGACCTTCTAACATCCCTGCCGACCACACGCGTTCCCAGGGGGCATCTGTATCCCGAACGTTGCATCTCGAAAAAAATTGTTGAGGAAGTGGCACCACCCTACACTTGGCATTAACCAACCACTAACAAGACGGGTAGGCGATCAGGGACAGCCGCTTTAGTCGATTGGGTATACATCGCCTAGGTGGTATACATGATGCGTTTCTAAATCGAGGGCCAGCACGGGCCTTTGAACGTTAGTTGTGCATATAATAGTAACACTATCGTAAAAGTATACTTAATGTATACTTCAGAAAGCCACCTTTTACCACCAAGAAACTAGTAGCCTCACTTGAAGTAAATATGTATATCCCTTGGGCCCACGCTTATGCATAGCATTGCGAGAAAGGGCGCCAAAGCAATGCCCCCACCAAGTTCGACCACCGGCCAGAACGGAGGCGCGGTAGTCAGTGCGCGCGATCCCGGAGCTATGACTCGACGGTGCGGTGATAGTGGGGCCTGGATAGCTTGATTAGCCTGCGCGGCCGTGCATAAGGCGCTACATTAGTGCGGCGAACTGACAATTGCTATGCATGACGGACGGGGTCAGTGCATGGTCGTTGTTCTAGGCTGTTTTATGTGGGTTTATCAGGGGTTTCATGTTGACTTTTACACTTTACGCTTGCAAGCCTCCATTGATAGTATAGTTTCTGTTTACTCTGGGGAAAATGATGTGCAACTTGCAGGTGCACCCCGAAGCCGCGGGGTTTTATCTCCACATTTGCTAGTTGCAGACACCGGGGTTGATTGTCAATTCATCTGACAAATTTGAGTTTAAGAGGTTAATGAACTCTCCCGCGGAAATCTTCAATTGATATTGCTCTCGGCTAAGTTGTCGTCATTTATGGCGAGTTACTCCACTATTGTACCTTGGAAGCTGGATGTATGCATCGATAGATAGATTCCCTAAAATCAAGCCACAAATAGGAAAAATGGCACTCGGCTATCTAGAACTGCCATAATACGCCCGAGCTAAGGGATTGGCTGGTTTTGGCCCGTTATCTTCCCACGCCTAGCGGGAGAGGCGTTTTCCGTTGTCATAGTTATAGAACGCCCATTTTTGATACGAGAATTGACACCCATCAAGCCCTGTAATTCGGGAGCTCGGCCCTCGTTATTCAGCTATCGAGATATACTGAATGTTCAAATGTTTAGATGACAGAGATAAGGATGCGGGGCAGGAGAATCCTTGAGCTCGTCCCTCACCTGTGGGGTTGAGAGTCTGGGGTTAGTAATAACGATCGCTGCTATGATGATCATTTACCCCTTGTTTGCTATCAAAGATTATGTATGGAAATCTTGTACCCCAATTATTTCCATCCCTCTCAAAAGATAACAGAAATCCCAAAGATAAAAATAACCATTCTAACCTATCTGTCAACCTCATTAAGTAGTCCTTTCTGGATTATTCAATTCCTATATTTACCTGGGTAGGATAGAGGCGTAAGCCCACCATTCCATTCTCCAAACTAAACTGAAAACTTAGTACTTTAGTATATTGCAAGCTCCTGAACACAGAGGTACAAAGTAAACAATGTTCTCGGATTCATCGGATATCCGTATCTGCGAAGGTGAGTACTTTGGCTTGTTGCCCTGCGCCCCTCAATTGCGGGGTGCAGCTGCCACCTCACACTGTCCGAGCGAAATTATCACCACATCTGATAGTCTTCCGAGGTGTGTCTTGTGCCTTCCCAGGCAGCAAACGGCTGACAATGCACATAGTATCATAAGACAAGGACAGCAAATCAAGCCCCTCAACTGATAACAGTAGCTGATGAATAGATCTCCTGCTGTTCCTGTCATCCAAGGCCTCCAAAGCTATACTATTCCATATACTCAAGCCATAGCGGAAGCAAGTGACCAGGTCCTACATGCTGAGCTCCTTCGACACAGACCTTCCCCACATTTCGACTGTCATGCTCACGCAGATGATCAGAGCATGCATCTCGCACCGGGAGATCCGTAAGGAAAGACAGCATCAGCGCCTATTTCCCACGCGACGGCGTATGTACACCGAAACACAAGAGATACAGAGAAACACAAAGTTCCGCCCTTCACTCACATGACGCCCATAATGGCAGATTGTTTAGCTCCGACGTTCCGGCCTCACAACATGGTGCTCAGACTCCGAGGAAATGGCATTTCAAAGTCAATTCTTCGCTTTCTCGCAGCCACCCCCTCACCGCTACCCGTGATAGCCAGATCAACCCATAGAAAGGATGGCAACTGCCCGCTACGTCCGCCGCATGAGAGGCGAGGTCTGAAAAGACTTTTCTCTTTCTCCGCCTCTTTTTTTTTTCTTTTGGGATCATCATCCCTGCACTATCCCACCTTAGGTGGCGGGCAAGGACTATACTAAAACTCGACTGAAACTCTTTCTTCTCGGCCGGCCTGGTCTGCTAAGGGACCGGTGCTCGGATTTTTATTGCGTTGTCACTGGAAAGTACCTCTATCTCTGCCCATGGACCGTGCGTGCTGTGCTTCCATGGCGTTGAGGGACGTGTCCTGCATCTTTGCCGCCACTGCGTTGGCGAATAGGTGGGCTTTTCGAGAAGATGGTGAAAAATAAGACAGATCCGTATAGCCCGGTTTAGAACATGCTTGTGGATTTGAAATCATCGGTATCCGGTGATTTGAATATTATTCCGTTGATCGCTTAGTCTTTTGTATGCTGGAGGAAAATAGCTGGAGATTTATTCTGGTTGGGCTTCTTTGACACAATGCCTTTGTTCGACATACCCTGCCGTAAGGACTTTCTTTTATGTGAGATCTCGCGGCCGAGTGATCATACTTTGGAACTTGGTGTCACTAGATACCGAGAAATCTCAGCGTACTTGCTGGTGATCAATTTCTTATGGCTGTTATGCAGCAAGGTGATGTGCTTACTGATATTCCTTCGATCTGGTAACTCCACTTAGGCTATGACATATTATTTCAACTTGAAATTCAAACTGGGAATATTCAAAGAAATTGCATGGGATATGTTTAGATATATGTATTCCGTTGACACCTCAGCTGAGCCCATTTTCCGCCTAAGGCCCGCATCCTTCCAAAGAAGATCCGATGATGGAAACCATCTACCGTCTTCCATCTTCATCCTCTCACCTTGCTATGTTCAACTCTTTTCATCAAGTTCCATCAGGGGTGCAGAAATCTACTCGGTGTCGAAAACCACTCTGTAACAGTGATACGAGACAGAATTCTCTTCAAGCAGTCCAGATTCAAAGCCCGGAAGAGGCGAAGTTGAAGTTGAAGTTGAAGTGTTGAAAGTGGAAGTGAAGAAGGTGAAGCCCAGTAAGCGGGAGATCACCCCCATTGGTGGAGCCACCTTCTCCCACCTTAACGATCCGTGGTCTTCAACCTCTCTGTTTACTTGCGGGAACTTCTCCAAAACCTGCTCATGTCTCAAGTTCAAAGTTCCGGATTGGCGGACCTTGAGAAAGAGCTGATATGCTCGGTATGTGCTTCTCCATTCCGCCCCTTACGTTGCTAACCCCCCTCTTTTGCCCCAGATTTGTACCGAGCTCCTCTACCAGCCCCTCACTCTCCTCGACTGCCTCCACACTTTCTGCGGATCCTGCGTGAAAGAATGGTTCTCCGCACAAGGGGCACGTTGCTCCCGCGCCTCGGCTCGATTTACCTGCCCATCCTGTCGCGCGGAAGTGCGCGACACCCGCCCAAATGCCACCGTGACGACCCTGCTGGACATGGTCCTGACTGCCCACCCAGATCGTGCCAGACCGACAGATGAAAAGGCGGAAATTGCCACTAGGTACACACATGGGGAGTCGGTGTTCCCAGCGCTTCCTTCGGGCGGGGAAAGCGCGGAGGAGGATGGTGAGGACGATAGACACATTCTAGAGGAGGTACGCGAGCTGAGTCTACGCGAAAGCCGAGCACAAGCTAGACGCGAGACCCGACGGACGGGCCAATCTTCGCGGACGCGCGAAAGGAGCACCAATACTGAGAGACTTGCGGAGGACGGTCGGTCAAGGCGTCGGAGGGATGACGATGCAACGCGGCAGCACCGTACATTACGGCCCGATAATTCGGACCGCACGCGGCGGGTCGAGCATCAATCTAGTCTGCGGTCATTACTGAGCTTGTCATCTGATGCGGAGACTATGGAGGAGGAGATCTTGCGGCAAATTCTCGAGGACGGATTACTGGATAATATCAATCTTGATAATCTTGGGCCAAGGCAAGAAGAGGAACTCAGTGAACGCATCGCGGATGCCTACCGTCGGAGGCATATGCAAAGATCACAATCTCGTCAGCGACAAGAACAGGGACGAGAACAGCGGCAAGAGGCTGACGGAGCTACGCGAACACATGCGAGGTCCGAGTCCGCCCACAGGACTGCCGACCCAACGGCGGCTACCCGGGAACACAATGTCAGACGACCGCCGGTTTCCAGACCGCATCTGTTCGATTCGGCTCCTACGCGGCCGAGTACCGCGGGTCACCAAAGGCGCAGCTCGGAACAAGCAGGTGGGCGCCGAAGAACCTCACCCGTTCGAACAAATCAAGCATCCGCATCAGATGAGGCCATAAGGCCTGCTGCCCGATCCTCGAGTGATATAACTGCGGATCGCCACGTCTCTCAGGCTGGGCGATTACGGTCAGAATCAGCATCAGCCAGACCGCGACGTGCTACAGAGTCAGAACGGAATATCTCTAGCGTGTGGGTGGCCGGAGGACGAGAACGAAGTTCTTCTAGACAGGCCACGAGTCAATCAGCCACGAGTCAATCAGCCACGAACTCTCCCACTTCTGACGCTGCGCCCTCAAATTCCTCCCGCCATTTGCCTCACACAGACCACACCCTTCCATCGTTATCTTCGCCGCTTGTTCCAATCCGGTCAGACAGACGAACAAGACCATCTTCGTCCCGGTCCAATGTTCCAGCATCTCCCACTGTACAATTCCTCGAGCCGTCCATCTCCTGTGATCGTTGCGGAAAGGACAACATCCAATATAATCTACACAAGAAATGCACAAGTTGTAAGGAAGGAAACTTCCACCTGTGTCTACGATGCTACCGCTCGGGACGTGGCTGTCACCGATGGGGCGGATTTGGTGCATCCGCACATACGACCTTTCAACGAATCGTATCGTCCTCTACTCGACGTCCTGTGCAGATCAGTGACCCTGGTCATGTCTTAATGTGGTTTGAATACCAGCGGCCCTCCGAGACTGCCCATCGAATGATGAGCGGGGAAAGACAAATGACCAGTGACAACCCAGTCCGCCGGCTACACAGCGGTCTCTTCTGTGATGCGTGCCAATCGTCGGCCAACGATTGTTTTTGGAAATGCAACCAGTGCAACGAAGGAGACTGGGGTTTCTGTAACTCCTGCGTCAACCAAGGACGATGCTGCACCCACTCCCTGTTACCCATCCGGCGCATTACCCATAGTCCACCTCCATCAGCATCATCCACCACGCCGCCGCCGGCCGAAGCAAATAACCTCCTTCCCACGCCGTCCGAGATCGAGAGCTTCAAAATTCTCTCGTTCTCAACAAACTGCGATATCTGCACCTACCCAATCCCAGCCTCAAATACCCGCTACCACTGCCTGGAATGCAACAGCGGTGACTACGACGTCTGTACTAACTGCTACCTCAAACTCGTGGCAACGGGCAAAATCAACAGAGAAAACGGACACAATGGCTGGCGCCGCTGCCTCGCCGGCCATCGCATGATAGTAGTCGGCTTTGAAGACCACGAAGAAGGCCAGCGCCGCGTCATTGTCCGCGATCTTGTGGGTGGTCGCGCCCTGAAAGACGAGCACGTAACACAATCACAATCACAATCACAAACTTCCTCTCCCGCAACCGGCGGCCCCGTTGCATCTCCGGAGCTAGGAACCGGTGACTGGAGCTGGAAGGACGGCCCCGAGCGCCGTAAGAAAGCATCCCGTCTACGCGCCGGGCCAGCCCTTACGAACAGTACCACCGGAAGTACAGTTTCTGTTCCTGATCCCTCAAATCCATCTCTTTCCAGTCCCACCGCAACTCCAATTATCCCACCTTTCCGCCGGTTCCCGCCTGATGGTGGTGTTGGGCTCGTCGTCCACGCTCTGTGGTCCTGGTACCCAGAAGAAGAAGTTGAAGACGAGCTTGTTTTCCCGCGTGGTGCGCATATTACCGAATCGGAGAATATTAACGACGATTGGTTTTGGGGATGCTATGCTGGCCGAACGGGACTGTTTCCCGGTTCCCATGTTGAATTTGTCAGGGAGGTCCATAGGTAAAGATGCATTGCCATTTTCACCTTTTGAATCTCGCACGCATATATGATACGCATGACACGCATCGCATACCCGGTCTGTTTTTCCCCCCTTCTTTTTTGCATCCGTTCATGCATGATTACGATGATTACGATGATCAGAGTTATGAATTTGAATGCTCCATGAGAATTTCCTCGCATTACATACATATCTTGTTAGACTCAATGAGCCATGGACTATATCTATTGTCCATGGTATATCCTCGAACGAAAATAAAACCTCTCATGTATCCCTGCGAGTAGGACTATTTACGTACATACCGAAGACATAAACCCAGTATCACACCAACTATACCCCCAATCACTATCCCTATACAGACATGCACGGCGTAATACTTCACCACGCGTGCCTTGGAACCATACCTCCACTCATCCCTGTAGCTTTTGTTGGTTTTGAGGATTCGCTTTTGGGGAGGTTCAGGCTGTTCCTCAATATCAAAATCGGCCTTGTTCGAGGGAGACTTGTGGGTGTGAGTCTCGGGGGTTGTAGGCTCCATCTTGTGTGGTATAGTCACGCTCGACCGGTCGCTGAATATGCTCTATGCATAAGTGGCTTGTTAACGCCTGCGGGTTCAACAATTATGGGAATATCGGGGGCCCACACTCACCTATACTTGGTTTTTGTTTTCCTCCCCTTTATCTTGGATGATGCCAGATTCGAGATTTTTGTCGTCTTGGTAAATTTCTGACAAAATCCTTCTCATAAAATGTAGGTTGAAGGGAGAAGGGTGAACGCAACGAATAATAGGAAAGCTAGGTGATACACGTTATCTTATAAACAAAGGATCAACAGCGGCGACTGAGTTAATGAATTGCCCGATCGCTAAACTATGTATCACTAAAATGTTAGATTGATATCCTGGGCTTGGCGGTCTCTGTATTAGCCTGGGTTGGGATCTACTTTGGCGTCAGCATAGCCATCCTCGACTCCGGATGATGCTAACCATCCGCAATATTGGAGACTACAACACCAACGCTCACATATCGACAACCCAAGCTAGATGTATATATTTACAAGTAAGTTGTCAATACTTATGGACTTGAGAAACCAATGACGTATTCAGATTCTTTTTTCGTGACGATCTTTGGGGCCATAGGGGTTGCGGGTAGACCTCTGCATAGCCCATCAATGGCCCCCGGCCCAACCCACAGCCCATTTCTGTGCAAATATAGTCTTGGCATACATAAAGTAGATGATTAATAACTGTATTTTACGCAGGTACCAACCTATATCTTCAGTATTATTACATTATAGTGAGAAGTAGGAATTAAATGGATTTTATACTGATTTTAGCATTATGATGCTAGATTTCATACAAAATTTCATATAAAATAAACCCCAAAAAGATCTAATTTGACCATAAATTCGCACCTAGAAGGAATTACTAAGTATTAGTATGAAGAGATATATAACTATTATCTATAGAGGATTAATAGTTACTACTTTCTATAGTCAATTATAGTAATACTTATAGTACCTCTACTTACTATATATATAAACCCCTAATAAAAAATAAGTACCTCTAATAAAAAAGTAAAGCTTTATAAAAATCAATTTTAATTCTTATTTATATCTTCCAACCTACCTTTCTCTCTCTTAATATCTACTTCTTCTCTCCTTTATACTTCGTCTATCCTTCGCCTTTGCCGCCTTTACTACCGTTGCCGCTACCGCGATAATAATGATAATAATAATAATACTACTGCTATAATACAATTACCGAGAACTTATACTTAACTACGTACATTAGGGAGGAAGAGGATACGAATTAAGGATAATATATATAAGTTTTCTTAGTATATAGTATATAAATATGCTTTTCGGCCTCCTAGTATCTGTTACTTAATATCATAACTATAAATAACGTATTTCACTACCGAGCTGGCCACCCTAAAACACCATAGTAAATGCGATATATTCTACACTTGTATCTCAACAACCATATATTAATTTTATTTCCTTTGTTTATTGATAGCTATTGATAAGGCTTATTAGTACTCTATATCAATTTCAAAGAAATTAGGATGCCATATTATCATTATTTCAAAAATTACTGATAATTACGTTACTAAAAGCTAGAAATATATATATTTCAATCAATAAGTTATAGAAACTCTTGAAACTCTATAAAGTCGCTAGATATTACTTAAATAGTATCAACCTAGAAGTAAAAGCCCCTATAGACTACCGTTGTTGGGATATTCAAGTTGTAATTTATCGAATTTACTATGGTGTTTGGGGTGGCCAGCTCGGTGGTGGCCAGCTCAGTAGTGAAATACGTTAAAATCAAATCAATCAGTCCTATCGGTTAATTTATAAGTGATTCATATATAGCTTTATGTACGGCTTGAACGGTAATTTCAATACCCCCAAAGAACAGGAAAAAAAATGCATTAATTATACAGCTGCGATAAATTGGCATGTTTGTATTGTTTGGTTAATAATGAGGGAGGATTATAGGCCCCAATGGGCCCTATGGGCTCGGTGGATGGGCCCATAGCCCAACCTATTAGTGGGTTGGGTTGGGTTGGGGCCATGCAGAGGTCTACAACATAGTTGGGGGCCGGGGGCCGTAACAAAATTACATTGGTTAACTTGCTCCTCGGGTTCAGGGGGTTCCACTCAGTGATCACAGCTAGTGCATCTTCCTCTTCCTCCTCTTCTTCTTTTCCTCCTAGCAATTATCAGTCAGCTACAATACAGTCATATTGCCTGCTCCCTCTTCTCCTAGTTTCTCATCCAAATATAACAAACAAGAATATATCGCTACTTGGGTACCCTGTTCAGTGCTAAGGCTGACCGGGTCAACCAAATCGGTTAGTCCCCGGATCCCAGACTTGCTCAGACCCCCGCGACATTCCACCTTTCAATTCTCTCCCGTGTGGATGGGAGCCCAGACTCACAACCAATACATCGAGATATCGTTGTGCGACCCGGAGCTGCAGTCGACTCTTCGAAGTGAATCCTCCTTGTTTGCCAACACCTGCACATCTCAGCTCTGTATCTTTGTCACCGGCACCTTCTTGGTGACACGAACTTATCCATCACTCGGCTGACAATCTGCCCTCTACTGAAGATCAGTCGGCCCAAAGAGAACATAACGGGATGATTATGGGCTGGCTAAGGCATATATTTGGAAAATTTCCAACCATGTCAGAAAATCGAAAGCAGAAGAAGGCGACAAAACGCCGGAATAGAGAATACAGTCGACGAGTTCGAGAACGGGAAAAGGAATTAAGACGTCGACCTGGAGAAAAGGCGCCTTTTTTCCTTGGCTCACCTTTCAAAACATACGAAGTGAATTATCGTGGACCTGCGGCGGGTGCATGATGGTTTTGATGTTTCAGGACTACAGCAATAGTGTTGTTAAAACACTATTTCAAATTTACTGTCTTGTCTATTTGTTTCCCTTTATTTGCATGTATTCCTTCAACCATCGAGAAGAAAGCCCTTTGGACTCAAATGTCTCGCTATATAACTACACACCTCATGGTATTCTTTTGGGCAGTTATATCGCTAAATAATAAGCTAGTATAAGTTGTGCTAAATTCGGTCTGACTGGGCGACGCATCACCACCGTGAGTGACCTGGTGTTATTTTTGTGAAGAAGTCGGATGCCAGCTTGTTCAGCCCCCGGTTGAGTTCGGACGTCTATAAATATGTCCATAAATCGAAATCATTTCTTAAACTCTTCTCTTTCACTTGGCTACCTAATAGTCCTCACTGTCCCTTGAGACACAAAATATGGCTTTGAGCTTGTGGTTGAGGTATCGTATAGCGGGTTGGCCATCTGAGTGAAGCCAGGAACGACATCACCAGATAGGCCCTGGAGGAGGGCCTTCTACGCGTGCGTACGCAAGCCTACAAGTCCCTCGGTGAAAGCGCCGCCTTCCTCAACGTGCAATACAATATGGCCTGGTACGGCGAATACGCAGAAAACAGCGACAAACCAGCGGAACCCCATTACCTCTAACACCTACACTCGCCAAAAATGCGCATGACGGCGGTAACGCCGACAACCCACCAGCGCTGGCGATAGCCCCGGTCAAAGAAGACACAAACACAAGCTCGGGTAAATGATGGAGTAGCTAGCGTCAGGTACAGAATGGATCATCTTCATCTTCCCCTAGCTTGAGTGCTTACAACTGGTAGCACCAGGGGTATTATTGCCCGGCAATTATTATTACAAAGGAAGCTTATATAGTCGCTAACGACATCTATTTCCGCTTCAAGGCCAGCTTTTATCTTTTTCGAGCCATCTATCTGCTCAGGCGCTAGCTCGTAGTGCAATAAATTGCACATGACACTCTATATCACGACAACAACGCAGGTATTGAGTGTTATTTTATGGCACAGGTATGATTAAATTTAGGGGAAATAGTATGAGAGTGGCTTGACTGGACACGGGTTTTGGTGCCAGACAACCAAGCGATTCTGAATTCATAGAATAAATATGAGGTTGGGGTAGTATGGATTCTCCTTTGGGATGAGAAGTACACTGTTTCGACTCTCTGTTTTGTCCATTTCCTTCCCCTAATTGGTCTTTCTTTCGACATATACAACCGCCGTAGGCCAAATTACACTGGTGAAAGTTTTAGTCGCTGAACTAGATATTCATGAGACGGATATACACCCCATCATACATGTAGACAGTCCCCTTTCATATCTTGATGGATGTAGGTGGTCATTATATAAAATTATATAATATTAATAGTACGGCTAGGCCCTCTAAGCCTGATACGCGTCACTCCACATCGGCATACATAGATTAACATAATCCACGGCCGAGCGGCGAACATGGCCGAGAGGCGGATTGTCCCGCGCTATGCCTACCTACTACCTTGAAGCTTTTCGACGAGAGAAATAGTAGCAATATTAACATGTCATGCCTTTTTGCCTTGTGAAGATTTCGCTCAGGGTACGTGGGGAGACGTGGGCGGCCCGCTTATGTGGCTGGCTCGGCTCTGAGGTTTACGCCCCATGAGATAGGGCTGAGTGTAGGCTAGGCCGGGGAGAATAACCATACTATTGACATACTTCACAGTTTGGTGTATATCAACCATTGACCTTGGGAGGTATATGATCATTTGTTTAGCTAGGCCTACTACCTTCATTTATGCCAAGTCTTCGACTAAATTTCGGCCATTAAAACCCCACTACACACGGCCGAATTCAACTTTGCCATAGAGACTCGTCAGAGTCAATAAAATATTCGTTATTCTCCTCCTGCTACGCATGCAAAGAACCACCTGGGTCAGTCTGGTATTATTCTGTCATGTCAGATCCCAAGTCTTCCAGTGCGGAGGTCAATGCAGTTCCCACGCCATGCCCCGAAGGACAAAATAAGGAATTGTTGCCTCCTTCTATCGGCGACATCAAGTTGCCCGGTGCAGCTCGCATGAAAGCCCTTTACTCTTCCCTTACAATCGTGGAACGGACTGCTATCTTCTTTAGCATCTTCTTTATTGGTTTTGCTTATGGCCTCGACAACATACTACGGGGCACATACGAACCATATGCCACTTCCTCCTTCGGCGAGCATTCACTCCTATCTACTATCAACGTTATCCTCTCCGTTGTTGCCGCTGCTTCCCAACCAACTGCAGCCAAGATCGCCGATATCTTTGGTCGAGTCGAGCTAGTTGTCTTTTCCGTCTTTCTCTACGTACTCGGTACTGTTGTGGAGGCTGTCGCGAAGAACGTCTCCACCTACGCTGGTGGTAGCGTCATTTTCCAGGTCGGTCAGAGCATGATTAAGGCTCTTAACTCAATCATCATTTCTGATATCACTTCGACCCGCTCGCGCCTTTTCTTCAGCTATACTCCCATCGCGCCGGCTCTTATCACCACCTGGGTTAGCGGCAATATCGCCAATGGCGTCCTTTCAGTTACCGACTGGCATTGGGGTATTGGGATGTGGTGCATCATTTATCCTGTTGCTGCATCCCCTCTCATCATTAGCCTCTGGACTGTCACCCGGCGGCTTAAAAAGCAGGGTACCGTGGAGAAATCTAGCACCCTCCTCCAGGCTCTCGGCCCAAGAAGGTTTATAGCCGAAATTTTTTGGATGCTCGATATCATCGGCATCATCCTTCTCGTTGCTATCTTGGCCCTTCTTCTTGCGCCACTAACCATTGCCGGGGGCAACCAGTCCAAATGGAAGAGCGCCCATATTATTGCACCTCTCGTTGTTAGCGCTTTTTGTGTTCCGGTCTTTATCTACTGGGAACTCAGAGCTCCTCGTCCCTTGATTCCCATGACTCTTATGAAAGATCGAGCCGTCTGAGCTCCGTTGGGGATTGCCATATCCCGGAACATTGGGTACCATCTGCAGGCCAATTACCTTTACACGATCCTTGTCGTAGGTTTCAACTTTGATGTCACCGCCGCGACCCGTATCTCCTCTCTGTTTTCCTTCGTTCAGGTTGTAGTCGGGCCCCTCCTCGGCTTGGTCGTCTTCCGGGTCCGGCGGCTCAAGATGTTTATCATCAGTGGGACCATGATTTACACGGTCGGCTTCGGCCTCTTGATCCGATACCGCGGGTCCCTTACTGGCAACAGCAAGGTCGGCGTCATTGCAGGCCAAGTGCTCCTAGGCTTCGGCAGTGCACTATTCTCATGGCCAGCTCAGGCGTCCATGCAAGCTCACATCAAGCATGAACACCTCGCCGTTATGACAGGCACGTTCCTGGCTTCATATAATGTGGGCTCTGCTATTGGAAACACAATCTCGGGAGCGATATGGACCCAGCTTCTACCATCCTCGCTCTATGGAGAACTTGCCGGTATTAACTCCACCCTGGCCACCTCCGCATACAAGGATCCGTTTACGGCGATCGCCGAATGGCCCATGGGCACCCCTGAACGCACGGCGATTGTTCGCTCCTACCAGTACATCCAGCAACTCATCACCATCACTGGTATTTGTCTCTGCGTGCCGATTATGGCGTTTGCTTTTGCCGTGCGCGACCCCAAACTTAACGACGAGCAAACTCTAGCTAGTGATGATGATGAAATGTCCTACCAAAGGGGGTTGTCACGGCCTGTGCAGCAGCCTGAGCCACTGAGCCAATCAAGTTGCCAACAGCCGTACAATAGCTCCAATTCACCCACCTCTTGATATCACGGCATTCCTCTGGTCTACGACCGAGAAACACTTCAGCCCTTCTCAGAGTCTCTGCGCAAACCACTGAGCAATGGACTTGGAAGATCTACTGCCACGCATTATCTTGCGTATGTACTTTTGGTAAGGTACTCCCATCAAGAAATCCGTCTAGGTTTTGATCATTCGCAGTCATTGCTCATCCCATTCCAATTCCTTCTTGACCACCGGCCACATTAGGAAATGATGTAGTGAGAAGCTCGGAGAAGTCTGCATAAATTGATGTCCATTGCCCACAGAGTTCGGAAAGTCGCGGGTCCCAAAAGAAAGCAAACGCGGGAAACTGGATGTCCATGAATGTAATGAGACAAGACATAGGAAATCCTGCATCAGGATCGGTATTGCTTATTTGTATATACTTGATACGAATCCACTTTCTACGCCATTTCTTCTTTCACCTTGGGGATGATGTTATTTCTCCATAATGGGATATTAAAATTTTGGAATTATAATTTTGAATTAATTTACTATTCACGGCTCCCATTCATAATCTCCTGTGGCCACAGAAGCCAATCTTGATATTTCGGATCTAACACAGAGTATAGTTGTGTCATAAGACGCGAGCTTAGACCTTCCATCCACCACATCCACTCGATCTGACGAATAGATGTGCACCAATGAGCAAAGATAATGAGTGCAATCGGTGCTTCCTGGCACAAAAGGTTTAAATATTCATCTGAGATATCAAGCAGCCACCGGAAGACATCTGCGGTCGCGAGTCTCCGCATGATGCCAGGCCTTATAGCTAGACCCAATGTTCGGGCTAGTTCATCTAGAGCCTCTTGGTAGATGGCCCGAAGTGACGAATCAGCTGCGCACTCCTTCCATATCATTTGCTGCAACTCCCAAACATACGGCTTGCCTTGCTCAAGGGCCTCTGGCGCGCGATGGGCAGCAGCTAGATAAGTTCCATTCGTGAAGATCGGTGCCAGTTTCCCGGTACGAAGATCCTCACCTCCGGTACTGATAATAGTTTTTGTCCCACGGAAAAGACGGGCCCACTCTGATAAGTTGCCTCGTTCAAAGAGGACCAGGAAATCACCTTCTCCTGAGGGCTTGGCGCAGGAGAACATGCACGTTAAAGAGGAGAAAATGAAAAGTGCTGCGCCATTTTCTTGCGCGATAGTTGAGACGAGCGGGACCATCTCTCTCACGGCGGTGTTATGGTGCATCTGTGCGTAAGCAAGGCAGCTTGCTCGTCGAGATTCATCGGACCGAGCTAGATGTAGCGCAGAAAATGCTAGCAAGGTGTGTAAGACTGGCGGTGTGGAAAAGCCAATGCGGGGTGCTTCCTGGCACCAGATGGTCTGCACAGCGGGGCTTCGCGATATAGTGTAGCAGGTTGACGTTGTCCAGTGGTGCAACAATTCCAGGTCAAAGACAGCCAACGTGGAAGGAAATGGTCCTAATGAGGACAGACTTGGCAAGGCTTGTGGAATTTGTGCCGGGGCACGAAATGTTCCAGATCCAGTGCTTTCGGGGCCTGATAATGACACAGGTGACTCTGCTAAATCCGTCTGTGGTGTGGGGAGCACGTTTGAGGGACTGGCAAAGGAACAAACCACCCCATGCTTCTCACAATTCCGGCAATGTGGCTGGCTTTCATCACACTGATACAGAATTATAAGCTATTGCTTCACAGAACCTTTGATGTATCTTCTCACCTTGACTTTGCGCTTTTTGCATTGTAAGCATCCAGATCGCGATTTCCGGTGCGAACGGCGGCCTGGAGGGAATGTGGCCATGTCAATTGCTAGCTGGTACAGTAAATTTATGGTAGACCCCGAGAGGAATGTATTATAAATTACACCATTAAGAGGGAAATCTTGGGGCCTAAGCGGATTTTGCGGAGGCGCAGTGGCATCTCGGATGCCAAGTGGTTGTGCGCTAGCCGAATACGGCTAGCGTTATCAGTTTCGGTGGGGGGAGAAGCAGTAGGTGTTCTTAGTCTGAACCTCACGATCTTTAGAAATAAGAAAGAGGTATGATCTACTCCGTAGGCTATATATGGCCTAGAACAAATCAATATAGCTTTCAGTAGTCATATATAGAACGAGATATAGGCATGTGCTCAACCATGAAGTACAACAATGTCCAGCAACCCAAGGCCACCGAAAGAACAAAATAAGCATTCCACAAAAAAAACTAACACAGTACTCTTTTTTCTTAGCATAGTTTTATGAGTTTTCAAATGATTCTTAGTGAAGGACAAAGTTTCAAATCTTTAGTATACCTTGTCTATATATATTTTATCAGATCATGATGATAAGCTATTTCTCTAGAATGAACTCATTTCTCAAGTTCCGAATTTTTGGGTCAATCAAGTCTTGAACATCTAGATTGTGGCAATATAAATAACCATGCTGTTCCAAGGTAGACAGGTTGTTGCCGGCAACTTCCTTTGACTTTTTATATTCAGGACCTGCGGCTGGACCGAGCGGCTGAAGCTCCGTCCCATTACGTAGCCCGCATGTCTGGTATGCGTTGCACCTTGCATATATGTACCATGCTTTGTGCTATAAGCGCCTCAATAAGATGAACCGCCATCCATAAGATGGAGGCCAAACACGGCTCTCCACTTGACCTGCATGTATGACATCGGATGCACTGCACGGTACCCCCCCTTGAACTCTGAAGACTGACCGCTCTTCCTTAGCCAGTCTCTTTAAATGATTGATGGCCATCTTTCTTTGTAGTGTCAATCCCAATACTAGCGAATATCTGGCAAGATCTTCCCATAGTGAGCACTTGGCACCTTTCCATATTCCCATGGGTAGCATTAGCGCATACTGATCAACTCATGAAATAGATGCCACAAGGAACTGGAACCCTGACAAGTGACAAAGGACGAGTCCTTGGTCAATTTGAAGTTGAAGGCTCTCAATATATTTTTGTCGGCAACTTGACTGGCTTCGGGCAGTCTTTCTCCATTCCCAATGCCGACGTCACCTATGACTCAGCCGACCAGTTACACAAAGAATCTGAAGAATTCGAAAAGTTACCCATAGAAAAGGACCAGATTGAACTCAAGCTCAAGAACGGGGTTGTTATCACGGGTGGTTTTGATATGCCCTTCAGCGATGGCGAGGTGAAGCAAGGGACCGTTGTTGGCGGTGGAGGGAAATGGTTGAAGTTGTAATTGCGATGAGTCATGGCTTTTTGAATATCCACCTGGGTACGGGTGTGTGTGAGATGATTTTGGAATTGAAACCAATCAAGGGGTTAATCGAAGTGAAGTTGGCGATGTCCGGTGTAGATAGGAACGAAGCCTATCGAACCTTGCAAGAAGGCAACAACAATTTTTCTTTAATTAGAACATAGAACCATGAACACGAAAGCATGAATACGAAAGTATGAAGTCCACTTGTAGACATTGGCAGACGTCAACAATTCTAGAAACTCGCAAGGCTGTGAACGCCCCCACCTGACTGCGCCACACTCTCAGCCGAGCAGCCGGGGACATATAAACAGCCCCTCAGCCCTCAGCCCGGACCTTTCTTACTTGCATACATACAAGTCACAGTCTCCATAACATGTCTTATCAACATAACCGTGAGTGGCGTTTCAACTACATTTCGAGGCTTGGCATGAGCTAACCCAGTCAATAGAACCTCCGTACGGAGGATACGCACCCCAACAATACGGGCAGCAAGGCCCTCCTTCAGGGCCTCCGCCCCAGGGCTATCAGCAGCCCTACGGCGCCCCTCCCCCGCAGGGTCCATACCCCCCTCAGCAAGGCCATTACCCCCCGCCTCAACAGGGCCATTATCCTCCACCCCAGCAAGGCCACTACGGTGCCCCTCCTCCGCAGGGAGGTCAGTACGGCGCGCCATCTCCTCAACCCCACGGATACCATGCTCCGCCCGGGCAACCTCCATATGGCCAGCAGCAGCATGGCTATGCTCCTCCCAGCCAACCGCCCGCAGGATACCCGCCTCACGGCCAACCACCCGTTGGATACGGCGCACCACAAGCCGGCGGCTTCCCACCCCAGGGTATTCCGTCACAACCTTCTCCCGGTTACATCCCTGGTCAAGTAGCACCAGGCGACTATCGGCCCCAAGCAGATGCGCTTCGCAAAGCAATGAAGGGCTTCGGCACAGACGAGAAGGCCCTGATTGCAGTCCTGTCGCAACTCGACCCCCTCCAGATGGCCGCTGTCCGTGACACATATTCTAAGCACCTCGGCCGTGATCTGTTCAAGGATGTCAAGTCCGAGACCGGCGGGTACTTCTGTGATGGCCTACTTGCCGTGCTGGACGGACCGCTTATGCATGATGTCGAGAGCTTGCACTCGGCAATCGATGGCGCTGGCACGAAGGAGTGGCTACTCAACGAGATCCTCCTCGGCCGCTCCAATGCCGATATGAATGCTATCCGAACCGCCTACGAAATGAGATATAGGCGTTCGCTTTCTAAAGATGTCGAAGGCGATCTCTCCTTTAAGACGTCCACTCTGTTCGCCATTGTCCTTCGCGCTGCTCGCACTGAAGAGTCTGTCCCTATCAACCCGCAAACCATCGAGACGGATGTTCGCTCCCTGCAAGGGAAGAACGTCACAGAGGTGTGCTCAATCTTCGCCAAGGCGTCCAATGCCGAGCTCCGCGCTATCAGCCAGACTTTCCAGTCACGCTATCATACCCCACTCGAGAAGCATATCGAGAAGGAATTCTCAGGCCATATGGAAGATGCGCTGCTCCTGATGCTCCGCTCGGCTACAGATCCTGCTATGCGTGATGCTATCCTACTCGAGGAATCCATGAGCGGCATGGGCACCAAGGATGAGCGCCTTGTTGTTCGTGTTGTCCGAGCCCACTGGAACCGCAACCACAAGGAGATGGTTAAGCGCGCTTACCAGCACAAGTACGGGAAGAACTTGATTGATCGCGTGCGCGGCGAGACGTCTAGTGATTACCAGCGTTTGATGGTTTCCCTTCTTGAGTAAGGGCTTTTTTTTCTTTTCTTTTTCTTTTCTTTTTCTTTTCTTTTTCTATTCCTGTACAAATTATGACCTCCATGATTGGTTACATTTACTTTGAGATACCATGATCTGAAATGAGGAATGCGAGTTACGCAAGACAGATAGTGTTGAGTACTATTTTATAGTAAGAGAAGGCAAATGATTATGTTCTGCTTTGATCACCTTCGGGGCCCTTGTATTTGCTGTATATTACATGAACATGGATATTTACAAGGTTTTTAACCCTTTAGTTACAAGTCAATAGTCCACTTTGTCCGCAGCTTCCCTCCCCAAATTTGGAACAAAACCGGTATAGGGGCCATTGCCAAAGCAAGGAATGCCAGCAAACTATTCCCCCACCCAAGGCCAAGTTTGTCATACATTTGCAATCCACAAAGAGGAAGGAGGGCTCCAAGCAAGCTTCGCAGAACAGTGCAAGCAGCCACGGCACTAGCAGCATGTGCAAGGAAAGCGTCTACCAGATATGTCTGAGCACACATCAATATAATGATCATCCCAAACCCAGTAGTCGCATTCCCAATCTCAGGAACAATCCAATGAACCACTTTATCAGTCGACCACCCGTAGATAAACAGACCCGCCGGGATGGTTAATGACCCAGGTATGGTAAGATACATGGTAAGTCGGTCCTCGGGGACAGGTGTCTCCTTGCGCTCGAGTTTGATCCTGATCTTGCGATCACTCAATGTCCCCACGTAGGTAAGACCAATCAACATTCCCACTCCGCTTCCAAGGAATGAGAGGCCGCTGGCGCTGGCAGAGAATCCATACTGACCGTCAAAGACAATCGTGAATGTTGTGAAGAGGATGTAGAGGAAGCCGTAAAGAACAGCAATGTAGGTAGATATTAAGGCCACTACTGGGGACAGAACAAGCATTTTCGACGGTCGAATGAGACTCCGTAGGAACAGCTGCTTTGGAGGGATCCCGGAATCCAAACGTGATATGTATGCCGTGTCTCCTGTTGACTTTTGCAGCCGAGCAGCTTTTCACTCAAGGAGAATTGGCGCATATGTCTCAGGTACGACAAAAAAGAAAACGACTGATGCGGCTCCGCCCTAGAAAGTGAGTTAGAAATAAGACTTCTTTAATAGGAGGTTGTCTTTCTTACCGCCATGGCAAGTACCCAAAACACCCATCGCCAATCTGTCGCCGCCACGAGGAACCCGCCCACGATGGGACCAATGATTGGGCCGAACAGCGGCCCCAGGGACCAGATAGCCATTGCCTGGCCTCGTTTCTCGCTCGGCACAAGATCTGCAATTGTACCACTACCACATGTGATGGCAGAAACACCCGCAAACCCATCGAGGAATCGAAAAACCACCAAAGACGCCATATTCGGAGCAAGCGCCCTGGCGATGTTGAATATCACGAACAAGACATTGCAAACATTGTAGACCCATGCGCGCCCACTATACTCGCTAGCGGGTGCGATAATCAGAGGTCCGAAGGCAAATCCTAGGACATAAACTGAGACGACAAATGTCGAGAGGAGATTAGACGTTGAACCGAAGTCTTCGAGGACTTGTGTGATACCCGGCGCAAACATCGAAGAGGCGAGGGGACTACTCTTATTAGGATCTTGATCTATATTTTAGGGTTTAAGCACTCACGTCAAGAAAGTGATAAAAGAAACCATCCCAATGATACTCCATTTGCGCCTGAAGCTCCAGTTCATCGGATTCTCGGGGTCTTCACTGGCTGGCTCCTGCCAGAAGACATCATATTGGGACGCATACGCCGTATGTTCTTCGTTGAGTTCTTCCTCTGGCAGTCGGCCAGACTGCGCTTCAGGATCAAGAGATCTCGCGTCCATGTTGAGGGCACTGACAAGACAAATCCACACACATGGCTGTTTGATGTGCGCCGACGGGGCTTTTTGAATGAGTCCAAACCTGCCGTATGCAGGGAATGCATAAATTGCACGGGGTTCTCCATATCCGTCTACCTATCAAAGGGGATCTCGGCAGATTATACGTATAAAGCCCATGTTCTAGTTCCCGAAGAGGGCTGTTCGTATTCGTACTTTCGCGACAGTCATTGGTGGACGTCATATGGATTGACATCGTATTCGAGTTCGGGTTCGGATAATGACGGAACGCGCACTTTCGAGTCCATTCAACCCTAAATTGCCATTGGCGCCTAGGATCTTGAACTAATTAAAGCTTGATGATTTGTGAATGTCTCGAGTTAACACTGTCACAGGGATGCTAGTGGCTGTGTTAATCAACCAACCTCGATCCTGATCAAGACTTGCACATATAAGACTCCAGACGTTCGCATCGTACTGCCTCCCTGAAATCATCTATTACGAGCGAATATTGAGACATAATGGGGATTATTTTCAACGTGCAATATGCGCTAGCAACGGGCCTCTTTACGGTACGCCATTTGATACCTTTTGTGACTCGTTTTCTAACATGTTCAGGCGACGTTGTATCTTGCCTACACAGTGATCTACAATGTGTACTTCCACCCTTTGAGCCGGTTTCCAGGGCCATTGGCGCATAAGATATCACGACTGGCATATTTCTACCGGTCTAGTCGGGGAACTCTTCCCTTTGACATGCTGGAATTGCATAAGCGATATGGCGACATTGTCCGCATTGCGCCAGACGAGCTGTCCTTCTCCCACCCCGATGCCTGGCAAGACATTATGGGTCACCAGAAAGGGAAACCGGAATTCTCAAAGGCTAACTGGTTTTACCGTCCGATGGAAGATCAGGCGTGTCATGTAGTCAACGAAAGCAGAGAGCAACATGGGCGTCTCCGTCGACAAATGGCCCACGGTTTCTCTGAAAAGGCAATGCGAGACCAGGAGCCAATGATTCGTGGCTATGTTGATACATTGCTTGACCGGTTACATGAGTTTTGCGAGGCTGGTACTCCGGTGTCTCTTTCCGATTGGTATAACTATGCTACTTTCGATATCATTGGAGACCTGGCATTTGGTGAGCCATTTGGTTGTCTTCAGGGATCAAACCTTGACGGATGGATCAAGGGGATTTTTGACTCCGGCCGACTTGGCATTATGTTGCAAGCGCTCTCGTTCTATCCTTCCGTGAAGAGGATGCTGTTGTCAATGGTGCCTGCGTCAATGACAGAGGCCCATGAGAAACACAGGAAATTCACCGAACAGAAGATGATGCGTCGGGTGGAAAAGGAAGATGGTCGACCAGACTTGATTGAGGGACTACTGAGGAAGAGGGAGGAACTGGTGAGTTCCCAACTGTTTCCGTTAAGAATAACAACTGAACTTTGTCAGAACCTGAGTATTGATGAACTCATTGCAAATGCTGAGATTCTCATCATTGGTGGTTCCGAGACCACAGCCTCATTATTGAGTGGAGTCACCTACCTCCTCCTCACGACTCCGACTGCCCATGAGAAATTGAAGGAGGAAGTGCGCGCTGTGTTTCAAAGACAGGAAGAAATCAATCTGATCTCTGTAAATAAACTGCCTTACATGCTTGCATGTCTTGACGAGGCATTGCGCATGTATCCACCCATTGCAAACGGCCTTCCTCGTGTGTGTCCTGAGGGTGGCGCGAAGGTCTTGGGCGAATATGTTCCAGCAAACGTGAGTCTCGTTTGATGCGAATATGACATCTCGGCGCATGCTAACGGCGTTTTTCAAGACTTTTGTTTCTGTTCATCAATGGGCACTCTATCGGCGCAAAGAGTATTTCAGAGACCCCAACACATATCACCCAGAGAGATTCTTGAATGATCCATCATTTGCAGATGATCGCCGAGAGGTACTGCAACCATTCCATACTGGACCGAGAAACTGCCTTGGAAGAAAGTAAGTAATGACCTAGATGACCACATAGAAGTACTAGGTGATACTAACGAGGTTGTTTTAGTCTTGCCTATAGCGAGATGCGTCTAATACTTGCATTGATTATCTTTAACTTTGATATGGAGATTGCCGATGAAGCCCGTGATTGGATCAAACAGAGAAACTTTCTGATGTGGGAAAAGGGTCCGTTGAAGGTTCATTTAACTCGTGTATAGGCTTATTTATGAGATCGAGTAAACACTCGAGGCATATCGAACATTAGACCTACATGTTCTATCCATATATTGGTTCTGCACATGAAGAAAGAGCTATGTTACATACAAGCCCTATGGGCCTCGAATGTGGTGTTCCGAGCGCAAATATGCAAACCGGAGGATCTCTCACGACGCGCCTATACAACCCCACTTTAATTGTCGACCTGAGTGAGACACACCTGGCAGGAACTTGTAATCTTGGGGTGCATGTCACGCTCAGCAGGAACCCATGGACGTGACTGGATATCAAGTGTTAGACTCGGTATAGGGAATGATTTCTGTCAGCTGATTTTGTGTGAATCATAATCAAACAGACCGCAGACCAGAGAGAATGTTTGATTTCTCAGTTAAGGATGCAGCAAACGCACCGTGGAAGTGACAAAGATGTAAATAATTAAAGTAATTGATTATCCATATTAAGTCCTGCTTGTACAATGGAAATCCCACACCTCTTTCTCTATGGCAAATATCAGTCATAGTATCATGCATGCGATATCGAACAAAAAAAACATGTAGAAGCAAAGCAAATGCAAGGCTTCAGCGTAAGCCACAAAGCCCATGTCTTCCAAACGCTCAAAAATAATCAAACTTCGTAAAGGCATATATATGGGTATTTTTCCATGCAGCGTATAGTGTCAATCAATCATGGATCTCATAAAAAAACAACAACAGAAAACAAGAACTAAAGCGAAAGATGAAAGATGAAAGATGAAAAATGAAACGTATCATGGTGTCGTTCGGTTACACACTTGCCGTGCGTCGGGGGACCTCACTAGGCTTCTGAGCATATGCAATGAACATACGGAACCCGGTGCCACGCTTCTGGCACTCGCGGAGAACCTTTCGGTCATTCCAAATACTCGGATCATTATTTCCAGTCAAGAAAATAGGATCCTCATAGCATTTCGAATACCACCAGCGACCGACGCGGGCAACGATCTTAGCGATTGACTCATCGTTTGCAGGAGACGGGGAAGGATCAGAGAGTAAGTCACCGAGAGAGATATTTGCATTGTTCGAGGGGGGTTTAGAAGCAGTTCCCGTGCTTTGGCTACCACCCGCGGTTGTGACGGATATGGTTGGTAGCGAGAATGCAGTGGAAGGGGTAGCTGTTGAAATGGAGTGTGCCGATGAGCTGGAGTCAGAGGATCGGAGAACCATGCCCGCGACTGGAATTCGAACCATGCAGCGACGGAGACTGTCGAAGCCTTGCGCGCCAAGTTCGCGTTGGACGCTGTCACTTGTTGGTTTCAGGCTGAGGGTCGAGTCTGAGAGACAGGTCATTTCTTTGAGTTGGCGGATGGCTTTGCGCGTGTGAGGTCCCATGTTCACCATGTCGCGGTCTAGGAGGCTCATTTCTAGATATCCTCCGGTGCGGAGAACACGTCTGCACTCTTGGATGACGTTTGCTTGTACATTCTCGGAGCAGACAGCGGGGAATCTTAGTACGGCCACTGTGAAGTAGTCTTTTGGGAAGGGGAGGGGGTTTTCCAGTCCTGCGTGATACACAGTGTGGTGGTTGGTAGGGGGCTGCCATGCAGCGGGGTGGGGAGGTGTCGCGGATACAGGACGTCCACCCAGACTGTATACCTCGGCATCAGGATATGTTAAGGAACAGTAGAAAGACCAGTCATCATTTCCCAGTCCGTCGATCACAAGAATTCGTCCTTGCCCTCCGGCCTTGACGTGGTTATGAGCCGGGCTGAAAAGGACTCGGCCGAAAGATAACCAGCGACTAGTCATGAGCGAAGCGGAACGCATGTTAGTCCGTGTCACTGCGTCCCACTCGCGCTCCGAAGATGCGGTTTCGTGTTCGCGGTGGAGTTTTGGCCGAGGCGAAGGGACAGCAGCGAGGGAGTTAAGAAACGTAGACTGCTGTTCATGACGCTGATCTGTTGAAGAAGGCTGCTCGGTGGGATCGGTAGTCTGCTGTGTCTTCTCCTCATTTGAGCCGCTATATGCAGCGACAAGATCACTGTAAGATGGCTGAGATGAAGGGGCGGTAGACGACTGCAAAGCAGAGACAATTTGAGAACGGCGAAGATGAACAGAGCTGCCACTCGAGCGAATCGAATTGCCGTTAAGTACTGGCTGGGGTTGATTTGCATTATTCAACTCGTCCTGAAGAGCTCTGCTCGCCATCGTTGCAAGTTCAAATTTGTCCTCTTCTTCGGTCTTTTCCGTTTCCTCGGGCTTTGGTTCATCTGGCGACAGAACGTGATCAATAAGATCATCGTACTCATTCCACACCTCGTCCTCAGTCGGCGGGGACCCTGGAATCGGGGGAAAGGCAGTAACCGCAGCCAGAGCTCCAGAGCTCTCTGACGAGGTTGAGCCTTTCTTTGGTGGAAACTGAAGGAACTCATACGTTGAGAACGGCCCAGCAAGAAATTCCAGAGCGCTGCTCTCCTCAGAAGCGCTAAAAGTCGGGTTGAACCCATCACCCCAGTTCGAAGATTCGCTTGGACCAATCCCCAGATTCAACGGAACATGAGCGACAGGTGGAGATTTGTATGAGCTTTGCGTCGTTGGAATCGTGAGGGAAGGCGATTCGACAACACTGAATGGACGCGAGAATGACTGTATAGCGGGCTGATGATATCTGTCGCGCCGCGAAATTACTTGTGGGATTCGACCGACAGAGGCCAAGCGTGAACGTTGTTCTGGTGATATCTCGAGCTCCGGGGCCATAAGGTTGCGATTGAACATGGCGGTCCTCGGCGATGGCCGGTCATCGTTTTCGAACTCACCATGCATCTT